TGGTGTGGTTGGATGCTTCGGGAATTTGAGTGGCACTTACTGCGGTAAAGGTCATCAGGCCCCGACTGTCTCGAACCGCCACCGTTAACGTAGGCTACACCAGCAATAGGACCATCTCGGTAATTCTTAACCGGTCTATGCACAATAAAGTTAGCCTTGTGGATGATTTGACGAGATTTTCGGAAAATGTGCTGCAAACATTGGCAAACACGTAGTGCTTGCTCAGTCGACACTATAGCCCCTGCGTCGAAACGGGCCGTGGTGTGACCACACAAGCCCGAAGACCGGTAAGAAACAGAGACAGGGAAACTTACGATCGTTTTGTCCTTGCAGTGCTGCCGTGCGTAAGTTTGAGCCTCTTTGTCGCTGGTCCAACTGCAGGCGTTGATGGTCGTGTGCCAGCAGTCGATTCAGCTAGAGGGGACGAAAACCTGTATCCGTCCTCTCGTACCCGCTTCGCACTGTGATGAGGCACTCGGCCAGCTCGGCGCGGCTGATGAGAATCAACTGGTGGTCCTACTGCAATCTGAGACTCGGTCAAAGATTCTGTGTCATTGATCTCGTCGTCGAAGCGGACGTCAGACACCTCAAAGTCGTTAAACTCAGGTCGTCGGATCGGCTGCTGCTTCACCAACTCTTTCCGCAGCTCGTATGCCTTCTCGTCTTCTAGGAGCTGCTCAGGCGTTGGTTGCTGTTGTTTCGCTGCATGTTTGCCAAACAGCTTTCCCAAATTAGGCTTTTGCTTCTTCGCAGCTCGGGCATTGGCAGCGCTCTTCGCTTTCTTTGCAGCGGCAGCTGCCACAGCAGTCGCCGCCTTGCCGTTGCCCTGTACGGGCTCTGGTGGCCCTTTCTGAACGATCTCCTCGTTGACATCAGACAGTTCCGAATCACTGCCACCACCTGATTCAGGTGTTTTACCTGCAGGCGTGGGCGCTGTTGTCGAAAGACCACCATCGAGATCCATTTCGACATCAGGCGCAGGGTGGCCATTCGTCGCGGCCCTCTTGCGAGGTGACTTTGAGTGCGTCCTTGATGATGGTTCAGTGCGCGACTCTGCCGGAATAGCCGGGGCCGCGTTGAAAGGGTGAGGTGGGGCCAAGCCTGAATTTTGCTCTATGGAGGTTTGTAACGCGTGATGAGCATTTTGGGTAGCGGATGCACCGGTGTTTGTGAGTTCTTGATCAGCCCTATCGTAGGCTGCAGATGCAGAATCCTCTGGGACGACTTCACTGCTGGCTCGCGGTGAGGGTCGACTGGACGCTGCGTAGAAACCTGCCGCTCTCTGGCCGCCATTCTCATCCTGCAGGCGATTCAACTTGGCCTGGTTCCTTTGTCGCTTGCGCGAGGCCTTGATGAACGAGCGGAAAATTTGCCACTGTTCGTCTGTGTAGTTTTCGTGCAGGATGGCATCAATTATGTCTGATATCGTGTCATCTTTCTCGCTCTTCTGCCACAGCTCTTTCAATGCAACGCCTATTTGCCGCTTCTCGGCCCTGTTCGCACGCAGGATGGCGTCGTTCACGGCGGTGTGAATGCGTTGCGCGGCTTCGGTCTGCAGGGAGAGAGGAAACTCGACGGGCTGGACAGCTTGGACCGCAGGACTCGCGGAGACTGATGCGCCCTTGCTCGTGCCATTCTTGACTGGCGTCTTTCCATGCACAGGCGTCCTACCCTGCACAGGCGTCTTGCCCCTGACCGGTGTCTTGGAGACCTTGCCCTTCTTCTTTGTCTTGGTCGGCTCGTAGTCGTCGTCTTCCTCCTCTTCGTGCAGCGGAAAGTCGACCTGCATCAGATCCTCGTCTTGCCGCTCAGAGTCATCAGCCTCGAGCTCTGGCGCGGGCGTCACCTCCGGGGTCGACTCGATGCCGTCACCATAGACAGCAGTCCCCTTGCCAAAAGCGGCATTACGGGCAGCCGTCTCGCCCATTGCGCGCGTCTTCTGCTTGACTTTGGCGGACGGGGGCACACCCAAGGGCGCCATGGTCTCGAGCACGCCGTGCCTGGCGAAACCGTGCTCTTCAAACGAGGGCGCGAGGGTCTGAGGCGCCGGCTCAGTCCACTCAGTCATTAAGCTCTGTCTCTTGCCGCCGGCCGAGTCGCTGGGGGTGCCTGTAGGCGAGGCATACGGCGTGGTGCTGGACCGGCTGTGAGGTGGCGCGCGGGCGGATTTGCGTAGGGCCGGCATTGCAAGCGACGTGAAGGAAGCCTTCGAACTGCAACTTTATAAGCGCGATGCTTCAACAAAGCTAGGCTTCAATGCATACTTACCACGCGTGCTGCCCTCGATCTTTCCTTCTGCGCACTTTGCGCCACTAATCCGTGCACCTTTGTTGTGCGCGTGGTTGGTGAGGGTTAGACGGTCGCGAGGTTGAAGCCCCAAGATGTACAATTTCCAGGGATCTTAATCAGCACGATCCTCCGCCCCTTCCACCTGATATTTTTCCAGCAACACAATTTTTGCGCTGCGCCGTGCGTACTCAAAGCTGTGCCTGTGCGAGAGGGGCATGCGAGGTGCAAAATTCGGTCGGGTTGACCAGAAAGTCGGTTGGTGTTTTTCAAGGGAGGTGTGCCTCTGTCAAATATAAACCTCCGCGTGTTCCGCCCGTGCCTTCGTCTTCACCTTCACCGCGAGTAAGAACTGCAACCTGCAGGGCTCGGCCGAGGGAGCTCTTGGGAAAACAGGTCATACTATAAACAATTTTGTATAACCCAACAATTACACTTGATCATTCGAGCGTTTCGATCTCAGGGGTTGCTGTAGTGAATCATGCTCACTTTGCATGCTTCAAACAATGTATTTGCTCCAACCGGACGCTCTCGTAGCTTCACGGTAGTCCAGTTGTTGTACATAGAATTATAAAGTGCTACCAAAGTGACTTGTATAGCTTCGAGTGAGAGCAAGTAGCTTGACGCAGCTTGACCTGCTCACATGAAGCGCGCTCCCTGGCGCCTGATGCCCATGATGCAAAACAGAACATGCTCGCCAAACACCTCGAAGTATAATCCAGAGTAACAAATTGGAGCAAGAGGAATGCCAGCCTTGTCCCTGGATGGGGATACGGAGATACACCGAGCTGATTCCGTTCTTGTCTTTTTCTGTTTTGTGCCCACCTTCACCTTACGGGCCAGGGGGCATTTTCGAGCTGTGTGACAATTTTCGGCATGGACCGTCTGTAGATTTGCGTCTCGAAGGAGCAATCTTGCTTCGACGCCCCCGTTCCTCCTGTCAGTGACAGAGTACATGGACAGTCTAGGTTTTGACAACTTCGGCAAACCACTGTGATAGACATCCTACCTACCTAGCCAGCCTTCCATATTTGAGTGTCCAACTGAAAAAGCACCCATATTAGTGGCTTCGGTGATTGTCAACGTATTCAGGTGATCAAAGCTCTACTGTATTGACTTTTTCATTTTGAGGCTACTTATCGCCACTGTTGGACGAGCTCGGTCCTGATCGAACAACCTGACCCCAGGAGGTCAAGTTCAATCGTGAATCGCGAATGCTTGCGCAGCATCGTTCGAGGTCGATCGTACGCAGCATCAGGACTGGCCTTTATCGATGATCACTAAAGTCTTCCACAGCAAACGCTTACTCCTCGTCGCCCTCCTCGTCATCCTCCTCGGCAGCAGCCTCTCCTGTCGCGGCCTTCTTGGCAGGCTTCTTCTTCTTCTTCTTGTTCTTCTTGATGGTTGCCTTGCCTAGGGGCTGCTCCAGGATCTTCAGGATCTCCTCGTCCTCAATCTTCTTATCAGACTTGTACTTCTCGAGATCCAGCGCAGGCGGCTGCGCAAGGCGCTGCATGCCGTTCTTGGTGACAGCTGTTGCCACGTTAGTGAAAAGCAGGAATGATGACCTTTTAACAAATACTCACCGACAGTGGTGAACAGCCTAGCAACGGGCTTCGCGTCCTTGTCGACAACGACCTCGTACTGGCGAAGTACGCCGCCACGAACACACTCGACGACGCCGACCTTAGCGGCCTTCTCGTCCTCAAGTTGTCGCAGACTGAAGGGGAAAGTGCCGAACTTCTTGACAACCTCCGAAAGGAGAGCCCTCGAGGTTGGACGCTTGAGCTGGTACTTTGTGTCTGTGCGGCGATGGAGCGTGGTCCTGTTTCCGTTGCTCTTGACCTTGGCCGGTACCCAGGCTGACGCCCATCTCAACACCCCCAGACCTCGCCGACTTCGGGGAGACCTTCACCCCTGACACCCTCTCCGGGGGCCAAGATGATCTTCTTCTTGGACTCGATCTCGTTGTGCTCGAACTGCCAGATGGTGGTGCTCTCAACAACGTTGCATTCGTATGCCTTGACGACCTTTTCGAGCATGTTCGTGATTTGGCTCTGTGTGTAGGGTTTCCTTGAGGCGGCCTTCTTCTGCTCCTCCTCATCGCCCTGCGCAACCAGACCTGGCGGGGTCATCAACCTGAGAAGCAGCTCGTTTGCGTAGTATGTGGCGAGAATGAGGTCTGCCTCGCGTCCAGTAACCTCTCCATCGCTGCCGACGATTACGTTGTCGCAAACGATTGTGCAGAAGCCGTCAATCTGGGCACCTAATTGGATCTTCACGACCTCTCCTTCCTTGAGTGTGGCAGCGGCCTCCTCAGCATCGGTCTTGAGCGGCGTGTAGGGGGTGATGTAGGAGCTAGGCGAGATGGTGGTGCAGTGCCCAATACCCTTGAGTACCTTCTTGCCCTTGTAAACCTTGCCGACCTCCTCAGCGAGAAGCGTATCACCGCGCTCACAGAGCTCGACAATGCTGGCGTCGGCCTTGATCCATCCTGCAACCTCGTCAGTCATGTCACACCACCGGCGCCGAAGCTGACGCTAGAACTGCGCAGCGTACCTGAGACCTCTTTGAGGACCTTCTGTGAGATTTCGGCGGCGACCTTGTATTTTGTCAAGGTGTCCGGGTTGGCGAGCGTGTAATCTGTCATTCGCAGTTAGCTCTCCTGGCCGTTCTCGTCATAAATGCTCACGAGCTCAGTCTCTGCGACACAAGTCGGCGCATGAGACCGTCTAGCGACACGGGGAGCTTGGGACGTACCTGTAACAGCAGCTTCGGCCATCTTGAATATATGCACGAGAGTGGTTGACCGATTCGAAAGCTAGAATGGGAAGGATGCGTCGAGGTCGTACCTGTTGTTTTGAGATTCGTGCCCCACTGAGGGGTTCATTCTCGCTTAGACTCCAATGACGACGCGTGCCTTAATTACTGTTTGCGCCCGTCTGTGAATCGCTTAGATCCTTTCTCGCTGGTGACGTAGTTCTCGATTGTGTGTTCTTGAATGGCAGGTGCCACCAGGTAGCGGCAAGATTCCTATCTTCCTTCCCTAAGGAGAAAAGGCAAAGAGGCAGCCTATATATATTCAAAGATCACCATAGAATAAGGTCGAGTATCCTATACCTGCGTATATATTCAGGCGCCCTCAAGGTTATAATAAGTATACCTTGTGTCGTGTAGGTGCGGAGCGGACACGAATTTTGCAGCTGCCTGGTGGTGCTTTCACAATGCTGATCTCGGGAGCTAAGAGCTTGAGGCTCGATGATTATTCTAGTGTCCACAGAACAGGACCAACAGAACTCACAGCGATTCGTTGTGCTCAGTATCAACATTGATCGAGATGACACTCAACATTAACATTAATCAAAGTTGTACTCATCACCAGCATCAATCTCATCCCCAACCTCACCTACACCTTCAACACAGCATCCACAACAACAGCCCTATGATCCGAATTATACACCCCATCATCGAACCTATTCGGCAGCACACTGTACCCCTTCACCTCCCAATCGCCCCTACTCCTTGGCCCCAGGAAAACAAAGTCAATCACAACCTTCTCGTCATCAAACCCCGTGAACGTATACTTATCCCCATAATTCCACGCCGCTAACTCCTTCGCATCTCTGACCGTTGAGTTACTGGCATTAAGAATCTGATACGCGTCGTCAGACGTCTCGCTATTCAGATCTCCGCCCAGGAAGTAAGGAACGGCGGTGCCATCACGCGTGCTTTCCGTCTTGATGAGCGTCTCGACGATCTTCGCGCTTTCCCGTCGACTAACAGCGCCGGAGTTGTCGAAGTGCGTGCACAGGCCTAGGACCTTCTTCTTGCTGGCGATGTGCTTGAAGTGCCCGACAGTCACGATGCGAACACTGCCCGCGTCCCAGCCTTTCTTGCCTACGCTGCCGTCTTCATTCAACCAGACGGTCTTCCACGACTCGACTTCCCAGACGGCCTTGCGGAAAATGAGCGGGCTGTACTCGCCCTTTGTTTTCCCGTCGTCGCGGCCGACGCCGATGTAGGACCAGTCGGGGCCGAGGCCGTTCATGATGTCGGTTATTTGGTTGTTGAGGACTTCCTGGAGGCAGATGAATGATTCGGCGTTGTAGAGTGTGTTGTACTTGAATTCGTTGATTATGAGAGGCTTCCGATCGGTCCATGGCTTTTCGCCATCGAAGGGGTCTGTCGTGGCATAGCGGATGTTGTGCGTGAGGAGACGGATTGGCAAGGCTGCGTGAGAGTGCATGATGAAGGTGCTAAGAGCGAGGAGGATCGGTGTCGAGACCAACATCTTGAAGTCTAGTGTTGAGCTTACAAGGAGCCGAGCACGTGATGGTAACAACCTGACGAAGATATGTATACGCTTTTAGGACGCCAGTATTAAGCCGTAGACTATTATGATCTTGCGAATACACAAGTTTGTTGATAATAACGCTTTGGCAATGTTAATGTTTGATGCCCAGAAACAACAGCGAGCGAGATTCTGATTGGACGCTCTAGGTATGTATGAACAAGGATGCATTCGTTCTACAGAACTCAATTCAAAAGGTCCATCCTCTACTTATATGCGCGGAATAAGAAGCGCATGGCTCAGAACCGGGGTTCATTACTTTGATAATCCAATGGAAAGTGACCGGGGTTTGTACTACCCAACAAGTTGCTGGCAAATGAGAACGCCGGTGTGGCAGCACGTTGTCCGCGCTCCAAAAGTGATATGCTGTTTTGTACAAGGGAGGCTCATTGAGCTTCCAAAAATGCGCTCGCGTATGTAAAACGCCCCGCTTGTTCCTGCTTTCAATGCACTATTGTGACATCTGTCGACCAGTTCGTTTGGCCACGTTGTTCATATGCTGACGGTTCTTCAGGTGCGTTTCGAAATTGCTCACGGTGTGTTCAGGTCCTGCGTTGTAGAGCTTGCCAGGGCAGTCGATACACCTGATCCTTGGTAAGAAGTAGGGCTTGTGAGTCGACGGCAACGGAGATGAATTCGAAAAATTGTCCAGCTTGGCTGGCTTGGCTTCCTTCTTGCCGGTCTCCGGGTTCATGTATGCCTCATTCATGATGACGTAGCGCATTGTCGCTTCGAATGATTCGCCAGGATTTCTATCTCGAAGTTCCTGTAAAGCCTGCTGGAGCCACGGAGGCGGTGCGGGCTGTATAAGTGTGAGAATTTGTAACTAGTAGTCGAGAAGAGATCAACTTACGTTTTGGGCTTGAGGTGGCGCCGGCCATGGCGCTTCTACCGAGCCATCGGATTTGTATTGCCATTGCTTAGGGGTTTGTGGAGTAGGAGTCGGTGTAGCGGGCGGACGAGGGGATGCTTCAGCGGATGCTGGGTTGCCAGGCGTGGCGCGAGATGGCAAGGACCGGAGAAGGAGGTGGTGGCATAGAGTTGGCCACATGGCGTGTTCCTCGATGGCGGCTGTGTGTGTGCAATCATGGGAGTTGAAGGCAGGCTTTGCGAATGCTTTGGGATTCCTTTGACCACTCTCGTAGTTTTGCAGACGATATCCGGAGTTTGACTATGAGCGTTGTGGGCTCTGGAACACTTTCATCGCGTGCTTCATAGCGAAGTGACCGTGATGTTCTCGACTCATGGAGAGTCTGTAGAGTAGCAACCTCAGGCGTCGCAGAGCGTCCAATCGCTGATCGCATAGCGGCTTGCGCCGCCGTAGCAGCACCACGCATACCCCTTGTACGCGCAGTACCTCCGGTCATCATGGCAGGCGCAGGAGACTCCACCACGGAGTCGTCACTGTCAGAATCGTCTGAGCTACCCTCTGCGCCACGACGACGGCCCTCTCTGACTTTGCGTGTTGCCTTGAAGAGATGGCTTTCTTCAAGCACCTCGGCGGCCCCTGGCAAGACTGATGATACCACAAGGGTACGAACAGTTCGCTGGCGATCCTTGAGATCTGGCAAAGCTGGTCCACCTCGTCGGTTGACAGATCGCTTCTGGCGGCGCTGCTCGCGCATAATCGATAACTCGGCTCGCTCTAATTCAGCGTGACTGAGCTCGTATAGGTACGGCTGGAAATCCTTGGTAGACTGCATAGGCCGGAAGACAGAGGGAAGCGGAGATACCAGGAAGTTGTCTTGGATGTCGGTGTCCTCGACAGGTCTTCCGTCGAACGGATGGCCTGTGATGTACAAGCTCTTTGTAAACATCTGGCACTGCTCTCGGATCGAATGTGCGATAGCTGTCGTAAACTCCCCAGATAAAGACAAATCGGCTGCCATCTGCTTTGCAAAATCCTCAGCTGCATTCAGCGGATTGTTGATTTCCCACTCGAACTGATCCACAAGAGTGTGTTGACCAATAGTGATGTTGAGCTTGATCAATATCCGCATTTCATCGTTCTTGTATGCCGAATAAGGTTGGTTAGGGTCCAAGGGCTCGTCGTCGAAAAATGCGTGTGGGTAGTAATCCCGTATTTGCTCGTGTATCTCTCGATCGACTTGGTGTATTATGTTCTGTCGTAGCTCGGGAGGTATTTGAAAATCTTCCACCAGGGTTTGCGCGAATAGCAAGGGTTCTGTGACGCGATCGTGGAGATTCCACGTAAACGTGTCGCGCAGTTTCAATCTGTCCAACTCGATGTCCAATCGCACAGGAACTAGCTCTTCCACTTGCTCCGCTTGCTGTGCGCCGATTTCCCTGCCGACCTTCAGCTGCGGCGCATGACGGCGGCCGGCACGCTTCGCGTGGACAGGGTAAACAAGGCGCGGTACACCAGGGTGTCGCGGGTCCGGGGGGATGTTGGTCTCTCCGTTGCCATAGCCGGCATACCCGTATCCATATATCGCCCCAGGATTCTGGCGGCGCACTGGATAAACTTGTTTCTCGTAAAAGTAGCGCAGGTTGTTCAAGTCGAAGTAGACCTTCTGAGAGTACTCGTCGCGCTCGTCAAGGTGCACGCTGGTAAGGAGATCGCGCTCGACGTAGCGTTTGAGCAGATGGCTGTGCGACTTTTGCTTGTCTCCGCCTTCCCGAGTCGGTGTCTGGGAGGGTTTTCGGGTACCGGAACGCGATCGTTTTCTGCTCGGTGACGCGCCGTTGGTGGGTTCTACTGGCGCGGCGGACGCCATGTCCTCCTGAGCGTCAGATAGGGTTACGCCTGAGGCTGCCAGCACTGCCTTGGCCTTCTGCTTTCCGTCGAGGATCGCGTTGATATCATGCGACGCGGTTTCGGGGCCATTGGAGCTGGTGGGGATGTTGGCCGGCTGGACAGCGCCTTCCCCGTTGATGTTGTTGACGCCGTTCGAGGACGCGCCGTGGGATGGATCAGAGGGTTGGGAGGTCGTGGATGGAGACGTCATGGCGGCGGCAAAGAATGCGCGCAGCAGGAGCGACCCGCTAGAGACGTGCTCTGATCAGGGCCGAGGCATGGAAGGTTGCGATGGAAAGCTGCTCGTGTGGTTAGTACGGTGTCGCATGCGATCGCGATGGACCCCAAGGGGGCAGGCAGGTCAGCAACGGCGACAGCGGCACCACCATCGCAGGGACGTGGGATTATCGCGAAAACGTGAGCAACGGACACGTTAGAGATGAAAAAAAAACACATACCAATGGAAGCGGGCAATTTGCGCGTCGTCACAGGACTGGGCTGGCTGGCTGGCTGGCTGAGGGCAGGAACTGCCGATCGGCAACGGAAGTCGCAGACGACCAAAGCGCGCAGCACAGGCGAGATATTGGCACTCCCGAATCGGCGAAACACTTGCACGGAGCCTTAGTGAGGGGCGGTGGATAAGCTCGGAATGATGCGTTGTGTTGTGTGTGTCAGGCAGGTCCTTTCAGATTCGGGCGCTCTCACCCGGCAAAAGCGCCCAGACTGAACACGGACAGCCGCTGAAGCGCACAATTCAGCGCGACAGCCTTCAGCGGGCGGCTGCGTCTTTCTACCGAGTCACAAAATCTTTCAAATCTCCCTCTACCTCATTCTCGCCTTTACTCGGCCATGGCCGCTTCCCAACAATTGCTTGTACCACGTGATTGCCAAGACCACCATGCCCAGAATGGCGCCTAACAGACATTTCTCCACACAAGAATGCTAGCGCTTCGTACCTATCACTGTGCTTCCCCAGCCCTCCTCTCCAGTCTGCAGAATAAGCCTAACATGAGTCTCGCAGCAGGACTGCTACGACATTCCATGAAAGAAAGATCAAGTGCACCCCAGCCACGGTCGGACGTGTATAATTAAAGTATGAATTGTAGTATGGATGGTCCTTTCCAGAGGCAGGAAGAGAAGGGTGCCAGAGTGGCACAGCCTTTTTGGCCAAGGACAGAACGCCTTGAACCCCTCAAGCCTTTTTGCTCGTGCTGAACCAAGGACCGCACGCTGAGCGACATGATGTAAATGAGCTTGCAGTTCGGTGCTGCTTCCAAAACGTTCTGTATGTCCACGTGAATCCTAACCGTAGATGCCTCTTTCAGGTGCTAGATTCTAGGTCAACAAGTACCTAGACAGCAGGGCACCTGTTTCGCAATGTCTCATGTGTAAATGCCCGCCTAGAGCAACGAGTCAAGCCTGGTGAATACACTCAAACAGGCAGCAACCACCTACGAGAGCTTATTAGTATAGTCTAACATGGGGAGGAATCATCAAACGCACCTCAAGTTGCAGCTCCTTGTCTTTGGAGCCATTCACTTCGTCAGAGATAAGCGAGCCCAAATTCGCGCCCACTCCCTGTTGCCCACCAGATCGCCTTGCGAACGGCCATTGTGAGTATTCTGCCAGCAGCTCATCCACTTGAGCGAAAGCCCGCTCTCGCGCCTCGTGTCCGAGCGTCGTCAACGCATTTTCAAGCACGTTTGCGGCGTATGCGGCGCAGACCATTGTGATTGTCCTGAGCACCCTGAACTCGAGCTCTTCGGGGAGGAACTGACTGCCAGGAAGGACGACAGTACGGTTCGTGAGGAGGTTTCGAACGCGGCGCCTGATCTCTTCCTTCGCGCCGCCATCCGCGACTGGATGTGTTGCCATGTCGAAGAGCAGGAAGTTCTTCTTCTCCGTGCGCAGGATGCCCTTGTCGACGAGGCCCTTGCACAGCCGTTCGCGGACTTGCTTCAGTTGATAGCCAATCTTCATCAGATTCCATGTCTCGCCTAGTTAAAGTGTCAGTCGCTAAGATTTAAATTTCGTTATTGCAGCCACGTACCACTCATGAGATCGATCCATGAATTGACGCTCATCTTCTCGCTGCCCTTCATCATCTTCAGTGCCTCATCCAGCAGAACCTCCCCTGTGAGCGTGTCGTCAATGACCTCAATGACACGGTCTGCGAGAGGGAACCGCCGCCGCGACGAGTCCTTCTGCATGCTCACACGGCCCCTGAAAGCCAGCTCTATAACAATACAGCCTCGTAAAGCGTAGGAGATGTTGTCGTTCCAGAACGAGAGGTATCCCTAGAACTTGATCAGCATGCGATCCTCAGGGCAACGTCTCCCTTTCCGCGTGCTACACACCTGCTTGTCTTTCAGGCCCATGAGGATGATCTCCTCCATGAGCGTCAACTTGGGCTGCTTGCTCCTTTCTGCGCTCTCACTAATGTCCCTCGGGTCAAATGCGATCTTGTGGCCATTCTCGGAGTTCTCGTATGAGGTTTCTGGGGTGCGGTCGTCGATGCGCTTTGGTGCCGGTGAGCTGACCCTGCTGCCTTCGTCCTCGCCATTGCCCGTGGCGGCGGCGGCGCCTCCTCCGCCTCTTCGTCGCGTCAGACCAGAGCTCGAGGCCATTGCGTGTGGTTGTGGAACGAGTGGGGGTTGCTTTGTTGGAATTATTGGCGACGCCTCTCGGTGAGCACAGGGATGCCGACGCTCGGGCTGCGCATACGCGGAGGGGCCGTGTTGCGGTAAAAGGTCGATGGCAGAAGAATGTTGTGGAGAGTACCGACGTCGGCTGTGCAATGATTGAGGGGTATCGCAGAGTGTTTGTACGAGCACGCGTGAGAGATGTTCGTTCGTGTGACAGCTATCTGGAAGAAGGAGCGCTCGGCTATGCCAAGACTATCTGCTCAGCCCGCAGAAAGTAAGAGCAACAAATGCTTCGCTCACGCAGACACGTTATTTGGGAAGTGGATAGTATGGTTCTATCGAGATTTACACGGTGCCATCCCAGGCTGTTTTACACGCATGGAATTATATAACGAGACCGGAAGAGCCGGCTCAAATCAACTCCCAAGTCCACCACATCTCGCTTCCAGCTTCATGAAGCAATCTAGTGCGCTACAATAATAATTAGCTCCAAGTCATACAAGTACATAGATCAGTATGCTTACCATCGGGCTGGGCCAAGATGTACTCCACCGCTTGCTTGACTGTACTATCATCAGTATGCAATGAGCTTCAAGTGACGCGTGATACTGACCGCTGTGAATGGCATCGGCCTGCTTGTCTGGGATTTCAATGCTGAACTCCTGTAAAGATGTGAGCGGTCGCCCGACACTGTTATATGCTGCAACTAACCTCCTCGATAGCCATAACTACCTCCACCGTATCGAGACTGTCAAGACCGAGATCGTTGTGGAAGTGAGACTCGGCGTTGAGCTGTCGCATCACGTTAGCAAACCTTGCAGGGATTTGTGGAAGCATTTCTTCAAAGTACCTTTGAGGTGTCCTGGACCTGCGCATGAAGTTAGCCATAGCTCTGATCTCACAACCCGGCATGCTCCCTCACCTTATCGAAGTTCTTCAGGAGGTCCATTATCCTTCCAGTGACCTCGTCTTTCGAAAGGCCAGCGCTCGCAGCATAGCATCGTACAGCCTGGAAGTATGTGGGGGAGGTCTGCTTGGGCTGGAAGAAAGAGGTTCGCGCGATGGGGCGAGCCATTGAGGCCTGGCATCGTGGTGCAGCGCGCACGGCTGACCTTGCGGACCTGAGGAGTGCGGTTCGGAACATTTTGAGGGCGTGCGGGAGAGGTTGAAGCTGGATGGCGAGTTCGAGGTGGGAGGTGGTGACGATGTTCGATCGGAGTGTGTAGAACTTCAAACTGCGTTATTTATTGTTAGTCAGCATACATAACAACGCCATCGAGAAGTTGTACATCTTCAAGCAACCACCAGAGGAATGCAATTGACGACGGTAAAGGCCGGGAATATAATCTAGCAGACTTGGAATCTCCCTACCCTGGAGTTTTCGAATCCGCCTTCGTCCCTCGTCGTCGTTGCCGTCATCGAAGTCTTGGCCAATTACAGCTCATTCGTTCCAAATCGAAAGCCGACTCTCATCTTTCGAGCAGCCTCACACATCGCAGACGTCAAACACCACACATCCGCCCCGCTTGATTCCAGCGCCCACAATGGCCAGCATGAAGCCGTTGACGATGCTGGCACGCGGTCCCTCAACTGCGACGCTGCTCAGGTCGTCGCAATTCGCGTCAGGACGCCTCCCGTCACCCGCCACCGTCGCCTTCTTCTCCACGACCGTTCGCCGAGCCGCCACCCCAGCTGGACCACCGCCGCCAGGCTTCCGGTTACCACGGCCGAAGCGATGGGATGAAGGAGAGGGAGCATTGGACCGCGCGGGCAAATACTTCCTGCTCATGGAGATGTTCCGTGGCATGTATGTGTCGATGGAGCAGTTTTTCCGACCACCGTAAGTAGCTGCCAATGGCGTGCCGCAAGCTTGCGCTCCGTGAGAAGCTTCGAGACTGATGGCCATGTAGATACACCATCTTCTACCCTTTCGAGAAGGGCCCCATTTCACCCCGCTTCCGAGGCGAGCACGCTCTTCGACGTTACCCGACAGGAGAAGAGCGCTGCATTGCCTGCAAGCTTTGTGAAGCTATCTGCCCTGCGCAGGCCATCACAATCGAGGCTGAGGAGCGTATGGATGGTAGCAGGAGGACCACACGCTACGACATCGACATGACCAAGTGCATCTACTGCGGTCTTTGCCAGGAGAGCTGCCCTGTCGATGCCATTGTTGAGGGTAAGCCTACTGTGACTCTGTCTTTGAACACGTAACTAACACGATCTAGGTCCAAATGCTGAGTATGCAACCGAGTCAAGAGAAGAGCTGCTGTACAACAAGGAGAAGTTGCTCGCGAATGGAGACAAGTGGGAGCCGGAGATTGCGGCCGCTGCCCGTGCGGATGCGCCATACAGATAACAACAAATCTGAACTAGAAGCGAGGATTGTAAATATAGGAACAGTGGTCATATCGGAAGCAGGAGCTTGAATTTCATTTGTGCAAATATAGTCCTCCAATCCGACCTATAATGGGTCCTCATAACTGCAGCGTTTAAAGCACAAAGTTCAATCACAGAAGACGTTATGATATTCAAGCCATACATACGCCTAAACGCTGAGATGATGCCGACCGATGGTATCAAACGCCAAATGCTCCACCAGATTTTGAGCGCCAAAGTGATGATGCAAGATGCCATAATTCTACCTCGCCTTGAAGGTACCCTCAAATCCCGGACGCTTGACCTTCTTACCAGGCTTCTTAACCTTCTTCTTGCCCTTCTGACCCTTCTCATCTCTCCGCTTTTTGAGGTTCTCCTCGCGCTTCTTTTGTCTCTTCTCTTTGCCCTCTTGAACGTTCGTTAACCTCTCCTTCCACTCTTGCTTGCTCTTCGACTTTTGCTTCTCCTGGCGCTTAAGTGTCTTCTTCAGGAGATTGACGTCGTCGAAGACCTTCTCGCCCTGCGCTCGCTTCTTGGCTGCTAGCCAAAGGTCCTTCTCTTGAATGTCCTTTCGCTTCGTCTCGTCAAGACCGTTGATGCGTGCCTGCTTCTTCTGTGCAGCCTCCAGGGCAGTCTTTGCGTCCGACTTGCCCTTCCTCTTCTTCGATTCTTGGAATCTAGAAAGACTGCTCTCCAGTTGTTGGCCGTCCTGCCATGCGACTTTACCGAAGTTGAAGTTGCGCTCGGCTTCTGGCGACCGCGCGGGAAAGATTGAGGGTGAGCCGGACCCGCCTCTTATGCGTGCTAGCTGTTCCTCTGCTTTCTGGCGTGCCTCGTCCTCCTTCTCTGTCACACGACTGGCCTTCTTCGCCGCTCTCCGCTCTGCTTCTTTCTTCCGCCGCGCTTCAATTAGCTCGTGGCGGTTCCTCGCTGGACGCCCGTCTGGCCCATCAGCTTTGCGCGATGCACGCATGGCCTCAAGCTTTGCAGTCAAACGCGCTTGGAAAAGTGCCCGGCTTTCGTCGTCGATTTGTAGTGGCTTCTTCTGTTTCTTTTCTTGTGGCGCATCCGTGGAAGGAGGGATTGAGGACGATGAAGAGGCGGCAGATGCAACAGACGCTGTAGAGGAATTGGAATTTGCAGTGGTGGAGGGAGCGGTTGACTGACCCTCTTCAACGAGACCACTGACATCGAGATTCTGCATGCGGTCCTCAGCGTCTTCTGGGTTGTCGTCATTATCACTGTCTCCATCTTCTTCGGCCTCGTCCTCTGGCTCCTCTGGCTTTGTCAAGCCCTTGCTGAACTCGACTCCCTGAGACTTCTTGTTTTCTTCTTTTTGCTTGTTCTTTGTCTGCTTCTCCTTCCTCTTCTCTCTTCTCTTTTCAGCCTTTGCCGCATTCTTCTGCTCCGCTTTTGTCAACTTTGGTGCTTCGGTGGCGTCAACATCGGCATCAGCCTCTTCTTCTGGCTCGGGCGCCTTGGTCTTCTGCTTCTTCGCCTTCTTGATGCCCTCCAAGGGTTTCTCCTTCTCGATATCCATATCAAGATCTGACGACTCAGCCGCCGACACGTCGCCTTCGAGCTCGCGCTTTCGCTTCAGCGCATTTTCGTCCATGACGTCTTTGGCTGATTTGTGTGAGGCCGGGTCTAGCTTCGCTCGCTTTGCGGCTGCGCGTTCCTCGGTGGTTTGCTTCTTCTTCTTTTGCCATTGGGTCTGAGGACGTGGTGTCAGCGAGAAGTCGACCCCACACGCAGTGGGAGAGAACTGACACTAGTGATGCTTTCATCCTTTCCATAGTAGTCCTTGGCTGGGATGAGTGACATCAGCCCCTCGAATGCCCGAGCATGGCTCTTCAAGCGCTCCTGGAGCTCCCAGTTAGCGGCAAGAACGGTGCGGGCAGCGCCTCCCTTGTGCGTACCTCGAGTGTGTCGCCCATGTTGAAGCTATCCGACAACAACAGTTGCTAGTCGAATACAGTCGCACCTACGAGGATTGAGCGTGGGTGAGGGTGTCGCGGCGGGTGTGTCGTGTGCGGCTTCGTGAAAATCGAGGTCGAAATCTTGGCTAAGGAAATCTCACTTTCGCGCTAAAAGTAGACCCCAGACGACTTTCCACACCACCAGGACACGGGCCAATAGGACGCCGCCACCCCGACCACCGCTTTCTGACGTCGCTCGCGTGCCCACCGAGCACTGCACGTATTTGACCGCCCTCGTCTACCCTGTGAACGTTGATGCTCGGCTGTCAGACCCGTCCATCTCGCACGGCATAGCAGGCACGGTGCTTTTCTTTCGCTGAACAGCATAGTCCGGCACCGTTGGCGAAGAGACGCGTATGCACAGCCACGCAAAGGCAAGCATAATCTCAGCGTCGCCTTGCCCCATACATGTATAGCTTGAACAAGATCGCCGCGTGGACAGCAAGCAACCCTCCATAGCAACCAACAAGCCTAAGTAGCGACCATTTCTTCATTCTTTTTCGCCTGCCGTATTAGCTTCCGTCCCTCTCCCCAATGTCTACTCCCGCCGTGGAGGCCAGGTCCCTGTCATCGATCACCGCACTTGCTTCCAATCCGCCCGCATACCCACGTAATCCCACGCATGTGAGGAATGATCCGCTTGTACTCTATATCGCACGTGTTCCCGGCAGCAAAGGTAAGGCTGCCCCGCGTCTGTTCGGCTCTGTTCTGATCACGATCCAGATGTGTTCCTCTCGCCTATGAAACCTAGACAAAAGGTGGTCACTGTGGAAGACATTACGAGTTCGCTGTACTACTTGCATGTCGAGCAGCCAGAAGATGCAAACCTCGTTGCACCTCCTGAGTTCCAAGTGCCTGACTACCGGAACCCGCAACCGTTGGGTTTGGATCCTCCTTCGTCAACAGTCCCACGGAAGGCCGTCCCTGGCGCAACCGGTGTCCCTCAACGGAAACCTGTGCTTGGTACTCTTGCGCCCATCGAGAACTACGGAAGTCGACAGAATTTGAGCGCGGGCAACTATCCTCGACAACCGGGCATGCTGGCTCCACATCTGGATCCGAGACAGTCCTTCGAAGGCTCACGATATCAAGCAGAAAACCTGCGCCCCGCATTCACTTCCAATCGATCTCCTGAAAGATCTCATCCAATGGGCACATCACTCACTCTCATCCGACGAGACCCTGCTTCTGGCGCTCAGTGGAATGTCGCAAGGATTGAAGACCCCCCTATTGCTGAAATATCATCATCAACTCTCAACGAATCAGCGGTCAAAAAGAAGATAGGGGCACCCATGTACATTGACGTGACAAACCCGGGTTACTCAAAGTTCTTGCAATCAGAGAATGCTGACAGGCCACCGTTACCAAGCCGTCCCAGTGACGTGTTTGCTCGACCTAATCAGATAGCGACCCAATCACACGCACAAGTATCTGAAGCAGCAACCGATAGCTCGAATACATTCCGACGGCGCCTCTGGATGGAGGGGTCGCAGTATACTAGCGGCGGCTTTGGGCACCGGAAGAACAATTCACATGACTTCAACAACTCGGGGCGTCCAGATTCAAGAGGAGGCAGCTATGATGCACCGAGAGACGGTTACTCGTTTGAGAATAGGCCTGCGGGATCACCTTCATTTCCAACTCGTGCCGACCAAACCTATAGCACCATACAAATATCAGATAAATCAACGAGCTTCCGTGGCTATGTTTTCACCAGTCCATGGAATGGTCGGTGCGAATTCACTACTAGTGCCGGTGGTGGTACCTTGAAGGTGGGCGTCAATGCTGAACTTCCACTGCCTCAAGCTAACATATTGGCAGTGTCGGCACATTATTCCTGGTCTACAAGGAGCACCCGCAGCCATGCCCGTCAGTGAACTTCGATTCAATCTGCCAAGTAGATCCATGCCCGTCACTCCCAGAGGGGAGGAGTCGTCAAAGAGGTCATCCTTCTTCCATCGTGGTCGGCACAGTCGCAACAATTCGTCGTTGTCCGTCAATCGGGACGAAGTGGAAGATGCTAGGAGGTCTATGGATCGCCTGGACCTATCTTTGGGGCAAGAGTTCGCAGGTGGAGGATTTGGCGGGAAGCAGGCGAAATTGGGGAAGATAATCATAGAGGATGAAGGCTTGAAGATGATGGACCTCTTGGTTGCCGCAAATCTAGCATTGTGGTGGAGGGCATATGAGAAGGCCGGTGCGCCATCTCGAGGTGACCGCGGAAGCTTCTAGGAATCTCGGTGGAAAGAAGAGTGCAATCGCATAGCGTTTGGAGTATCACGATCGGCTTCGATCCCTTTGCAGAGGGCTTGAGTGCCGCGGTCTACTAGTATACTTGGCCCACATTAATAACATTCAGGCCTTATATATACACCATCTGTTGACATAGTGACCTCGCTGGCATTTGGGAGAAGGCTCGTGAATTTGCTCGCGACCACTCACTCGTATTCACCTGCTCTTCACCTCGCCTTCCTAGCTTATGCACGCCCGCCCCACATCCTCCAACAACATTGCTCCTTGATCTACGCTGAATCAACGCAACCATGATACCAAATAGAACATGACGTCTGCGTCGAAATCTGACACCAGCGACCGGCGGCTTAGGTCGTCTAGCCACCAGAGCGAGAACATTGATGCAGTGCGACCAAGTCATATAGCCAGCATTGAGCCAACAACAGCCGTAAAACGAGAAAGCGCAGCACGTACTCAGCCAAGGTTATCACGGTGCGCAAAAGTGCAGAAAGAGAAAGAGACACCAGCAAACGTTGAGGCAGAAGGGAAACATCCGACAGGCAAAGACAGGAGCGTCACTTTGCGACCTGTACAGAAGCGAAAGCGAAAAACAATAAGTCAAGCGGTCACTACAGCTAAATCTTCGCCCACTCAGGAGCCTAAGGTCTCAAAACGCCTCTGCCCGCCTATTTCCACCATTCTCCGAAACGTGAAGGACTACAAACTGTTTGTAGCTTCAATCCAAGAGAACAACGGAGTACCGGCACAACAGCGTTTCCTTGAGATCCATCTAGACGCGAGCAACAACGACGAGTACGTCGATCTTCATCTAATCATCACCCTCAATCAACTTCACCCGAGGCCCGACGGAACCAATCCCCACCACTTCGAAACCATCAGGCTGGTGATAGAAGGAGAATGGCTGTACACGCGTTACAACTACAACCTAGCTTCACCTGCCCTGACGTCTGCCATTTCGTTTGAACATTCGCCGCTCGATTATGCTGCACACGCCCCGCTGGAGAGACTTACTGCTTTCAGTCCAAAGCAGGAGAAGAAGCAGAAAATGCAATGCAAGCCCGACCCAAACACGCCATTGACTAAGCAAGAGAAGACAGAGCTCTCGTACAGGGTCAACAGTACTGAGAGGCTCGTCGCCAAGGCACTGCTTGGTATCCGCGGGCTGGAGGAAGTTGTCTTCGCTGGCGATGGCGCGATGGAAGGAGTTTTTGCTGAAGTGCTCAAGAACACTTTGGTACAGCTACCGGATACAGAGGTCGCGGAACCATCTGGAGATGTCTTGGCTCACTCGACGCTCCTGCTATATCGCTATGGCGAAGGAAACATCGAAAGTTCAAGCTATCATACAAAGCGCATCGAGGCAGATTCTGACGATAGTGAGCTGGGGATGGACGACATGGTTCGGGTTAGGAAGATGGAGCAAGAGGAAGGACATTATGAGAGTGGGAGGATTGATTTTCTGAGAGACGCTGTTCTGCCTTTGACGGATTGGCAGAATGTAGTGGAGATGGGGTGGGAAATTTGATGAGATGGTTGAAGTCGGGCTTTTGTGGAGGAGATGGTCAGTGAGATGTTGAGTGTCTCTTAGAGTACTATATGGTTGGCAATATTATTACAAGCATTCTAAGAGACTAGGAGCGGGATTCAGTGCTGCATTTTGGGTAGATTCTTATACGCAAGACTCGGCGAATGTGCTTAGTTAAGCTTCCTTCGAAATTTCGTTCATATGTGTGAGTACCACATCGCATTATACGAGAAATATATGCAAGAAATGTCTCAAGCGTGACAGAAGCTGGAAGACCAACTTACCATTTTTACTCCAAAACTTCTCAAGCAGCTATCAAGACTCTAAAGTAAGCGCACTCCACTTGCTATCAACCATAGGACTATTCTTCATGAAGGAATTCGCACTATAATCCTTGTGAGTCTGCGCTAAGCTACCGCTGAACACAACGAACGCGCATTCTCCGGATCTTAAAGTCGTCATAGACCCCTGATTTCGTTTTCGTGCTCGTTACATACCGCGTTCTCTGCAGCTGATTATACGTGACACACGCTTCCGCGCACTAAGTCAATGTATGTGCGACCAAAGAACCAACCTCGTTGGAGTCATAGTTGGTCAGGTCCTTGCATGTATACTGAATGGGTTAATGGTGAGAGAGGGACAAGTGATTTTGACGCGATCGACCTTGGAGGGTGGGGTTGGGGTGTAGAATGATTGGGAGTTTGAGGTTGCAGAAGCTACCTAATGGGTGGATGGAGGAGACTTGGGAGGCAAGTTTGGAACTGAGTCTGGGAGTGTGTTGTGTTGAAGGACATGTTTCAGTAGGAACTCCGACTTTGCGTTTTTGACGGCGAGGGAGCCGCCTCCGCCTGTGGCTGCTAAAATGATGACGATGAGTAGTAGCAGAACCAACCAAAAGGCTGGGTGGCGAAAGCCAAGGGTGCTTTTTTCTTTTGTAAATTCGTGTGTTGACTGAGCATGCGCGGCAAGTTTGTTGTGTTGTGTTTGGGCGTGAGGCTGAGGTTGATCCTGATACAGGTGAGGGTGGCATACTTCCGGCCCTTCGCTGTACGTCACTTGAGATGCGGCAACCTCGTCGTATGCTGTTGGTTCCAATGAGTATGACCTTTTGCTGACTTAGCAAGCCTGTCTACCTAGGATATATGAGATCTACAAGAAGTGCACATGTGACATAAAGAGATCTATATAACCGTGTACAGGCTGGCAGAGGCGGAGCGTGTCGTGGAACCTTATCTCTATGTACGTGAACACGGGCTCTTTTATCTGACAGACTGTATGGGCGATTTCTCGATAGTGGATGGGCAGAGTGGTAGCGCGCTTGTGGCTTGAAAATTTGGGGCTGCACTCGCGGTGTGCCATTGGCTTCTAGTGACAGTTCGATGTGCTAATCCTTTGTTATGTTGCTTCGCAAACTATGTCTTCGTTGTCACTCTCGCTATTCCTCAATGATATCGGATATATGTCTGGCCGTGATCATACGCGCCCTCGAAATGCACCACGTTAGATTTTATTGTTAATATATATAGTTAGCGAAACGTCTTAGGCGTGGCTCGGCAGTCATAGTATGGAAGATGAGACGCGCAGCATGGTCTTTTTCAACAACTTGCCAGCGTTTCAGTCGTATTGTTTGCGATTGCTAGTCTGTACATTCTCGTAGAGATGCTCCTAGCCTCGAGGGCTCTTTTCCGGTTCCTAATCATCCCGGGACTCAGTGTTTCAACCATATCCATTTGTTGCCGGATTGCTGTCTATCCTCATATTCCCCAGTCGAGATCAACGTGGTATCAGAGACCTCAGGATCTCTAAGTCGCGCTACGTGCTTTGTTGTTGATTGTGTCGCGCCAGAATCACTCGTTCTTGTTGCTTTTCCAGAAATTCCTTGTGCACTCAGGTGCACAGCTCCCGTGGACCAGCCTGGCTGTAGATGTCCCATGACTGGGTTCATGAAAGGCCAGGCAGTCGCCATAACGGTCATCGTGGCTACCAAAACAGACGATATAACAATATCGACGCTACTTGATGTTGGATCGCGTTGCTCCGAGTGACGCTCTCGGAAGAGGAAGAACACCTTGAATGCGGCAGGAATAGCGAGTCTGCGACATATGTCAGCCGATTTAAAATTAGGTAAAACGTGGCTGCATACAAGAATCTCGATGAAAAGAGGGCCAAGAGAAAATATCGTGTGCGTGACATTTGAAGAATGATCACTATGCGACAAAGCACCACGGCTAGGCATATGTTGGTGGCCATGTTTATGATGTCAATGATGGCCCAGAAAGCAGCTCGATCGAAGCATTGGCCTCGGACAGATCGCCATGGCGCAGGAGTGCCGCACTGAAAAGCAGTGGCCAGCGTTGATGCCCTAATAAATCATTTAATCAGTTTGATCCTAATCAATAGAGTTACTGCGCTCACAAATACCATAGAGAGTTCCATGCCATCAAACCCTGTAGCACTCGCAAAAGTTTCAAGGCTGGCTCGAGCATCAGCCCAAACACAACTCCTGTTGCATTTGCCAGAAATATTGTAGCGACATATAAAAAGTAAGAAGCATATTCGATCTGGTTTAGAGTTAGCAGGTTCCTCATGGAGACTCCAAGCCCTATACTCGCCTTCTCATATCTCGCAACGTCCCTGTCGCTCAGGCTATCTAAATGCTTCCCAAGTCCTGCCTTCACCTGTTGCGATACCGTCACACTGTACGCTCCCAATGATAACTAAGACTTATTAGCAAAGTAAGAGCCGATCATGTTGAGAACACTTACAAGTGACAGCACGAGAAGATAATCATCGAGCTGTAGATTTCCAGCATGGATCTTCTGCCCACGCCGACCCAGCTTTGTCCATACCTTTGCAACAATAGAAAGCGCACATAGAATGAAGCAAATCCACACTGCAATATCAATGGCCGGACCGCGATTGTCGCTGTTGATGCTGTTCCCGGGCGACGGCATCGCGCTCGACTGGTGCACGAAGCCAGCAGCGACGACCCATAATCGGCTTTTGGTGCGCACGGAAATCGGACCCCAAAGATAAAGTGGGTAGCGTCATCATATCTCAGCCAACACGAAGAAAGTCGAGGTCACCTGGGCCTGACTTTGCGCCAATGGCTTGTATCCGCCATTGCTCTTGGCCGCTCTGCCGTGGCAAATGGATCAAACGTCAGACTAGCTTCAATTGATTGATTGACTGCAGCGAAAGTGAGTGTTGAAAGCCTGATATGGCATGGGATGCGACGCGCTCAATTATCTGGAAGGATTGCGGCGCAGGCAATTCGGTCACCGACTCACAGGGATTAATGGCAACCTAGGAACCTCGGGATGCCCGGACATCGACTGTCCTATGATAAGTTTACTTGTACACCCTTTTTCTCACATTTTACAAGGGTGCTACATCCTCGGCGGTAGTCAGTCAAGGGATGTGATGTAAACTGCAGATTATGAACAGTACAAAAATGTGGTTCCGCGCCTGCCTTCGGTAGCCGACTGCATGACGGGGTCTTGCAGTTGTTTCCATCCGACTATGAATCCTTACTTGTGTGCATTGTGGTATTCACGATAAGTAGTACATGCTTCTGTCTGCATCTTTGGGTGTATGGTGTTCGGAAGGAAGAAAGTACCCATTCCAGTCAAATATTGAACATCTTGTCATGTATTCTCCTCCAACGTCACCTCGGCTGACTAGATGAGAACTAAATTTTGATGCTAGTCAATACCATGGTCTGGACATCTTGGCCAGTTTCCTTTTATTCTTTCACCCGCCGGTCATTTTCGCGCCAGCACAACATAAGTCTGCCAAACAGGGAATCATGTTCTCCACCTCTTGAATGCACTGTGATAACGTCTCTGATGTTCCGAGAGATGGGTCAACCGACTAGGGTTATTGGCGAATCGCCTGATGCGTATTGGTACGTCACAAGGATGCCCAACAGGAAGGTGGCACAGTACGATACTACCAACGCTACGACGAAACACAATTTGTGATCCGTGAATTAAGTGTAAAGCTTCTTTGGCCGGCTTGAATTTTGTGACCAAGAGACCCTCATCACTATCTTCGTCATCTGATAATAGTACCCGCCATGGAGTTCGAGGTCGCACCTGCGTCCGACGATGACGTACGCCAGATCATTCACATCATGTTCAAAGCGTACGGAGGAAAGAACGAGTACATCAACGCTGTTTTCCCTCGTGGGCTGACCCCTGAAGGAGAAGATTTGACCGCACAGCGGCTTTTGTTCATCAAAAACATCGCACCTGGTATCAAATGGGAGAAAGTCACCGACTCTGCCAATGGAACCATAGTTGGAGGTGCAATGTGGGCACTCCACGAAGATGCAAAGCCCCAAAGATTTCCCTTGGATGGGCCACCAGGAACATGGGAAAGTGACGCAGAGAAAGAATATGCTCAAGCCCTTTTCAATTCTTTGGGGGTTGACGAACACAAGTATTACGAAGAGAATGAATTGCCGTTCATGAGTACGTCGCTCAACAGTTATGTTTTACGTGGCTGATGACTTTTAGGACTTGTTATTATGGCTATTGAGCCCGCATACCAACGACGTGGAGCAGGAGCTGAGTTGCTGAAGTCGGGTCTCAAGGTAGCAGATGAAGCCAAAGCAGCTGTAAGTGTGCCTTTGAATGTAGTAGCTACGCATATTGACAACAACAGACTACTCTCATAGCAAGTCCTGAAGGGAAAGGACTATACGAGAAGCATTCCTTCACAACAATACAGGAGCGAGACTTGGACGTGCCCGAAAGGTTTTCCGACAAACCGAAGTACCACATCTGGTCGATGGTGCGCCCTAGAAAGCATACCTTGTAACGGCTAGAACATGGAAAACGATCAAACTGAACCAAAGACTGTGTATTTAGATTTCCATCTGCATTTGGTCGCAAATATTGTTTTGTATCTCCACGGAGAGAATTCCCCACTCCATAGACCTTTTCATGCCTCTAGATCCTCAATAAGTTGTTGCTGACGTGTCCGACTTTTCGGACTTTTCTTCAGAGTCCCATAAGAAGAAAAGCGCCGCATCTTCTGGGACGAATTCGGGCTCCACGGGATCTTTCGTAAAATGAAGTTCTCCCGAAGGACTGATTGTAGTATCTTGCCCACAAGGTCAATAACGCAATGGAAGACTTCAGATTGGAGTGCACACCTTTGACTGGCCTGGCGCTGACGCCTAGGGTCAGCAAGAAAGTGATTGCGATAGATAGTAGGTGCATGATGGTCGATAAAGTGATTTATTCGATGGCAAAAGTAGATTTTCTCGTGACGAGTACGGACGTTGAGGAAACAACCCAGGTTATATCTCCAGGTATGAGTGCAGCTTCAGAGCATTCTACTAAATGTACAAGGAACGAAAGGCCTCAGGTTTTCTCAGCAGGGATATATTGGAGCAATGCGAGGATAGCATGCGGCCAATGATTGGTTCCATGGTGCCTGATCAACATGTTGTCCAGATGAAGAGTCAGCTCCGATGATAAGAGAACAGGCTATCCAGGCTATCCACTTAAACTGAGACATTCTAGACACGGTAGACGACTGTTCCGCCTATGACAACTCGCATCTAATCATGCAAATAGAGGGACTTCAGATCTTCACTCGCGCTTACGACTAGCCAAGGCTCGTATTACCTCAACGGCTGACCGGTTGACGGCTGTACCCTTCAGCCGGGAAGATCTCGCACAAAAGCGGCTATCGGGCTTGACAAGCTGCATTTTTTCGACATTGACTTGAGTTGACATTGTGGAACTAGGCATCACCTCGGCAGCGACCAAGAGCAGGCAAATACTTGATATGGTGTCTGGGTCCCCCCGCACGGATGAAGTCTTCCCAGCATGAATGTGAACCCATATCTCTCATTATATCACTAAGAGTACACATCATCCTGTAATATGAAAGAACATGAGCAAAATCTCCCACTCCTTGAAGATGAGGGTCTGAACTCTCCAGACTCTAGGCAAAGTCGATATTCCCCCTTCTTATCGAGAGCCCGGCAGACAAAATTCGTCGTAGCTCTCGGTATCTACGGTCTTCTCATGACTGCGATTGTTGTAGTTCAAAATCTGCCGCATGCGAAAAAGGCCGATCCTTATTGTAAGGTGCAAATATTCCACGGAGTGGAAAGCATTGGTTGACGAAACTCAAGCGCCCGCCGGACATCTCCTCCAATTTGAACAACGGAAGGCAAACCCAGACGAACATTCAATATTTTCAGATCCTCCATCATCAGAAGTTGACAAAGCATGGGATGATCTAGTCCGCCGTAGGGTGCCCTGCTTCATGTTTTATACACGAAGAGGCTAAATCATCACTTCTAGCAATCTACTTCTCTGCTACGGAAGAAGAGGTCAAGTCTTCGAATGAAGAACCAGACGACACGGTCTCACTGCTCGATAGAGATGGTTACCTGGGTACGATAGGTGTGTATCATGGCTTACATTGTATGGTGAGTTCGCGTTAGTGTCTTCACGCGAAACAGATGCTGACAACAAAGTAGCGAAGAATATACTGGCACCTTCACGAAGACACTTATTTCAAGAACCGCACAGCTGAGGCCCGGGCTGTGGAAATTGTTCACGCCAGTAAGCAAATGCCAACTACAAGTCCTCTTTTATCGCCCCAAAAGGCATTCTAATTCAGACTAGGACACTGTCTCGGAGTCGTAGTCAATGACCTTATGTGTAACGCCGATACGGCTCTCTACACTTTTGGTTACTACCCTGACCGAGACCCGATACCGCGACTCAAGTCTGGAGCATCAAGACAATGTCTAAAATGGGATCCATTTCATCAGTGGGCGACAGATCGAGCACCGGGATATCACCCAAGACTACAAGCACCTGTAAATCTACTCCGCGAGAGGACTTTTGAGGGCAGTCTGCAGGCAGAGGACATGGATGTCAGCTCACTCAAGGAATGATGCGAAGCCAAATTTGTTGAGTTTAGGCAAGGAAGGCGATGGCACTCTTTTCTTCGACAAAGGTTGCTTGTATAGTATCATAGACATCGACCCCATGAAGACGTTAAAGCCAAGAGAAGGCCTTGTTTTTAGAACATCGAGATGTAATACACTCTTGTGCCTACAAGATCTCAGGAAGTTCTCAATTCTCTGAGCCTCCCATCAAAAGAGCGAGCTTTTGATCCTAGGTATGCATTGATCAGGTATTAATTTTTTCAAACTTCTTGGTACTGGATTCAACCCTTGCCGTTATTTGTGTGTTGAACTGGCTGTTCGCTTCGTCGGGTAAAGGCATCGCATACCTCACGTTTTGTCGGTCACCGAAACCATTCGGCTCCTGCAGCCAAGCCATGCAGCCAAGAACTGCAGCACGAATCCATCGCCTGTAAGAAGGCACGTAATCTAGACATCTCCTTGAATCCTTCGATTGCGTGCAACTCGAAGCGCCTGCTGAAATAGGCAGGTAAAAGTTGGGGAACTAGACACATCCTATTCTTAGCTGCTGACACAAGCTTGAGAGGTCTTTACCACGCGCGTGCCGCTCTAGACCCATCCGTGCTCTGGTAACACTTGCCTAGGTAACTTTACATCGGTACATAGTTCGTAGTAACAAGCATCCTGTCATACTTCCGAACATCCTTGTGTGCTCTTTGTCCCGTGTTTGTTGCATCTTCAGAAAAATATTCAGAGTTATCGTTCTCTTGAGAGACGTCGAGATGCATGACGTGGAGTTCCAAGATCAAGTCTCATCGCTGAGATCGATAGACAACATAGCATACTCAGCATCCAAATCTTCGTCAGGCTGGAGCAGCGATGAGCAGTTACTTGCACGTTTTGGCAAAGAACAGCAGTTCAAGGTATGATGAAGATTGCATTGCGCAAGTGCTCAGCCTGCTGACTGAAGGAGCGTAATTTCAATCTCTTAACTGTCATAGCATTGTGCAGCACTGTCAGTAAGTCGCAAGAGAACTGAATCCCTCACGTATCAGCAAACATACTGACGCAGTAAAAGTGAATGCCTGGGCCGGTATGCTGAGGTGTGTAAACACTACATAGTGAGGTGATATGCGCGCTGACTTTTCAAAAGTGGCCTCCAATTAGTTCTCTTCAATGGTGGCCCGACAGGATTTCTCATATCTTTCCCCATTGTGTTTCTGGGAGTTCTAATGCAGGCCTTAGTAGTCGCTGAGCTGGCGTCAATGTACGTCCTGTTCTACATGACCATCTCTAACGAGGCGTACTAACAGTAATACAGGATTCCGCTTTCGGGCGGGCAGTATAACTGGGTTGCGATACTAGCTCCTCGCAGGCTTTCAAACTTCCTGTCCTACTTCGTGGGCTGGATCGTTACCATCGCATGGCAAGCTGGTGCTGCCGGAGTGGCCTTCCTGACGTCTAACGTCATCCTCGGTCTGGCCAGTGCAGTTCATCCCGATTATGAAATGAAGAAATGGCACGTAACGCTGGCCTTCTTCGCAGTTATCACGCTGGCCGTGTTGGTGACTACAGTGCTCGGGCGTCTCTTGCCCACTATCGAATCTGTTGCCTTTGTCATCTTTGTCATGGGCTTTTTCGTCTTGATCATTGTGCTGAAGTACTTGGCACCTAAGACAGACAGTTCTCAGGTGTTTCAAAACTTCTTCAATGGTGGTGGTTGGAACAATAATGTTGAGGCCACCTTTGTTGGCGCTATACCCATCATGTTTGGTTTCAACGGCTTCGACGCTGGAGTGCATCTCGGTAAGCTCTAAGATTCGACGCATTGCTAGTAAAAGGCTCATGAATTGTCGCAGCCGAAGAAGTCAAGGACGCTTCTCGAGTTGTTCCAAAGGCTACAATCATCTCTGTTGGCTTATATTTCGTGATGGGGTATTCTATGGCAATCATGATACTGTACTGCTTTTCCCTTGAAGAAGTCCTCACCTCGACATACAGCATTCCAGTCATAGGCATTTTCCGAACCGGACACAGTCCAGTGGCGGAACTGCAGCTCTGGTGAGTAACTGTCCTCAAATATGTACATCTTACTGACATTAGACTACAGACGTCACTCATCATCATAATGCTGATATTCGGCACAATTGGATCTATGGCTACTGCGTCCCGCATGTTGTGGGCATTTGCCAGAGAAGAAGGCGTTCCTTGCTCTCGACATATTTCCAAGGTAGGTGAAACACACACTTCTGGGATTCATATTTTTTTCAATATTTCAATTGGTGCGTTGTGCTAACACACAATTCAAGATTGAACGCAATTCAGGTTTACCATTGTACTCGATCGCCACAACTGCCCTGCTCTCTATGCTATTTGCTCTCATCGGCCTTGGTTCGGATGCTGCATTCAGTGCATTGACGGGTCTTACGGTAGCGTCGTTCTATGCTGGCTTCATGGTTTGTGCTATTCTACTGTTGTATCGCCACTTCACCGTGCCGAATATGCCTTGGGGCCCCTTTCGATTGGGTATTTTCAGAGTTCCAGTCGCCATTCTATCTCTCGCATACAGTACTGTGGGTATACTCTTCTGCTTTTGGCCACCCGTAGCTGTCGTTACAGTAGCGGTTTTCAATTGGTCTTTGGTTGTATTTGTTGGAGTCGTATCAATTTCCATTTTCTGGTGGATTTTGGTCGCGCGGAAAACATATAAGGGGCCGAGGATGGAGATTTCTAGTCAACGATGGATGGAATTATTTGCCGAGCCCATAATCGTCTCGCATAAGGACACCAATGTTGCATAGAATTTAGCATTGAAAGAAAGAAACATTATCAAATAGCGCCTCCCTCCAATTTGATGTAGACATAAACAAAATTCTGGAAGGAAGAATGACATTTCATTCATTATTAGCCACTCACCACTTGTATCCTAAGTTCACAGCCTACTAAATGTGTTTTGGCCGTCGAATGGCGTCCTCAAAGGTAGTGCGGAGGTGACTGATGTGGTTACAGATGTTAGCTCACAGTTAGCATTGAGAAACCGCTTGGGACTGGAATACTGCAGGACAACAAGATAGCGGAACGAGAGCTGGACTGGGCTTTGAAAGTACTTAAAGCTACTACAAAACCGAATCGCGACGCAAAATCATTTGAGTCTGAAGCAGCCAAAGGCGGAGATGATGAGGAAGTGGCTAATGGGGATGAGACTGCTGGTGGAGGAAGTGGCGTACTAGTCGATTATGATTCTAAGAAGCCCCCAAAAAGATATTGGAATGATAGGATCGAGGAGCGGCTTGCAGAGCTAATACCTGACGTGCTGGGCGATTGGGCAGCCTTTTCGCCGAACGACCAATCGCGAGCTTCGAAGGCGCAGCACTACACGAGGGAGAGTACTGACGACAGCCAGAAGATATTGCACAGCATGAAGATATCAGCGCACATGATGTAGACTACTAATTATTAGATGCGTCTTTCTTGCATATGTGATGCACTCTCCATGGCTTGTTGTGACACAATCCTCCGATACACATTTGCTTGCGTCCACGGCTTCTAGTCTTGGACCCGTCCAGCCTTCCCTCATTACCCTTGCATTATTGCGTCATTGCTTATACAAAAATCAGAGCCTTCTCCTGGTGCATATTGCTGCCTAGAAACTTCGCATACCACATTCAAGAGATGGCTCTTCGTGGCATCCAAGACCTTACAGCAATGCAAGAATACATGTATATATCCACGTAATACCCCAGGGCGATAACCATGCGATTACTCAACGTGGCCACTTTCCAGCTTGAAACGTTCCACCATTCAGATCTCCCTATCCCAGAATATGCCGCACTATCACATACATGGGGACACGAAGAGGTCACATTTCAGGATATTATGACTGGCTCGGGCCGAGAAAAAGCTGGCTGGCCCAAAATACTTGAGTCGGCCGCCAAAGCAGCAGAGCATAGTTGCAAATACATCTGGATCGACACGTGCTGTATCGACAAAACCTCATCGGCCGAACTTTCTGAAGCAATCAATTCCATGTTCCGTTGGTATCAAAAGTGTAAGATTTGCTTCGCTTACCTTGAGGATATCTCGGTACAATACAAAGCAACAACCAGCCATTTGAGCATTGACTCTGTGCTTGTCGCTCCTGGAACCAAATCGCCTTCGCCACTTCATCATCCTGTCTCTTTTTCGAAAGCTCGCTGGTTCAGCAGGGGCTGGACGCTCCAAGAGCTCATCGCTCCGGGTGTTCTCTACTTTTATGATTCAGACTGGAATTTCATTGGGGAGAAGAAGACTCTCTTAAGGAAATGTCTGAGGTCACGGGAATTGATGCAGACGTGATTGTGGACCAGACGTTCTTGTTCCACAAAAGTATTGCACAAAAGATGTCATGGGCCTCCAAAAGAGAGACCACGAAGATTGAAGATCTTGCATACTGCTTGATGGGTATTTTTGGGGTCAACATACCATTATTATATGGTGAGGGCGCAAGAGCCTTCACACGGCTGCAAGAGGAGATCATGAGACGCGACTACGACCACAGTTTATTTTCATGGAATAACGATTTCACGAAAGCCTGTAGAATAGACATTATTGGGGTGTCTGAGCGAGCTCCTAGTGGTATTGGAATACTTGCGCCGCATCCATCTGCTTTCCGCAAAGTCGGTGATATTATCCCGTACACGACAAAGACAGAACCCTATTTTACAACCAACAGAGGACTTCAGATCGTCCTTCGTGTTTTGGAACATGCGCATCCAGAAGGAAGCCATACACATATTGCAATCCTCCGATGCCGCTACAGGAACAACCTCGATACTGCCATCGCAATACCGATTGCTCCAGTAATTGCACCGGGATCATCGAACACACAAGCCGAATTCTACCGTACTGCCGACGATGACCTTGTTGATGTCAACTACTCGCTAGTCGCAATGTCAAAGAGCCAAGTCGTTTACCTGCACGAGATAGGGCCTACCTGGAGATGCAAGGAGCCGCAAAATTCTCATTGTTGTTGGCTCCGCGAATATGGACAGGAACTGGGCATTCGATACATCAAGGCTTGGTCTCGCCAGTATCCTCTCCTAATGCCACTCATTGATGAGAAGCCATCCAAGGCATGGAATTACGCTAATAACGCGATGGCATCGGCCAAAGACTGGCGTGGCACCCGAGCGGCACTATTCTTCTCTACGAAGAACGGGGCAGCTTTAGTAGTGATTCTGACGCTGATGTACATCACTGTTGGAGAAGGATATCCGAGAATGCATGTTCAGATCAAGCCGATGCTTGATGGAATTACAGAGGTGGATCAGGCGAGTGACATTCTCGGAGAAACAATTCCTTTCGTGCATGGGCAAGAGCTCATTGAAACCCAGACCACATTCCCTTTTAAGGGTCGCATCGTAACTGCTCGGTTGAGGAGGGAGAATATGCCCGATGATATGGTTTTCGTCTTGGATCTTATGTTCTCGGGTACTACAAAGTATTCGAGTAGGAAGCAAGCCACGCCGAACAAGAACTTTAGATCAAGGCTGTGACAGCACTTTTCAACATATACATAGGTGCCCAAATGAGTTACTTGCAGCGATACGATCCTTCCATAAGACTCCAAAGCGACTTCTTCCTTCAGCTTTCCAGGTCTGTTCTTTCTCCAATGCAAAACGTACGTGTGCCGTTCGTCATTGTCATCTGACCTCCACGTCTCTTAATTCGAGCTTAAAACAGTTGATGTCCGTCCACTTTCATCTTCCATCCTTCATCAACACCTTTACCTGCAACACACCTAGCAGCCAGCATCACACACACTATTGCTCACCTCAGCATACCCACCTACCGGCCTAGCAACCTTGACGTTCGCTAGCCGCATTGACAACTTAGCATGTTCTCAGTCTACCTCAACACACAATCACTGTCGGCCGCGATGCTCTTCACTGGAATCATCCTCGCGCCAGTAGCACTCGCCACACCGGCAGTCCAAGATCTCAACGACTTGAGGACGGTAGTTGATGCAGCAGCGAAAACGATCGGAGATCCTAGCAATCCCAATCGAGGTTGGGGCTTCAATATTGGCAACAAAGGGATGGGCACTGCGGACTTGCTCAACAACATCACGAACACGGTGCTGCAGATCAAGTTTCAGATCGACACGAATAAGGTGAGTGCCATTGCCGCAGTATGTTGACGATGCCGAAGACTGACAAGAAGCAGACCGCATGGCTCCTTCCAAATGCCACCAGCCCTGACCTCAACACCACCACACCCACGCCTTCGTTGCCGCTGACCTCCAGCATCGTCCTGCCATTAACAGCTCCAACCTCTCTAGTCAACGCTACAACTGACCTCTCGACACCATACATCGACTATGTCGCTGCCATCCCCAACCTCGCTACATCTCTAACATCACTGGGCCGGTACATCTTCACCCATCCTTCCTTCTTTCACAGTCCGTACTGACAACAAAATCTCCCAGTGCCTACCACCGCGAAATGAACAGCCCAGTAAGCCAAGCCATCGACGGCCTCCAACAATCCCTCACAACCCTGCAAACCACAATGCTGCAGAGCGACCTGATCGGCAGCCAAGCGGTCCTGCGCACCATCCGCGCAAGCAGCAGTCTTGAGAACGCTCAGGTGGCTTGGGGCCGCTTCCTCAATCTCCCGGGACGTGCATCGGCTGGTGGCTCGGGGAGCGGGAATGATGACCGTGAGGGTGCGAGGAAGCGTCAGCTTTTGAGACCGGCGCTGGCGGATGGCAAGTTCTATACGCACAAGGAACTTTGGGGACGCAGTGAGGGGAGATCCAAGGCATTGAGGGATGGTAAGACGAGGTGGGCGGAGGCTGTTGCGAAGTTGGAGGCGCATAGGGCGAGGGTGCTCAACGGGCACGCGAGAGTTGGACGGCCGTTCGTTGTTTGAGGCTTCTCTTCTTCGTTCCGTAGCGCAGCTGGTTTGCTAGGGAGCCCTTTGTAATGAACTCGACTATCCAACCAAATGGTTCACATCTCACAACGAATGCGCATATCATGCTTTGAACAACAACACTTCATTCCAACGCTACACTACGCTAAGCTAAGATTGAAAACCTTTTGGCCAAGCAATGCTCAAACGGGAAAGTATGACTCGGGCCTTTGATTTGCCATATATGGAGGGATATCTTTAGACAGTGAAACAGAAAACCAAGCGCGACCAAGCCAAGCCAAGCCATCGACTATGCAAACACAACGCCGCATGATGTAGTGTTTCCATGACCAACGCCGCAATGCCAGACCAAAGAAGAAAAAAGGAAAGAAAGTAAGAAGGAAAAGCATGTACGTAGAATACTTTGTAATGAGAGTGGAAAAAAGGCTTTGTTTCGGACTCTCATTACAATTCATACATTACAAAAGTACAACATCAGGGAGGTGACGGGCAGGGCTAGACGAGCACCCACTCGCTTCCCCGCTTGATGAACTTGTCCAGCATCATGGTCACATCAGTCAGCACGAAGCGGCAAACGTAGAAGCCGAAGAACTCTGCGGCATGGCGGGCTGAGAGTTCGAGGCCGACGTGCGTGGAAGACGAGTGCTTGAGGCCCGGGTCTTCGACTTGGCGGGCGATTTGATCTGTCAAAGGTGTTAGCAAGCAGTCTTTGATATGGAAGTTAATGGTTTCAAACTTACCCAGTATTTGAGCTGCATCAAACAAGCGCGCCAAGCTGCTCATGTACCCCGAATTAGGGCCCTCGAAAACCAAACCGGAAATGTCGCGTTTGGCGAATCTGATGGTGTGCAGGCTAGTCATGGGCAGAGTGTTCATGACGAGCGAGTCCTTGGGGACCTCGCTCCTTGCGCTTGTGCTGGCCATGCTGGCGAGGTTTATGCCAGAGTTCTTGGAGCGGAGTTTGCGCCACGAGGTGAGGTACGATTTGCTCTGGGAGATGGCGCTCTTCGCGGACTGGTCAAGGGTACCGACTCGGCTGATACCTTCCATGGATGCTCCTTCGCCTACGGTGGAGGCGTCTTTGAAGAGAGTTGACACGCTGTGCACGCCGACTTCGTTGCCGAGCTTTTTTGCTAATACGGTCTGCACTTGATCAAGGACCAACTCTAGTGCCTGCATCTCTTCGAGCATGGCATCCGCATCCAAGGTGTCAGCAGCCGCCAGCTTTTGCAGTGCTGCTGTTAGCAAATCGCAGTTTGCAATCTTGTCTTCAACGTTCTTTAACTTGACACCCTTCACTCGCCACACATCGCGTGGGATAAACAGCTTGGTGGACAGGTAGCCACCTCGCGGATGTGCAATAGTTTGGTAGAAGCAGCGCATGAGCCAGAACGGCCGTAGTAAATACGAGTCTGGACATGGTTCCAACGGTATTGGTGCGTTAGTCACTGCTGGACTTGGTGATCCTGGCGAGAAAGGCGAATGTATGTCGCTCTCAAACAGATGCATGCCGCCACTTGGTAGTCCATCAACGTTGAATGTGGGGATACTGGGCGTCGGCAATGGGAGGTCGATACCACCCTGCTTGTGTCCAGTAAGTGAAAATGTTTGACTCAGGGGTGTACCAATCGACCCGTCGGAACCATCTGGGCTCGATATCGATAACGTGCGCTGCTTCAGACTGAGCGACGACTTGTTCTTCCTGATGCCCATTGCCGAAGTTTTACCAGTCCTTGGTGATCCAGGCACAAGGCCAGTTTCGACGGACACGGCATGACTGAGTGCTGGTGTCGCAGGGGAAATGGTCGCTGTTGTTTCTGCTGGACTATATAGTGTCGGCTGAGGAGAGGGCGCGGCAAGTCCTATCGACTGAGACAGATGAGGTAGAGCTGGGACCTTGAAAGCAGGATCCAGAGTGGGTTGCGTACTACCAAACGTGGCTGCAGCTGCAGACTTGGGCTGAGTGGGAATAGTGAGTGGCGAGTCCTTTAATGGGACCGGTGGCTTCTCTGTGTGTGGACCAGCGGGGACTGGTGGTAGAGAGGTTTCGATCTTTAAGTTTTTCGCGTTCTGACCCGATAGTCGTCGACTCCGCACCGAGGTCGACTCCTTGGTAGCAGTGGTAGGACGAGGCGTTACCTCGGCGGGATCGTTTATTTGAACGGGCTGAGATTCTGGGACTGGAGGTAACGCACCCGAAGGCGCGGGAACAGCAGGTGGCGAGTGTACCGGTGGTGGTTTAGGGCCTCTGGGCTGTAACACCTCTGCAACGGTAGACAGTGACGTTCCACCCGTCGTCCTGTGCGAGGACACGGAACTGCCGTATGTGCTTCCAGAAAAGCCACTCGAATCTGACTGCCGCGGCAGCGAGGACTTTGTTTGCAGGTCAAAGTCGAAGCCGTCAAGCATGTATTCAGTCATTTCATCTAACAGCCGTTCCTCCTCTTCTGCCTCTTCGCTAAACCCGACATCTGCACTTTCCCTGACGTGCGGCAACGCTTCGTTTCGGAGCTGGGTCTCTTTGTAGCGGTACTTGGCTGCAGCTATAGCCTCTTCTCGTTCTGCTTCTCGTACTCTTTCCTTTGCCAGTTCCACATTCTTTAGTTTCGTGGCAATGATATCTGCTGGTTCTTCGTCATCGTATGGTTCGTATCCTTCGTCATAAGCGGCTTCAACCGCCGCGTCCAATGCCGCATCAAATTCGGCTTCTGTAGCTCCGCTTGTGCTCCTGATGTGCTTCCGGCGCACCCCGTCGAGGGATAGTGAGTGCACAGAAGATGAACACGATGAACCACCAGACTCGTCAATCGTGTCTAGCCAAGATGTCGACTCGCTACTGTGCACCCGCTGGTGATTTGACTCTGCGGTCTGCTCTGGCTGTAACATGTTCTGTTCTCCCAGCTCCGACATCCTGTTGCCGGTGAGAAGTGGTGATCTGGACCTGTTGGGCGACAGAGGCGGAGGCATGTATGTCGTGTCCATTGGCTGTTCCAGCCCAGGAGCCCGCAGAGACTGTGTTGGGGTTGCCATGCGCCCGGGCGGCGGTTGCAGGTTGAACTGCGAGCTGTGCAAACCTCTCTGTACATCTCTGATAGCTGTGGAAATGACTGAATCTCTTGATCCGGATTCAGGCTTGCGTAGAGGAAGCTGTTGTGTCGGAGGCGGCTCCGGATCGGCCCTGAAGGGCGGATCGTCTACGGAACGATCATTCACAATTCGCGCTATCGAAGCTGTCTGCACTGTGGCCGAATCATCATCGTCCATGAGCAACATAGATCGGTGCTCATCCAGCGAGTCACCGCTCATCGGACGAGCTGGGAGCGACTTTCCATTGCCGTTTGAGTAACCAGGGTCCAATCGGCGCAGCTCCTCGATGCGATTGTTGTATGTTACTCGCTGCTTCTGTTAGCCTATATCACAAGGGCAACAGCCGGGTTCATAAAACTTACAATGGCATCCAATTTCCGCCGGTCCTCCTCCTGAGAACTGCGGATCATGACCTGCTGCAGCAACTTGCACGCATCCTCGTACGCCTCCATGGCGCCCTCGAAATTTTGTGCATTGTCGAGCAGCACTGCAGTGTTCGCCTTCTGCAGGGCTCTTGACAGCATCGTCTTCTTGTCCCTCTCCCTCTTCTCCCGCGAACGGGGAGGGGTGCCCTGGACGTTGTCCTCCAACCTGGCGCTTGTGCTGCTCTCGCTTCGGTGGTGGTCTTTGCTCGTGCTCCGGCCGTGGTCGCGGGTCGCGGTTCCGTGATGGTCCCTGCTCGTGTTCCTGGTGTGGTCGCGAGAGGCAGCCTGCCGGTGCCCCGCACTTTGGGGTGGTTTCTGCACGGTGCTCCTTGAAGTGGGCACTGACGGGCGGCGGGTGGTCGAGGGCCGAGCTGCACCGGGCGGGGCGTCGTGCCTTGCGTCCCCCTCTTGAAATCCGATGATGGCGGGCGAGCCCAAGGGCGACTTTCCCAGCACGCGCTCGGCCTTGCTGCGAGACGGCGGTCGTTGGTTGGAGGGCGGGGGAGCTAGGGGTTTCGAATTGAAGTAATCCCTGGGCTGGCTGGTGCCGAACACACTAGGGGTGAAGAGGCCAGCTGTCGAGGGGGAGTTGTTCGTCGAGGCGCTGGTCGGGGTGTTGGGGTCGTAGACGGTGGCGGGGAGCAGGATCGGCGGCAGTGAAGGCAGCTGGGGCGGCGCTGCTGAGGTTGCGGGAGGGCCGTATGCGGGCGAGCGTGGACGCACGCGGCGGGGGCTCGAATTGGGCGAGCGCACTGGGGTGTTGTTGAGGCGTGAGGGCGATGCAGGATGTGCCGCAGCTCCATGGAGGAGCGCGCTGCTCGAGAGACTCAGCTTGCGGGCGGTGTTGATGGGCTGGGGGGCGCCCGTCTCGCGGTCTTTCTCCCGCGGCTGCGACGAGCGGCTGCTGGTGGTGCTCTGCGACCAGCGATTGATGTTTGCAGCGCCGTCGCGGAATTGGCCAATGGCACCATCGGCGAGCTGGTTGGCTGCGCTGGAGCGTCGTCTGGCGGCTGGAGGCGGTGTGGCCCGCTGGTGGTCGGTGTGGGGTTTGGGGGGTTCGGGGTTCGGCGGCGTGTCCCTGAGCGACAGTGAGGCTGCTCGCTTGACGGTGACGACCGACGACGACGAGATGGACGTGTTGCGCGACGAGGTGCGGCGGTGCCTGGGGGCGGGGTCTGGCTGCTGCAGCGGCAGTGCAGCGGACGTGCTGTGTATATTCATCCTGCGTCTGCGTCTGCGAGTTGGCGAGCGTCCGGAGCCGGCACAATGGGGTTCGTGTCTCAGAACTAACGACACATCAATGCAGCGCGGGATGCAGGCATGCTGCCGGTGCAGGAACGCGCGCTGGACAGGCGGCAGGCGGTGGGTGCGGGCGCGGGACTGCGGTGACGGGCGTGCGGCGTCTGCGGTGTATCGTCGTCTGCAGTCTGAGGTCGCACCCAAGGAGACGTGAGAGCGAGCTTCGACACACGGATGGCGCCAAGACGCTCCCGCAAGTTGGCCAGGGGTATTTTGGTGCCGTCCCTGGCCTGCTAGCCCTGATGTGGCCCACTGCCCCTGTCTGGCTGCCCGAAAGAGACGCCGCTTGAACGCGTAGATGAAGACGACCAACAGAGAGCCCGATGCCAGAATCCTTTCTGCCGCTCACCACGCCGCTGGGCCTCGTAGGGCCGAATCACGCATCAGGGTTGCTGATACCATCTCGGAGAGTCGTTCTTTCCTCCGCCCGAGTGTGGTCTCTTGTTGTCTTGTTGTCTTGTTGTCTCTTAGCGCGCCTGCCATCTGCATCTGCATCTGCATCTGTCAACCACATCTTTTCTCTTCTCAGCAGCTTTTGGACATGGACCCTGCAGGCTGTCGAATACATCCAGCCCACCCAATCACACGCCGCCTCACACTTAGCCATCGAGACTACGTAATCGCCTCATCGCCTAATCGCCTCATGCAATGCCTTCAACGGAAACATGAGATGGTCGGCCCGCCACCCAACACCTCCCCCCGCCTGTTTGGATCAACCGCGCAGATGAACCAACTTGTCTACTGCACACCGCTACTGCTCCTTCACCATCATGATTCCCAGCCGCGCGGTCCCTCCCGAAACCAATGTTTCTGACACCGACGCTCGGCCCCATCGTTGGCTCGCTTCAATGCTGCGTCCATCATCACGAAAAGAACACGTCCGACCCTCGTCACTATCCACATGGTCGAGTTATACAAACTACTGTTTATTGTTTATCATCATGCTCGTCTCGGTTGCCCATCGCCATGGCGTGGCTTAGACTTTGATCGTCGTTTCCATGTTCCCTGTGCATCGTCCGACGTCGCTTCTCTTCCAGGTCAAACCATGCTCACCTCTGCCATCTGCTCTCCACGCGCCACGTTTCATGCATCAACGTTATCGCGCCATGATCGTTCAGCCTCCCGTGCGAACTGTCCCCGTTCGCTGAGATGCATTGAAAGAGCCGCCCATGTCGTGTGGCTTGTCTCCACCACATCTGCTGTTTCGATTATCGTCTCCATGGCGCGTGATCAGTGCATATCGATCATGATGTCCTCCTCGGGATCTAGCCCATCGTCCCACGCCGTGTCCATACTGTCGCCGCCAGCGCCCTGCTTCTTGTTTAGTCGCTTGAGGTTATCCGTATACTCCTTAGTCAGAGTCAAACGATAATCGGCATCCTTGACCTGTTCAGCCAGCAGGTTTGTTCGTAAGGTCTGCTCGAACAGCGCTTGCTGCTGCTGCTTTTCCGTCTTCGCCAGCGGCCCTTGCGCAGGGTCGAGGAAGAAGCGCAACACGGTGCCGGCCCCCGACTTGTCGCTCTGTTCGAGACGTGCGTTGAGGTAGCCGCCCTTGATCAAAGTCTCGAGATACTGTGCCACCTCCTCCGACGTGCCACCCAAGGTGCTGGAAATGTTCGAAACCGGCATAGCCGAGTACGTCCGCGACAACCGTGACACATAGGACCTCATCTGGCTTTCCAGAACCTCGTTCACGAGACCTGTGTTGCCATCCTGTTATACCGTAAGCGCCTGTCGTTGCCGAATTAGGTCATCGTGTCTCATCCGCTTACCTCTGCCCAGATCTCAGACCCAGCCTTGATTTGAGCCTTGAGTTTTGGGAAATTGTTAAAGTGTTGGTACGCCTCTGCTAGGGCGTCATATGCCTTGGATGCGGACTTGACCTGCTTGATCGCATTTGCATTTGCAGTTCGTGGCGTGACGCCGTCCTGTACTCGTAAGTATGTCACGTTGATGCGGGAACATAATCTCTTACCGTAACATTCACCAGACAGCTGACCAGAACCCATTTTTTGTACGCCTCCAGCATGAAGCCGTTCGCTGCGTTGGCTGACGGCGCAACAAGCACGTGTTCCAGCATTTGTCTCGCCTTTTTATACTGCCGTACTCCAAGGTAGGCCATAGCTCCCAGTAGGTAGTACTCTTGTAGATCCGCCAGCGTGACCTTGTCCGAGTGACCAGAGCCCTGATGTATGTACTCTCCACTAGTCGCGACATCCGCGCAAGGTACTGAGTACTCGAGACCCTCGCGGACTGACGCAGGAATCTTCGTAGGTATGCTGTGGATGTAATTGTCAAGGATGGGTTCGGCGGCGGCATACGCTCGGGTCTCCATACAAAGCTGTATGAAGGCAATGTGGGTCGATGTGAAGGTGCCCGTCGTGGGGTCGAGGCGGATCATTGCTGACCGTATGGGCGCAATGGCGAGGCCAGGCTGTCATTGTTAGCTTCTTGCTCCAATATGTCGAAGCTGTCCAACATACTGATCCCATCGCGCGCGCAATCTGCTCCGTGACCTCCACCAACTTCCTCCACTCTAGTCCTGCATATCGCATCTGCACAGGGTCGAATGTCTCCAGCCATAGCACTAGCTTATTCCACAATGCACCCCCAGGCTTTAGTGAGTCAGGAATGTTCTTCTTGTCGATGGTGGCAGAGATGCGCTGGCGGAGGGCAAAGGCGTACGCTATTGAGTTGACCGAAGGGTTGAGTACCTATGTGGATTAGATAAGCCACCAAAACCTTATAAAATCACTTACTGTGAGGACATCCTGTGGTGTGTCCGCGCCCTTCTGCCAATGTGATGACGAGATGTTGGAGAGCTGTGACACAAAGTTGCGAGCAGCCTGATCATAGTCGCGCCTCTGCTTGACTTCCGGGGCGTTAGGCTGGAACTGTAGTAATAGATTGACCAAATCGGCCGACATATTTGCGGGTTGTGACCGCGAAGGTGAGGGAAGTTGAGTTGCGGCGTGGGGTGGAGGCGGCGTTGTGGGGTAATTGTTTGGGTCGCTCGTTGACAGGATGCGGACTGGACCACTGGTTGCGAAGAGTTCTTGGGCGCTGCGATCAAGACTGCATACGCGGAGGAAGGAGAAGAGAGGGCGTGGCCGTGGTGGGAGAGTCTATTTGTGGTGATGGAGTAGAGGTGAGCTCTCACGCGTAGGCTGCAATCGATAATCAAGCTAGCTCGGACCTGTCGACAAACACCCCGCAGCCATCACCGCGGCGGTTCACTCTATACCACATCAAGCCTGACATAGTCTCTGACGATTCCAAAATCTGGGTCTGAGCATGCAGGGTTCAAAATTGAATAGTCATAATAGGTAATAGTCAGTTTTGTGGTACATGTTTGAAGTGCCAACGTGGATATTCCCAACTCCAAGCAATGCATCCCAAACTCCATGATCCAAATCTAGACTCCGAAATCCCCGAAAACAGCTTGATGTTTCATCTCCGCTTGACAGCTTCTTCCATCTTCCTCACAAGCGCCTTCAGACCAACTCCCCTCTCGCAATTCTCCTCAAGCCAAATCTCCATCTTCTCTCTCACCACCTTCATGCCTTTCAATACCGGCATTTTCCTGCCCTCCTCAGGGTCAAGATGCATCAGCGGGTTCAAAAGAAGGTCCAAGCATTCCTGCCAAATCTCCGTCTGCCAGTACCTCTTCAAGCTCTCCTTGATCTTGTACGTCTTCGTTGCTCCAGCGCCCAATGTTGCACCGCGTTCAGCGACAGTGGATATGTATTTGCCAAAGAGTAAGTTGTGCACGATACCGGCAAGGCCATGGTAGTCGATCTGGTAAGTCCAAGGGCGGAGCTCACGCATCTCGGCGCAATCGGCTTCGGTGGTGGGCCAGTCAGCGATGAATTGGACATCGGGCTTGAAAGCTTTCATGTCGATGCCACGGCCAAAGTCGATCAGCGCAACACCTTTTGAGGCCCAGCCGTCACGTCCGTCGCGCTTGTAGCCTGAGTCCCAGTGGTCGTCTTTGCTGAGCGCGTCGAATCTGACTAGAATGTTGTCTGACTTCAGATCGCCATGGATGACGCCCTTCGCATGCAATGCTTCTACTGTGCGGAAAAGTTCAACAGTGAAGAACATGGCGAGCTGTTCATCCATGACGCCATTCTCGGCACGGGCGATATTGACCAAGTCGAGGAGCGTTCCCTGATCGCGGAACTCTTCAACGAGGTAGCACTCATCCTGGAAGACGTGCATTTCGTACGCGCTGACGATGGAGTCTGCTGGCCGTGAGACACCGAGGCGCCGCTTGGCCTGTCGCATAATGTAGAATTCCCAAGGCGTCGGAGGGTCCTCCATCTTGATCGCCTCAAGAGGCTGCCGCTTGACGCCGAACTCGCCCTTGCCCATCTGCACTGGTTGATTCTCATCGTTCTCATCTTCGTCAGGAAGTGTACTTTCCACAAGGTAAACAGGTGCAAACGCCCCTTTTCCTAGTTCACGCTTGACCGTGTAAGTTCTTTCTGATCCCGTGAACCGCAGGGTTGGCGGCATAGCCAAGTTGGTCATTGTTTTGTCGCTGGCGTTTTTGCTCATCTTCGAGACAGCCTTGGTGTACTTGCGAATATCTGCACCTTTGCTGTAAGCTTGTTCAGTGTCCGCGTAGTATCCGTCGTAGGTATCCAGAGGAGGTTGAATTTCCTGCAGGATAGTTTTGCGGACTGACTCGTCGACTGGGTTGCATTGAGCGTCTTTGATGATGGGACCATTGGGTTTGACTGGCTGTGCCACAGTTTCCTTGGCTGCCAATGGCTTCCGCTTTGGCTCCTCTATTGGCTCCTTAGGCACTGGTTTCGAGTCTCTCAACGCTAGCTTCGCAACCTTCCCTGGGCCGTTGACAACTTGTCCAAGGAGATCTGCAAAGGGGCTGCTACACGGTTCGTCATCGTCCTCCAGAATGGCAAGCGTACCCTTTGAACGCGATGGCGTTTTGGCAGCAAAATACTCCTTCTGGGCATAAGCTGTCTGAATACCCAATGACGACTCGGTCTTTTCGACAATAGGGGTCATGAAAGGCAGACGGTTATTAGCAGCTTGCCCTGGATCCCGATATGGCCGAATCGCGGGGTCGTAGTCCTCTGGCGGGACAGGTACATATCGCGTTGGTAATGACGAAGGTGCTCCTGGTGATGTAGGCGTAGCGAGGTCGGGGTCATACTGGTCCTCCGAGTCTACTTGTTGCTCAGACACGTCGTCGTCAGACTCGCCCTCCGATTGCTCCGAGTCTTCATCCGACTCGTCCTGTCGGTGTTCCTTGGGTACATGCTTGCTCTCCGTGAAGTCTGACCACGCAGAGACGACACTCTTAGTATCCGAATCATCTGCCTCAGTGTCTATTTCATTAGTGTCAAGCACCCTAGTGCCTAGGGTGAAGTCGCCAGCTGTAGTTTCATCTCCATATTCACTGGTTGCGCATGAGATGCCACCAGTTCCAGTACTTTCGCCTGCACTGGTATAAGCATCATCGTCCTCGTCACTGCTCTCCTCTCCGCTTTGGGTTTCTGTCGTGTTCTCGTCCGGGTTGTTGAGTGGCTCGTTAAATATGTCGTAAATCTCGTCCATGGCCTCCTTGGTGTGCAGCGTCATGGTAGCTTCTCGTCCACCCTTCTTTCGTTTGATCTTGGGCTTGGCCGGAGAGTCCAGGTTGGTTTGTACTGCTACTTGTCAGCTATCCTTTCTCGAAATCTAAATGTGACACATACTCGTCTGTGTCTCGCCCCGAACTTCCTTGACATCCATGACTTGAATCTTGCGCGTCCGGTTGGCTTTTTCCTCTCTTCTAGCCCTCCTTGCTGCTTTTGCCTTCTCCATATCCTCCCGAGATGGAGGCGTGTTCTCGTCATTCGCAGCCATGTCATCGTCAATGCTGCCCTTCAGAGGAACAGTCTTTTGCTTCGGCGGTTGTTCGTCGAGTTGTTTCGGTGCAAGAGGGGCTGGCTTAGCGTGTGGCGATTGCTCGTCAACCTGCTTTGGCGCAAGAGGGGCAGCTTTTGGCTTCGATTGTACGACTGGAGCTGCTGCTGCCTCAGCAGCCTTCCTGGCCTCCTCTTGTTCTACGCGACGAATTATCGCCCAGTCGTGGTCCAACCATCCCCTATGTTTAGCACGCAACTCCTCGAAAGAATACTCTTCTGACATGGGCTCGTCACGGTTTGGGTATACCTTCTGGAGATCGACAAAAACAACCTCGAGCCTGCCGGTCTTTGGGTTCAGGGCTTGCTGGTGTTCACGCAATGGGTGGGCTTTGATGTTCTCGTCATTGGAGTCTGATTTCGTCTGAATACAAAATAGGCAAAGGCCAACCAATTAGTCCTGTGATCGTAAATATAAGGAGGGGCTCGAGGCGGATCGCTCAACTCACCTCGTCCTTGAAGATCATCATCTTCTGAACGCCCGTGTTCTTCTTTCCGACCTTGAGAGTCTCGCCCGCCCAAGGCCGTGCCTCTGCCGTGTTCTCCTTCTTGCGGTCTGCCAATGATCCGATGCTGTCCCAGCCCTCCATGCTGCCGCTGGATCCTGTCCTTGCTGGCTCGTCGCCATCGGAAAAGATGGCCAGCTTGGGCTTTCCTGACTTAGAGGATGCGCCTGCCGAGCGCGATTGCTGTGCTTGGGGGTTGCTGCCTGTTGGCGAGGCGTGCGCGAATGGGTCGACCTTCGCTGCTAGTGCTGGGCGCATGGCGGGGAGCGCCGGGCTCGTGGGCTCGGCAGCTTCCTGTGGGCGGCTTTCGAATCGGTGCTGGAATTCGCCGTACTTGCGAACTAAACGCTCAACTGGGTGTGCTTCGCGGTCAATGCCTAGGCTGTACACCTCCTCGGCCTGCGTCCACCGCCCCGCTGCCTCTAACCAGGCTGCGAACTCTTCGTAGAATAGCGCCAGCTTTTCGCCGATACTGTGTCGCGCAAGGTATGCAAAGGTCTCCCGCGGCGCATCGGAGAAGAGTCGGATGTAGTGCAGCCAGAGCTTGAGGTAGCGTGGGTCGTTCCTGTACATGGAGGAAGACTGGAAGGCCTTTGTCGCGCGCTCGAGCAGTGGACACAATTGCGACTGTGGTGTGTTTTGTGCTGAAGGGTATGCGTCTAGTGTCCATTTGATGTATCGGTCGTAGATGTCGAGAGGGTCATCGGATTCGTCAACAGCAAGCAGCTCCTTCTCGAATTGCTGCCGAACAATGTTGTGCGCATCCTGTGTCTGCGACGGAGACGGTGTGTAGCCCGCCGCCGCCGTCAGTGGTGGTGTGTATAGTTGCGCGAGAGCCTTTGCAGAGCGACCGCTTGGCAGCGACTGGATGTTCTCTTTCTGGTTTTCGATAATCTCGAAGTCGATGAGGTCGTCGGAACCCATGGCGCCGGGTGGGGTATCAAAAGCAGAAGAAAAAAAGACACCGGGACCCTAGGGTTGGATATACAGAAGCGAAAGCCTTACCTTCTGTCGTTGCTGGATGTTGTTTCCAGGGTCGTCAGCGGGGTCGCGTGGTAATAGCGCGATTCGCGCCTATCCCTAAAGGACTCGTGGTTGCCATGGAGACGGCCAGCACACCCGTCAGTCGCAATGGAACAGGAATGATCGTAATGATGTTCATCTTGCATGTAGTTTATGCTGAGGCTTCATGTGCCTCTTCAAAAACTACGTCGCTATCTCGAGCTACTACAACGATTTAATCGAACACAACACCCATGCGACCCTGCGCCTTATGAGCATTCATCAGCTCGATCATCCTGGGCACCTCCTCCAGTTTATACGTCGACATATGCGGCTTGATGTTGTGCTTCGCCGAGAATTCAATTGCCGCCTTCATGTTGTAGCAAGCTAGGTCAAGTCAGAATCAGCACTCCAACATGGATACAAGCAACAACTTACTGCCATTGTTCGAGCCCTTGACCTTATACCGTCCCAAAGCTATATCCAAGCCATTGAACTCCAGCGGCTGTTGCGGAATACCAACAACCATAATTGTTCCCTCGCCAGGCTTGACGATTGCAGGACAGTCATCGTACGACTTCTTGCTTGCCGTGAAGTTGACGGCTGCGTGTACGCCACCTCCCGTGATCTCCGTGATCTTCTTCTTGTAGTCCTTGTCTGATATGGAGTTGAGGACGTGGTCTGCGCCACAGCTACGTGCCTCCTCGAGTGCTGCTTCTGTGATGTCGATGCCGATGACTTTGTAGCCCATTGCCTTGGCGTATTGGATGCCCATGTGTCCTAGTCCGCCACAGCCGATGACGGCGAGCCATGAGCCTGGCGGTAGCTCGCAGTCTGCGATGCCGTGGTATGCTGTTACACCTGCGCAAAAGAGCGGTGCAGAGTATTTGGGGTCCACTGTCAAGTGATTAGTATCCTACCCTATGGCCTACGTACCATTGCGTGAGTACTCACAATTATCAGGCAGTACCATAGCATTTCTCGCATCGACGACAGCGTACTCGGCAAAGTATCCGTCTCTGCCGAATCCCTGCATCTGAGTCTTTCCAGTCTTGCACCAGCTGTTGTGTACTTCCTTGCACGCATAGCATTCAAAGCAGCAGTCCACCGGGCAGATGAAGCCGACAGGATCGCCTTTGCTGAATCTGCTAGCGATCTCGCCTGAGCCGGTCGAAACCACGCGCCCTGTTCCCTCATGCCCAATGGTGACGACGGGGTTTGGCCCTAAGATCAGGCCCTGCTCATTGGGCACGAAGAGCATTGTGTCGGAGTGGCAGAGGGAAGCACATGACATCTTTACAAGGAGCTCGTGAGCTTGCGGCGTAGGAATGGGTACCTCGTTGAGGTGGAGCTGGTTGTCGCGATGGTCACTGCAATTTGTTTATTATGCATACTTTCTAGGAATCGGACGACTGGAGTGGCATACAATTGCTGCGCACGCATAGTCTTCTGGTCTGTCACAGAGCCCATTGTGGTGATCTTTTCTATTCGCGATGTATCTCGGGTGAAGCAAGGTAAGGCAGTGTAGGTACTTGTTGCGATGTCGCGACGGGATTAGTGGCGTAGCTCAAGTGAGAACTGGCGAAGGTGAGGTGACAAGGAGATGGGTAGTTTCATTAGATATTAGATATGTAGTGTACGTGGTGCTGCTACGCAAAGTGGAAAAGTTGTGCCGCGAATGGACCCGCAGAGGAGGAAGATGGTTCCCGGCGAACGAAACATGGCATTGAGGCTCGACGCGAAAAATCAAACGCAATCATAAGTCTATTCCTGGGTATACAAAAAACAAGACGCTTTACTACTGACAAAAGAAAACCGTGTCAACTGTACACGATGGGTATCTTGATAAGGAAGAGAAAGGAAAAGTATCTGGCGTGTTGGTAACGAAGCAAGATGCACAAAGCTGTTCGTGTGTGGGCCACCCCACTTTGAGCATCCCCGCATCTCGCCATCAGTCGGAATCTCGGAGCCTGGATCTCGGAAAGCCACAGGACCCACTCGGGTCGTGTGAACAGGCTTCAGATCCTTTGTTAAGTCGTCATTTGGTCGCAATGTTCTGCGGAGTTCCAGCCCACACATTGCTGTGTACTGTTGGAAGCAGACCGATCTTGAAACATGTGGCGCAGCTTGACGAAGGGTTGGAAATCAGTGCGACGACGACCTCCCAGGCGCGACACGTCGTCGCAACGTTGTCATGGCATGAGTGGTAGCCACGACTGCGCGAACAGTGCAGTGAAGTTGCGCATGCTCAGATGACAGCAACTTCTCGTCGCGCTGTCCACCTCCAGGGCATCACGTATCTGATCCAGCTGTCTTTGTCCCTCGTTGTCGTCGACTTTTTCGTCAGTATCCGGCCGGCCAATGTTCGCCATGTAGAGCGCATAGGAATACCTCCATCTTCCTCATCGCCTCTTCCTTGAATTTTGTGCATGCCAAGGGGTCGTGTTCCCAGTCTGGGTTGCTTTCCTGGGTGTGGTCCCCACGATAGCGGGCGGACGTTGTGGGCCATCCGAAGTCTTTGACCAGAAACAAGGTGGGTGGGGAATCGACGTCCGTACGAAATGACTCCATCGACATCTTCTCGCATATAGTTGATAGCTCAGACATGGTGGTGATGGTGATGGGGGGTAAAGGCGCGCCTCTGACGCGTTGACGATTGATAACGAAGGCGGCGTTTACGATTGCGGCAATGTGTGTTGGACGGGAGTGTAAAATGTTGAGGTAAAAGAGAGGTGAAAGAAGAAGCGCTCAAATCGTCATTAGTTGAAAAGCGTGTTGCGGTGGTGATGTGTGAAACCTGAACGCAAAGCCAGGAATGTTGATCGCATTCGTCAGGGGGTTTTCCAGCCATGGAATTCCTGCTAGCGAAATTGTGCCGCATCCAATCTAGAACGCGGCACCATGACGCGCCGTCGCACGCATCTCCCACCATTTCCTGACAGGTAGCACACTTTGGTGGTCCTGATTGCTTGCTTGATTGATTGCTGTCTAATTCGCCGCGCCACATCATGCACGCTAAATCCCGCGACAAAGCAAGCAAGGGCATACAATTGCAAATCATCCACAGTCTTCTCTAGGACGTCTTCAATCGCCATACTCTCACCTTGTCCCGTTCAGCGTTTTATTCAGATTGAATGCTGCGGATATCAGCGCCAAATGGCTGAAAGCTTGAGGACTATGATGCTGGTCAGTACGATTGGTATACCAGCTCATTCTCCAACTTACGTATTCCCCAGTTGCTCCCCAGAGCTGGAAATCTCTTCGGAGAATATGCGCAAATGATTGCCGAAGCTGAGCTTGTTTTCAAACATACTGACCGCTTCCTTGAGGTACTTTTCTTCATATGCGCCAGCCTATCGAACATCAGTTGGAGTCTTGCAATCAGAGTTACCCTGTCAACTTACTCTGGTGAGGGCTTCAACACACCAAAAAGTACACATCGAGAAGGCCTATTCGTTCGTGTACATCGTCAGCATATGTCTCATGCACAACTTTTACGTGTGATATACGTACCCCTTCTCGGCCGCCCACGCCATCATCGCTGAGTGCGTGGTTATACCGGTACACCAACCCAGTGCTCGTGAGTCCGCCTTTCTCAGGAGGCTTCAAGATCTTGTCCAACGTCTTGAGGAACCGAGGATCTGTGGGCGAGATGAAAAAGACCAGCGGAGCGATCAGTACTGCCGAATCCAGTACTTCATTCGACTCGTAACTCTGTATGAAGCACTCCAACTTCTGGTTGTAGCCTTTATCCATGACCTCTTCGCAGATCTCGTCGCGAATCCGATACCATTCCGCTCGATGCGGGCATGGAAAGCTTCTCTTCTCTGCCAGCCGTAGGGCGCGGTCCAGAGCTACCCATAGCATGATCTTACTGTACACGTAATTTTGTTTCATCCCACGCACCTCCCAAATGGACATATCTTTCTCTTTCCAGATGCTGCACACAAAATCTATGATTTCTCTTACCGAGAGCCATTGGTCGTACGATATTGGCGTGCCGAATCTATTAGCAAGGTAGATTCCGTCCAAAAGTTCGCCGTATATGTCCAATTGGACATGGAATGCAGCACCGTTTCCTATGCGGACCGGCCGACTGCCCCTATAGCCCTCCATATGCTCCAACTCTACTTCCGGAATGTCTGTTCCACCCCAGATACTGAAGATTCACGGTCAGTCAGAACTCATCTTCACTACGCGACACCAATACTTACGTGAACATGATCGGCAACGCCCCATGTCTTGCCTTGGCCTCCTTGACGCGCTGGAAGATATAGCTTATGTAGGCTTCTGCCTCGTGACTGAAGCCCATTCGGAGCAGGATGTAGATTGTAAATGAAGCATCTCTCACCCAACTGTATCGATAATCCCAGTTCCTTTTACCTCCGATGTCCTCGGGTAGAGAAAAGGTCGGGGCTGCGACAATGGCACCAGAAGGCTCGAAAGTTAACATCTTCAGCAGTAGTAGGCTCCTTGTCACCACCTGCTCCCATCTACCCATGTATTTGCTTGAAGCCATCCATCGCGCCCAATACTTGTGTGTACTTGCTTGGAGCTCGTCGAGCAATGCAGTGTGTATCAGCTCCGGGCTGTGATCATCGGCGTCGCGAAGAATGAACGAGATAGCTTGTCCTTCATGTAAACGAAACGTTGCAGTGACCGCGTCGCCCAAGGAAGATGGTGTTGATGACCTTTCGAAGACGACTTTTGGACAGGGCATTCCATCTTCATCGTTACAGTCAATTGTTGCATTCAATTCGAGAGAAAGCTTTTCTGAGGCGAAAGTGACGCGTTGATCGCACTGCCCCTTTTGGCGGTCATTAAGATTGGTGATCTCGGTCGTGTGTTTGTCTTGCGCGTAATCTGGAGTGTCGTTAATGGGGTGCAGTGTGAAGCAAACGAACTTCGGGTGCACTCACTGAACGCAGGAAAAACTTCGACGTTTACATCCATGTGGCCGCGCATACACTCAACTCTTCGTACTAGCCACTTCTTGAGGTCAGGCCGATCGGATACATTACCCGTGTGGTCGCTAGCAACAACTCGGGCATGGTATTCAGCATCCAACGCTTTGTTGTCCGGTCTTGGAAAGACTGTTCAGAATTAATTGAAATCCATCATGATACACTCCGGTTTTCGGTGTCCTTCATGCTGCGCATAGTGTGCTGAATATGGAATCGGAACATGCTTACAGTCAATCAAATTCAAGACACCATCTTCCTTCAAGTAACGTGTTTGCAAGATGTTGCTTGCGGGTAGATAATGCTGTTTAGTCGTGGAAAGATCGTGTGTGGTTGGGCTAATGGAAAAGTGACCACCTTTGTCCTTGTCTAGGATGCGACAGAACACAGACGGGGAATCGAAATGAGGCCTTGCCTGTTAGCTTAGTATGATAATATAGAGATACATGAACATACCAACACATGTAGTCCAGCCCACCGTCTGTGGCTACCATAGCGCACGTCCTCATGTTCCCAATCAGGCCATAGTCCTCGATCGGCATGTACCCATTAGCTGCTCTTCTTGACTTCTGGTTTATCGTCGCCAACGCAGCTTGTTTCTGGTTAGGAATTTGCATCTCTTTGTTGCTCAGCTGCCTGTACAGCTCGGTCCCGCTGTCTTGCGTAACGCGCATGCGTGAAGGAGATGTGTTAGTGATGTCGTCAAAGAGTCTCGATGCCAGGTCCGACGTATGGCCCTTGGATTCATCCATGTTAGTGATCAGTTCGCCGGGCACGCCGGTTGACCGCTTGAAAAGCAGCAGGTATCTGTTGTGTTCCTCGACTGCGTCGAACCAATCATGATAATGCATGACGTCAGCCGTACGAAAACGCTCTTTCTCTCACCTAATGTCACCTACGCGTCAAGCATTACTAACGCACTGTAACATGTGGCCATGTGTTTACTGCTGTCCCAATTTCTCCTATGACCATATTTTATCCCAATTTGTATCCACAGCGAATGCCCTCCCTGGCTTCTCCGGATGACATGCAGCCTTCCAGAGCGTCAAACTTCAGTAAAGTTCTACTGAATTCGCAAAATACATACCGTCTCAATCATGGCAGTTGTTAGATTCTTCGAGGGCCACACAATCGTGATTACATAGCGTTCATGGGCCAGGGCGTCCGACGATCCGGCTTCATTACATCTATATTGCTTGCACGAAGCCATATATTAAGTATAGCCTCTGTTCAGTTCCCTTACAGAGCCACCAGCAGGCTCTTTGTAACTGTCCGTACTCACGCGACATTACTATCGTTTTGCTTCAACGAGAGGGCCGAGAATCTTCGTCGCCTAAATGCAAGTCTGCTCTCAACTCGCAAAGGATGGGTTTCAAGGTCAGATTCCACCCTACAACTTTCATTCAACCTGCTAGGGCAGGGGCTGCTGATGCCGACAGTAGGTCTCGACCATACGACAGCACGCATTGCATCCTGCCCGAGCACGTTCCAAAGGTAGACAGGCCGGACTGTTATCGCGCCACGACTTCGAGAAGCGCCGATGATTAGCCAAACAGCCCAATCGCCATCGGAAGTCGCTGTACGCATGCAAGTTGTTCAATCCACCAATACCTCGCAAGCAAAGCGCGGCGGTAAGTTGTGATCCTTGGGCTTGGTGGGTACAGATCATGAAGACTTAATACTCTCAATATAAACCGCCGAGTCCGACGAAATTGGTCCTATCATCCCAGCTTCCTGCTTGAGCCATCATCGATGGGACAGTGCCTCCGAGGCTGCATTGGGTCAGAGCCATGGGATTTTGGCTTGGCCTAGGCCATGGAAACCATGGCGAAATGCCTACCCGAGGAATTGAGTTCTCTTTGAATGCAAGAGCTCGAACTTTCTGTTATCTTGTTGCATGCGGCTTGCTCAATATCCTGCTCTTTGATTGCGCAAGTGGTCGACATGTTGGCAGGTCTCGCAGTATGGGATGCGGAGACCCTTCCCCGGACCTATCAAGGCATAAAGCAACCCACCACTAAAATCTCAAATTCAAAGCCAAGGCTGAATTGGTGTACAGGGAGAGACGTTGGTGGACGTACCTGAGTGACATGTGGTGGTATTGGTGCAAGGCTGTTTGATCATCACAATCGGCCCGAAGACGGATTGAACGGAGCGAACAGATGTTTCATACCGGCATGTGCGTTTTCCAGAAAGCTGTGAACTTCCGACACGGATCACCTTCTAATGGCTGTTCGGGGCCGAACTGACCAAAACCCAGCAGCGATCTGCGCCACAGATCCTGGCATTCGGTCCACCACAGTGCGCATCCTGCCGTAACGGTACAGTAGATTGGGATCAGTTGCAATGAGGCTTACCGAAGCGCGCGGCAGGATTGCTGCACAGCAACATATCAATTGCGGTAGGCGATGCGGTGATGCCCATGGCCTGTAGCTTCCTGTCGGCTCACACATAAGGCCGGAATCTGCATGCTTCTGGAAGGCGGGCGCACCAATCTGCAGGAATTTGGCCATCTCGAATAGGAGTAGCATCCAATAATACAGTGGGACAAACACACTGTGGATATTCCAGGAAACCTCGCGGGTCACACAAACCCACTGACCCAGGAAATGCTTAATGCAGACAGAGGTGCTTTGGATTGACGTAGTTTGGCATATTGTGTGTCCTAGCATTACACTGGCACTGACAGGGAGAGTCGGTGCGAGGTCAAGCACTTCATGCGAATGAGGTCCGGCTTCGAAATGGCCGTCGCCCACCGCTCTTTTGGCAATTGTCCAACCGTGGAAACGAGTGCTCCGGTCAAGACAGCCGATAGCGCTTCAGTCCTGTCCACTTGGAAGTGTAGCCTTCAGAGCGGTCGGTCATCTGAGCAGCTGCATCACAGCCCTTGTAAGAAGCACGGGGCAGTCATCACCGCATCGAGTGCCGGTATATTCATGCACGATTTGGTGAAAATCGGTACTTGGGAGATCTAGAGTCTGCCGCCAGGTAACGGACAGTCGCTAGTGAGGCGCGTGGGATTGGTACCACCAGAACGGTCGGTAAAAAGCAGAGACTGTGAATGACCTTCATGCAGGTAGCCAGGTTCGTGTTGAAATGGCATTGGCCATCAACGCTGCAAGTGTGCGGCATGGCCCACGTGTGCCGTGCCGCATGAAGTCTCGCTTGCTGTACTGTAAGGGGAAATACTACGGTGCACCGGATCTTGCGATAAGGCCTACTCCGGACTACGAGCTCTAGAGCGACAGTACGTTCTTATTTGTGCCGGCAATGCGACGCTTCGTCTTTCTTGGAGAGGCGCAATCAATGTTGCATCGGCAAGATGTTCGTCACCGTTGATCGCTATTAAGCCTCTAGCAATGGCTGTGGCTCACGACTCTGACGCCGTGCTCCTTCATCATTTTCCCTTACACGATCATCGGTACAATTGGGTATCTACAAGAGCCAATCACCATGGGATCGCTCACCGCTATGGTTAGGTTCTCGGATTGCCCGTCCGGGGAGGCGCAACAACAGCCACACCGCAGCAAAGGCCCGGCTTGTCAGAACTCTGAGTCGCGTTACTCCAAGGACCACGCAAGTTCAAGCCGTTGTCGCGATCCGCGGTGCGTCATAGCGTTGGAAACATGCTCGAGCACGGCACTTTCCCTTCCAAATTAACCGTTTCATGCAACTGCAATTGTCGAAGATCGTGACCACGTGCAATGGAGAACGAGAAGGTATAGCGCGGCTATTGCGAAGTCACGAACCAGGTGTTTTATAGGTCTTTCTGGATCTCTGCGCACGCGAAAGTGGACTTCGCTTGGAGGTATTCTACTAGGGTGATGCATGGTAGGAAGAGGCCCGCCTGAATGGAACGCCGAAAGCCTTCTTGGCCCTGGCGTCCGTACTTCGTTCAGTAGTCAACCGGCACCACTCTCTCGCGCAAATGACAGTACCGCGAGCAAAACGCCGCTTTGGAGATCTGCTAATCCTTGACGAACGTAGTCATTGTTCATTTGCTGTCCTTCCGCACGCAACCACCCCACTCCTTGCTTGATCTTTTCCACGTCCATCCCTCCAACAGGACGCTTCGCACGTGTCACCATGGCCTAACCATCGCCCTGACGGGAGACGGTAAGTATGCGAGTTGTTTCCTGGCACTACTGGACCGGCGTGGCAACGTCGCAGCTAAGGTTGGGCAACCCTTGATGAGTATCTCATATAAGCCATCTCACGCTTCCTTCTCTTTCGCACGTCTCTCCTGACCACATCCTTTCCGATTGGAGTAATGAATCCCTGGACCCTGTATCTGATCCGAAGCCATTAACGTCAATTCCCCTAGCTCGTCTCCGCCTTGTCTCCACCTAACGTTTATTTCATCTTTGTACTGCCCTCATACGTTACAGTCGGCGTTGTCGCACTTCTTCTTTGGCTCCATCCCAAATGTTGGAGAGTTGAAAGTTGACCATGGGTTTCACTACAGAATCCAAGACTTCTATCTCGGGTCCGGCACCCGTAAATGGCAGCACGCTCCATCCAGTCACCTCAAGCCAGTCCAAAGCAGCGGAAGCTGGCGGAGTTCATCAGAGTCAGACCATCATGGCGACCATAGCAGACGACGACGATCGTCTACTTGTGCGCATCGGCTACACGCCGGTAGGTCTTTCATGAAGAGCGTTGTGACTATGACCAACATCTTGGCAGGTTTTACATCGACACTTTTCACGATGGTCCACCGTTTCCTACGCTATATCGATTCTTGGTGTGTTGGGTTCAGTACCAGCGACATTTGGAGCGCCAATGACCTCAGGTGGGCCAGCCACAGCAGTTTGGGCATGGTTCATTGGCAGTATCATGGCGTACTGCATAGCAAGTTCAGGTACGATACGCAACATCGAGGGTTTACACCGTGCGGGTGCTCATTAAGCTTTCAGTGGCCGAACTAGTTTCCGCATATCCTACAGCTGGAGGCATGTACTACGTCACAAAACATGTTGTTCCGCCTGAACACGTTGCGGCTTGGGCTTGGATCATCGGATGGTGCAACTTTCTCGGTCAAGCAGCAGGAGTTGCCAGTTTGGCATACACCATCTCCCAGATGATTCTGGCAACAGTTGTCATGCATACTCTGGAAGATGGCGTATCTGCTTTTCAACCGTAAGATACATAACTCGTTGATGCAGACAACAACTAAATTGCAGCAGACAAGCATATCAAACGGTTCTTCTCGCTATCTTTGTTCTCTGCCTATTCGGCACAATCTGCTCTTTTCCCACGAACTGGCTACACCGCATCATTCTATGGTTCGCACCCATCAACAGTATGTAACGACGAGCTTTCTGTGAAGTCGAATCTAACAAGACTACAGTCATTGCGTCAATCTGCATTTGTATCGCCCTGCTCATTCTTACGCCGAACAAACAAAGCCCTCAATGGGTCTTCACGACAGTCATGGACGGCTCCGGTTGGGGGAGCAAAGGATTTTCGTTTCTACTAGGGTCAGCCATTCTGAGCGGTATTCACACGCTTCGCAAATGCTAAACATTGCAGTTTCCTATCGGTGGCGTGGACTATGACAGATTACGACGGTACCACCCAGTAAGTCGACGTAAAGTCCTTGCATATACCAATCTAATCAGTGTTACACAGCATGTCGGAAGAAACACACGATGCCGCAATTCGTGGCCCTGTGGCCATTCGTGCAGCCATCCTAGTCTCGGGCGTCGTCGGCTGGATGCTAACCGTCACCTTCTGCTTCTGCATGTCAGATTACGAAGCGATCATGGCGACACCGACCGGTCTCCCAGTCGCACAGATCTTCTTCAACGCGGGCGGTAGGACGGGCGGAACGATCATGTGGTTCTTCGTTATGCTCGTGCAGTTTTTCACCGGTTGCTCTGCCATGCTGGCGAATGCACGAATGGCGTGGGCATTTTCTCGCGACGCCGCCTTTCCGTTTTCGGGGTGAGTTTGTGTCCACGGAGAAACATACCGTAGCGAAGACTGATGCAGGTGATAGCTTCTGGAGCAAGGTCAACCGCTACACACACACGCCGGTCAACGCGGTCTGGCTCGTCGTCGCCTTCTGCAGCTGCCTCGATCTGATCGGTATTGGAAGCACACTGACCATCACCGCCATCTTCAACATTACCGCGCCAGCCTTGGACATTAGCTACATTGCCGTCATCATCGCGCACCGCTGGTACGAAGGGCAGGTCCAGTTCCACCCGGGGCCATACACCATGGGCAAGTGGAGCAAGCCCGTCAACGCGATTGCAGTCACATGGGTCATCTTCATCAGTGTGGTCTTGTTCTTCCCCACAGCCAAACCGGTCAAGGCGAGCAACATGAACTACGCCATCTGCGTGGCAGGATTCATTGGGCTGTTCAGCACAGTCTGGTGGTACGCTGGAGCGAGGAAGACGTATGTTGGTCCTCGCACCACCGACACCATCGACATGCTTCCACCCGAGGATCCCGAGGAGATTTTTAGCGATTATGACACACCTTGATCTCACACGCATTGCGCACGCATCGAACACTATCGCACACGCAGTCATTGCTTACAGCATCCCACCAGCATGAAAATTTACATGCATGATCCCCACGACAAGGCGTTCGCCCTCCCCAGACCTTTTCCTGCACATCAACCAAACCAAGTTTTTTTTTAGCGGCGCAGGCGCATAGCCCGGAGTTTTTCTTTTTCCTTTCCAACATTCATCACACACAAACTGCGGAAGTGCAGCATCCATAGAAACAGGGCTCACCCTCCCATAGGAACATCGGACGAACAAGATACCCAATATAGAAACAAGCGCCCAATGCCAATATCATCTTATCGCAAGCTACTCGTGCACGCCATTGTACACGTGGTGATTGTGTACTTTACCCCACGCTGCACGCCAATGGAACTACTGCATGAACAGGGCCAGTGAGCGTCATCTTACTACCTGGGGAGATGGACACGTACATTAGGATATGTGGTTGTGTGCATCGTACGTTATTGATTATGTGGACAGCATATATGAGACAAGCGCGGTTTGCGCTCCAAGCTGTGTGAGTGAACATGCTGCGGATTTGAGCGTCGGATATCAGCGATGAGTGGTTAGGAACGCCACATGGGGTATGGAGCAGATGAGGTGAATCTGCTATGAATAGCTCACAGACTAGCTCTTGTTGCACCGTAGTAATCCCCATACCAGGGGAACATGTTCATCATTTAAGCCTCCTCAAGATCGTGCAAGCGTGAAGAGTCTCTACCGAGTGCCTTCAAATCCTACACTAACATACACACGCGCCACATGCGCCTCCAAATCCACTCGTTACAATCAGCAAGAAGCGGGGGTCAGGTCCAACAGAATCCTCCCCAAAAATTGCACTATTACAATGGTGGTACTTCTCGACCGGGCTCAGATCACGCAAAAGTAGCAAGACGTTCCAACTTACTACAATCTCGGTGCTCATCGCCACATTCCCAACTGAACTCGCAGCTATGGTATCCGAGATTTGAGCAACACTTGCTAACACCGCGAACCACAGATTTGCTCGTGCTAAGAAACAGGGACAAGCTCATAGACGGACTCGAGGATGTAGGGGTGTAGCGATACTTTCATAGTAGTAGTGGTATGTAGAGTAAGCTATAACAAGCTAGACTCGTTTCTTCTTAGAGAGTAGAGTTCCAGTAGGAAGACGTTCAGCTTTCTTCGATATCGGTGCTTATCGCTACGGGGCCAAGCACTCTCCGTTAGTCGAGGCTAGGCGATGCATGTGAATCAGACACTTGCTGCGATCAAGAAACAGATTTTGAAGCTCGTACACGTGCCGAAGAAGGAAGTAGAAGTGTAGCGAAAACTAGAAAAGGACAATGTATACTTATTAGGGAATGGGCGTTGCATGCTATTTGTCTTTTTGTAGTCTATTCAACGACACGTGATCCTTTTCCCTGGCAACATCAAGAGCCTTTCGAGAACACGATACACCAACAAAGCAACGCACACGCACACTGAAAGATTGCTAGTTTTGAACTTTTTATTTATTTCTCAACTACATGCCACATGACATTCCTTAGTTGTAGTCCACACTCTCCAAAAGACCTCTGCAATCCTTCTCGCAATCATGACCATGGAAACCCCGCTCATTTTCTTCCGTTTCCGTTTCCCTTTTCAAACCCAAATGCCATGCTATGGTAACAACATACACGAATCGAATTAAAATTTTCCGGCTCCAAAGAAAAGATGATGCGCTCAAAGGAGAGACGTATGTGACGTGATCGACGTGAAACTAAAATGCTCTGGCTAAAAAAGAATAATAATGTGTGTGCAGAAATATCGGTTGGTGGTGTGCCGCTGTGGTTGGTCCCTGATTTTGTGAGGATATATGTGTGGTGTGTGGTGTGTGGTGTGTGGTGTGAGTTGTCGTAGATTCGGTATAACCATTTCATCAAGGATTATGTCCGTCATGATCGTGCTATGTTGCGCCCTTGCTTCAGCGCGCATATGTATGCATGTGTGTGTGTGTGTGTTGGCCGCGTGCTGTGCGACCGTCTTCCCCACGCGCAGATCCCGTGGCTCCATCCCTCGCGTGGAAACGATTTTACGACCGCCCCGTGCCCGCGCGCCTCAACTCCTTGATGCCAATGGACGGCATCTTGCTAAAGCGCCTGCTGTTCGTCGAGGACGCAGCGGTGGAGCTGGGACTCGATGCGTAGACGTATTCGCCGTCTACGTATTGCGCGTCGCTGATGAAGGTTGTGCGTTTTTCGCGGCGGGTGTAGCGCTGCTCGAGGCGGTAGAGCTCGAGACCTGGGTGTGCGTTAGTTTTGTGTCGAAGAGAACGTCATGAACGACAGAAAGACGTACGGGCTTGGAGTTTCTCAAAGATACCCATTGTGTCGGCGGTAGGAGTGATAGCTGCGATAAGGGTGCCAAGTGGTCGTGTGTGTGTCTGTATTTCAAGGCTTGCTTTTCTGGCGTTCCCAAGGGTCCAGGAGAACAGGTGTGTATGTCGATAAGAGGCACGTGTGCGTGTCGCGGGTTTCCAAAGGACCAGCTGCTTCCCTGCAATGGCGCAAACGTCGGTGGTGTCGAAGTGCTCTCCACAAGGTACGTAACCGGGTAGATCGATCCAGTCCAATCAGACGAGCAGTCCACAAGTAATAACAATTAGGTTGGCGAGGTAGTCGAGCAACTTTGCTTTCAGACACTTGAGCTGTCAGAAGGGCAAGAATGAGCCACGAAGCGAGCGAGAAAGTATGTAAATGAACTGGCTTCGCCGGGCTGGGAGAGCGAAACAGGGGATAAGGACGCCTTCTCCAGCCCTCGGCTCTGCGTTTGTTGGGGCGCAAGAAAAACGCGGGAGCATGAGCTTCTGGGCCTGTCTAGCGTTTCCATGCCGCCATTCTCGAATCATTCAAGCCCGCCTAGTCATGCACCAACTCTGCACTTCTCAAACGCGCCAGTGCGCAAAAAGGTGCGATACCCGGGCCCCACCGCTCGCAGCAGGTTTATCGACGTTTGATCGTCAGGAACACGAGAGACGTTGGAGCCAACTCTGCACCTCGCACTGCTTGCCACGGATCCTTCTTCAAAAGAGGAATCCTGTCAAGGTTGCATAGCGTCACTGAGCCTAACTGCGAGCTCCTGTCTGTCCGCCGACGCTGGGGCTTCAGTGGCACGGGAAGCTTCCCCGCCCATCGAGTCAGTTCACACGTGGTGCAGGCATTCTAAGCTCGTCAACGGAGGTGGCTCCAAAAAGGCCCGCCGCCACCCAGCCAAGCGGCAGACGCCCGTCCAAGGGGTGCATTGATGCATGCTGGGAATCGATCGACGGCTTCGAATCGTAAAAAAACAAATCCAGTTCGTCCTAGGGAAGCTTCTATTCATGCTGAGAACAGTCTAAATATAATCTAGAAAGACATGGGATTCCCACACGGCAACGCCCCGTGTTTGATCAACGACTAGCCCGGCTTTTGTGACTTGCTCGTCTCGTCCATTTGCGCCCATGGCTCCTATGAAATGCTTGCAGTTCCTGATCTACATTATGCTAATCGCGATTCGGGGACGGATCCCTCGACTACCGCAACGGCTCCCACATTACCTGCATCCGCCGATCCATTAAGCAGCGAAATACATGAGATGACATCGGCAGGTTCAACGAGATGCCAGCTGGCCAGTGTCTGCTTTGAGCTGGCGCCAACAGTGACCGAGAAGACATGGTCGGTAGGCAGATTCGATTGTCTGAGTGAACGGAACATGTCTATCGTTGTTAGCTGGTGTCTTCCATGAAATGCCGGTATCACAAACCTTCATCTGTGAAGTCATCTCCCAGACACAGGACAAACTCGGGCGCATCTTCCAGGTTGATCGCCGTAATCCAACACGAGTCTCTTTGCGATCTCGCCCTTGTTGACGAAGCGGGGGGCGCACTTCGAGGTTGGTCTTTACTCCGTCATGACTTTCGACGTCATACTTCTTCGCGACAGTCCCTCTCAAGATGCTTCTGGGCACTTCGCGAGTCTTGATGTGGCGCCGTATTCCGGATTCAGCTCCTCCGATAATGCCATGTCAAAGCAATCTTCTTTGTCTCGACGAAGGAACCTGGAAGCGTTAGTGTGGCATTGGAATGTTTTCAGCATACACACTCACCAGTTGTCTTGTCAGTGTAGTACTGGAACACATCGATGACCTCCTTCCGCCAGCTCATGTCGGTCGTCTCTGTCAAATTTTCCCAGTCCTGGCTTTTTGGGTGTCGCATAAAGCTTCCGTGCTCGGCACTGAGGCCCAGTTCGGAGATGTGGCCCATCCACTCGTCCAAGAAAGCCTGATCTCTGCCACTGATGATCCAAACAGCATTGTTAGGGTCTGAAGCCAGTGTCTTCAACGTGCGAATCACCCGGTCGGAGGGAATGGCTGCCTGAGGATCCTTCACGATGGGTGTCAAAGTGCCGTCGTAATCGAACATGAAAAGTCGCTTCTTCGCTTGCCGGTATTGAGACAAGAGCTTCGCCCGATCCAGAGCAGGAGTAGCAAATGACTGGTCGAACGCAGAAAGGTTAGTCATGAGCCTCTTCAGGTAGTTGTTCGTCCACGACTGCACGTTATTTGACACGACGTGGTTGTAGAGTTTTGTATGCTGCTGCTCTCGCTGCTGGTCATCGAGCTTGAGAGCTTCATTAATGGCGTCCGCCACACCGCCCAGGTCCCATGGGTTGATATGGATCGCTCCGCTCAACGAGCCTGCAGTTCCTGAGAATTCTGAGAGGATGAGTGGACCGTGGTTGTCTTTCTGACATATGACGTATTCCATGCTTGTCGTGTTCATACCATCTCGCACACTCGTGATGAGACCAATATCTGCGAGTCGAAGCAGGGCGAAATATTCCTCCCGTGAGAGATACTGGGGGAAATGGCGAACGGGGGTGAAGTCGAGAGAGCCGTGAACACCATTGATCTTGGCGGCAAGATCTGATATGTTGTTGACAATCCTTTCCCGCGCACTCTCGCCTCTGTCCGTATGAACACTACTAGGGCTAGTGACCTGGATAAGGACGACTTTCCCTTGCCACTCTGGATACTTTTCGAGAAACATTTCGAATGCTTGCAATTTCTGGACAACACCACGAACAGCATCCAGCCTATCACGACCGACAATGATCTTCTTTCCGGCATACATCTCGCGGATGCCCTTGATGCGATCATCGATCTCAGGGTCACCGAAAGCTTGCCGCTGAGTCGAAGCCGCATTGATACCAATTGGGAACACGTCGACAGCTACGTGGGCTCCATAAGCATCGACTCCGGCCGAGGAAGAGTCAAAGCCTAGGATCCGCGTGCAGCATGACGAAAAGTGTCGCGAGTAGCTATACGACTGGAAACCAATCATGTTGGCACCCAGAACACCTTCCAATATCTCCTTTCTCCTGCTCAGGCACCTGTAGAACTCGCTACTCGGGAAGGGGACATGGAGGAAAAAGCCAATGTAGATGTTGGGAAGACGTTGGCGGAGCAGGCTGGGAAGCAGGAGCAGATAGAAGTCGTGCACCATGATTATGTCGCCAGGGTTGTAGATCTCGAGTATTCTGTCCGCAAAAAGCTTATTCATGCGGTAGTAGTCGGCCCAAGACTTGCGTGCGGCACGGCCGTCCTCGGGTTCATTCTGCTTGTAATGGAATAATGTGTATAGCTCGTGCTCGGCGAAAGTGCGCCAGCGGCTCTGGTCCTTGACAACATACTCGTCCTTGTGATCGTCCACTTCATCGACTAGCCATACGGGGACGATCTTACCACCGTGATCGCGCTCGAGCTGCTTCTCCAGACGCACCCTGTCGTCGCGGCCGATGCGCAAGCCGGTAGGCTGCTGAGGTACTGGGTTTGGCTTCTTTGGGTCAACGGGAATCGGCGCAGCAGCCTTGTTCACAGGCGGTTGCACGGCCAAGTCCCCTGCGGACTTTGCTGTAGATATCTCGCCAGTCCAGCCAACAAGCGTGTGGTTCCATGGTGACGAAGACGAGGCCAGGTATGAAAAGGAGTCGAACAGAGCTGAGGTGCCGCGCCGTGGCTCAAGTTCCCAATCGTTACCCTTGGAAAAGCCAATGTTGTACGGTACAGCGAATGTGGCACTGATGATGCGACCGCTAAGGTTCAGCCCTGGGTGTGCTGCACGCGGATCCACGCTGGACAGGTCGTTCTCAGTCGATTCATCGGGCCTTGGCTCCATTTTCTGTTGAGTGTCTTTCTCTGTTTGAGCTGTACCTGCCTCGAAGGTGGAGCCAGCCTTGTCCTGGACCTGCTGCTTGTCCGCAAAATATGAGTTGGCGCTCCACGATGGCCCTGGGGTGGCTTTCTCGGGGTCAAAAGGCAATTTGCTGGTGGAATCAGTGTCTTCGGGGTCGATGTAGGCCGACTGGCCAGTCAAGTGTACGCCAGGCGTGACAGGGACGTTGGTGATAGAAGGGTGGAGGGCGGGATGGTCGCTCTCGCGGGGCTCGAAAGCTTCGGGCGACGCTGGGTCTGGTTCCGTAGGCGGTGTCATGGTGCAGGCCGAATGCGACTCTGGGTCGAGCTGTAGGGAGGTATTAGAAGCTGGTAGGCTAGTGGAGTGAGCTGCTAGGGAAGGAGGAGGTGGTGGGCAAGCAGCGCAACACTGGGCAAGATATATATGGTGAGGGCGCATTGACTGACGAAACTTACCTTGCCGCCTGGTAGCGAAGCGTGACTCTCACCGTGCGTGGTGGAAAGAGAAGCTGCGCAGAACTCCTACGGTGGAAGGACCAAGCTAGACTTTACGCAACCACGATCACGATCACGATCACGACCACTATAGCACAATATGATCAGAGCGAGCGGGTTAAAACGAAAGTCGTCCGCGGGTGGCAAGCGAGGAGTCCCCAGCACAGGAACGGTGGAAGAAATAAAGACGCAAGCAGCGCTATGGTGAGGTGAAGAATCGGGGCAAGAAAAGGTCTTGGTGGGCTGTCCCCATCCCACCTTGGGCCTTCTGACGTCGGTAAGAGACATGGATGCAGCTCGGGCCATGGCCAAACAGCAGGAGCACATGCAAGTTTAGGATCAGGCCAGGCTCCACTCACTGCTGGCTCCCAAGTCCTGGTGCTTCCATGCGCTTCGCTCGGCCAGTCTACATGCAGTTTGTTGACCCGAATGTCAATATGATGTAATCGCCGCCGGTACCTGAGCCCGCGGCGGTTGGACCTCGACTAGCGCGTTTGCACACAGTTGGTAATGTCTAGTTGGTACAAGGTGCAGCTGGACGAGCGCAACGGGCATAGAGAAGCATAGACGTGCCTAGAGATTCTACAGTAGAGTCCGACGTAAGAAGACACAACGAAGCGCGCAGAAAGTCCGCGGGAGTGTGCTCCAGGGCCCGCCCAAAAGCAGATTAGCAGCTTAGCGAAATAGCTCCGCATCGCATTTCCAAGAGCTTCGCGAACCTACGCAGCATCGTGATCGACTCACATCGCCAGCTTGCTTGGTGATTAGCTGCCACGGTCCTAGGCCTCTCATGAAGCCGTCCCATCCTCGGCTGACATGTCGCGCCCATAACCGCTTTTCACCGTCAATTGCCCTGTGGCACCATTTTGTCGGTCGCGATCGACCTTTCCTCACCCAGCAGCGGCCGTCTTCGACTGTCGCCGAAACCTCACAGCACAGCACAAGCGACCATGTCGGCGACACGGAATCTCAGGCTACGGATGGCATCGTCCCGCCTGCGAACCGACGAGACTCAACGGTCCGCAAGACGTTTTCGATAAGAAGACTTGAGACCGAGAAAGGCGCATGGCACGCAAATCCGATCGATGCATCAGTCGCGCGAAACCGCGAAAAGAAACGAATTCAATCTGTCCTTCAAAAGCACCGCGCCGACTCTCCAACGGGAGCGCTGGCTACGGCCAAGGAATCCTTCGGTGCGGACAAAGACTACAAAGGCATCGTGGTGCAGCCTGTGGTGCACCCTACGCCTGTCAAAGAGAGTGAATTTCCGTGGTCTCTGCCATTAGAAGAGAGGGAGATACCAGGCCTTGATAGGCAAGTGAACATACAAGGGCCCATGGGCCTCAAACACTGACAAGAGACCTCAGGCTGGCAATCGAGATCGAGAGATTCTGCGCATATTCACAGCCAGGCCACTATGAAACCATTGCGCGAAGACAGGTCATTGAGCAGGTGAAGAGCCAAACCCGAAGAATCTTGCCAGACCATGTCCTCGAAATATTTGGCTCCGAACGTACTGGGCTGACGCTTGCCACGTCCGACATCGACTTGCGCCTGGTCAAGAAAGCGAAGATGAAGGATCCCGAGCAGTCAAAACTACTGCCTACATCTCGAGAGCGTGAGGAGGCAACGAGGGATCTGTACATGCTGTATGGAAAAATAAGAACCAAGCACAAGTCGGCATATCTGCTCCTGACCATTCGAAATGCTCGCTATCCACTCATATCCCTCCAAGATCACAAGTCGGGCTTGGACGTCCAAGTCGTCCTCTCCAACGATACCTCACTGTCGAGGGACCTCATGAAGGGCTACATGGAGCAATATCCGTACTTGCGCCAGCTACACCTTGTGGTCAAGACCATGTTCGATGTGCGGGGCTTGACCGACGTCTTTCGGGGTGGCTTTGGCTCCTACACGTTGTTCATGATGATAGTAGCCAGTATCCGACACAAACCCCACCCGCGCAACGACGCTGCAGGAGGCTTGATCAACTTCATGAAGTTCTACCGCGACTTGGACACGACCAAGGAAGGCCTCTCCATCGAGCCCGTGTCGACGTTCAACAAAGTCGACAAACCCATCATGTCCGCCAAAGCCAAGGCGAAGCTCGATGTACGCACAAAAGCTCCCCCATCTCTTCTCCCGTTCTAACACATACAAAAAACAGGCCGGCAAAATCAAACCTCTACCTGAATACATGCTCTGTCTCCGCGACCCCGCCGACCCCACCAACGATCTCGGCCGCAAAGCTATCGCCATAAAACACGTCCAAAAGACACTCAAGGCCCTATACTACACCCTCGACCGCGATGTGCGAATGAACACACGCATATCCCTCCTCAGCACCCTCATCGGCCCGTCATACATGCTCTACAAGGAACGTCGCCACAAGCTCGCCGAGTACGGGAAACTGCTGTCCGACAAGAACAAGAAGCGCCTCGCTGTCCAGGCACGCGAGGTCAGAGAGAGCACCAAGTCATTGGAGTCGTCACCGAGTGAGGGAAAAGAGGAGAATGAGCTCGATCACATACAGCAGGTGGTTGGAGAGGGCGCCAAGCCAGTGGAGTCGTCTCACAGTGCGCCAAAAGAAGAGAACAAGCTCGAGAATATCCAGCAGGTCCAGGAGAATATCCAGCAATATGTTGAGAACATACAGCAGGACTTGGAGAGTATGCTGCAGGACAAGAAGCAGGAGCAAGAATCGAAACGCCCGCTTCTCTAAGGGGGCACGGTGATACAGATGCATCGTCAAAACCATGCCCAAGTCATCGTGTCTGGGTCAGGACTGGAATGTTCTTGGAAGCATTTTGAGCCCTGAAATAAAAATAAGCAATTCATCATCAAAACAACTTTGACATATGCCAACCTGACTGATGCTATGTACATGAGTCGTCCAAGCATGTGACCGAAAGTGCCATCGTTGCATGCCTAATTAGCGCAGACACAATGTGCTTACATCACAACCATCTCTGTCTCACTCATGCCCTGCGTCACATGCTAGAGAGCGTGAGAAGGGCCCGTTCTGTTACAAGTGCTGATTGCAAGCCCTATTCATGATGCAAGCCGTATCAAATATGTAAACTCCATCATTCCGTCGTGCCATACGACACTGTCGTTCATGTCCTCCATATCCTCATTTGCCCTTCCACAAGACGGATGCTGAACCGTAAAGAAACTATCCCACTCATTCCAGTCCACCACTGCCCTAGATGGCGTACTTTCGGGTCCACTCACGCGCTGTGGACTCATATCGAGATCGGTCGGTCTTGTAGACGTGTGCGATCTCGGGGACAAGCGGGTCGTCGGGGTTGGGGTCTGTCAACATGGAGCAAATACTCAGGAGCACTGTCGTGTATATTAGTCATAGGTCTTGATATGGAGATAGAGTAATGGTGTACCTTTTGAGATGGTCAGAGCGGGGCTCCACTGGTCTCGCAGAATGTCCAAGCAGATGCTGCCGTTGGAGTTGATGTTGGGGTGGTAGATACGGGTGGTGAAGTTGACCTTCGGGGGCTTGAAGGGGTAGTCGGTAGGGAAGTGAATCGCTAGGAAGAAAACGCCGCCCGAGTATGGTGAGTCGCTCTGTCGCACGGTTAGTCTCGCGGCTTGCGGTTGATGTGCGGAGTTGCAGCAGGCCTTGGGCTACTGCCATGTGCCCGAGGATTGTACGTACAGGACCCATGATGGTTGCTTGCCAGTGGAACTATCGCGTTGTCAGCATTATCGTTCGCGGTGTCTTCCGTTCGCGGCATCGGCGAAACCGCCCCAGCCGCGGGGATACCACACAAAGCGTGACGTACCAGATCATCCCCAATGGGGCCAGCTGAGCACGAAGAGGGAGGGTCACTGCGAATATCAAGTCAGCGAAACGTGACCGGAAGACGGCGTTGCGAGTCCATATCGCCATGTAGATGCCATGGCGCCCCGCCGTCGCAGGCTGTCGTGCGAGCAAGCGGGCGGGCTCGCCTTCGGAGGAGGGACGACGTACCGGCCGAGGTCAGTGAGCTCCTTGTTAATGCGCTTAAGAGCCATGGTTGTGTTGTGGATATGTGGTTGGGACGAGAGACAGTGTTGGTCGGGCAGCTTCTAGCAGCGAGGGTGAGCGTGTGGTGTTGAAGAGTTGAAGTGGGATGTCTGTTCGCAGCAGCAGGGCCAGCGGTTAGCGTTGGATCCCAAAGAAAGCAAGTGCGGCGGCGTATCACATCAATCAGCGGAAGGCACACCCGCCACGCCCAACACCCAACGTACCTGTGACTGTCGCGCCTGATGGCTGTAGCAAAGGCAAGCGGCGAAGTCGAATTGTGTGGTGAGAGAGAGCGCAAGAGGCGGGGCACAGCCACAGCTTGTATTTATCAGTGTTACAAACCCGCCGCCCAGACGAGGCAGCCCGGTCACTGCGCTGCAAAATTATTCACCGACGTTTCTTAACAATCAGCATTGCCTGCTGTGGCGACTCGTGGAACCGAACCGAATGCGAGGCTGATGTCTCATTCACAAGTCTGCGCGGCATACGGCAGAAGCTTCACCAATAAGTTCGCCAGACTGTTGTGCACATCATCGTTTGTCTTGTGCCATCGACTCTGGATGTGGGTCCGCCTTGCACAATGCATGCATCAATCATTTGTGAGACCATCAACGTTCGAGGCGTCTAACATTCGTTTGCACTTGCATCTCTACTTCTAATTTTGTCCGCATACAAGCTGCATGCTAAGCTTGGAGTACTTTGTACTTTGTGATAGGCGGGCTCCTCAGACCGATCAACGTTGCACAGCGGTAGAGCATGTCATCCTAGCCAGAGATGAGCATCAAACACCTGCGAGCTATGTATACATCTTCGCCTTCGTCCTGGCGATCAACAGAATGCCTGTAGGCCAGTGATTGCACGGCCGAGGATCAAAGCTGAAGCGCGTTAGCTGCCATCAGGGTACATTCGAATGGGAAGCTTACCGTGAATGTCACTCTGACCTTCGTAGGTCTGCGTCACGAACAGATTCGCGACGTGCCTGCCAATGCCGTACTCGTCGGAGACGGCATTTCCACCAAACACTTCCTGGAGCCTAAAGCCAGTCAGCACTGCCTGCCAAGGTACCCATATGATACTCACGTTCGTGCGTTGATGAGTGCTCGATCACAATTCTGCCTCTTAATCATAGAAATCATCTCGGGCGCAGCCTTGCCTTCGTCCTTAAGACGTCCTACCTGCACGGCAGCCAGGATACCGAAAGCTGCATCGGTGGTTGCGTCCGCCAGCTTCTTCTGCACAAGTTGGTACTTGGCAATTGGGTTGCCCTTGAACTGCTTCCTGTCCAAAGCATATTGCCGCGTACGTGAAATGCAATCCTCCAAGGCACCCATGGTGCCCCAAGCGATTCCGTACCTTGCAGAGTTCAAGCAGCTGAATGGTCCCTTCAGTCCCACAATTTCAGGGAACATATTGGCTTCTGGCACAGGGCAGTTGTCGAGCTGTATCATTCCAGTCAAAGAGGCTCTCAGACCATTCTTGTCCTTGATAGCCGGCGTCTCGAGTGTTCCTGGTGGGCACTGGTCTCGCTCGATAACAAAGCCTCGGATCTTGCCGTCCAGTTTCGCCCAAACTAAGAGGACATCTGCAATAGGCGAGTTGGTGATCCATGTCTTGGAACCAGAGAGCGAGTAGTAGCCCTTCTTTGTGGGATGAGGCTTTGCTGTGGACTCCATCGAGCCTGGATCTGAACCGTGGTTGGGCTCTGTCAGACCGAAGCACCCCAGCAGTTCGCCTTTGGCCATCCTGGGCAGCAAGCGCTCCTTGAGCTCCTCGGTCCCAAACTCTTCGATACCGCCCATGGCAAGGGAGCTTTGCACCGAGTATCCAGATCGGTACCCAGAGTCAACTCTCTCCACTGCTCGCGTGATCAAGCCAGCAGCTATACTGCTCACACCAGCACACTCGTAGCCTTTGATAGACGCACCGAGCAAACCCAGCTCGCCCATTTCTGAGATGATGTTGCGGTCAAAGTTCTCATTGCGATACGCCTCTACATACTTTGTATTAGTGACAGCATGTGATTACATGCTGCGTGTACGTACCCAGTACTCTCGGAAGCATACGCTCTTGGCAATATGCCTCTGCTGTTTCTGAAATGGCCAACTCCTCCTCAGTGAACAGACTCTTCGCGTCCAGAGGATCTGTCCAGTCGAAAGCGACGGGTGCATGTAGAGAACGCTTTCCGATGACGGAACGAGCGGGGGCGTTTAGTTGCCTTGCGGCATGCCTGCATACTGGTCGGAACATGACTGTGATGTGTGATAGAAAATGTTTGATGACGGAAGAATCTACAAACCAACAAAATATATGGTCTTCCGAGCGGAAACGTCCATTGGGTAAGCGGGAACGAAACAGACATTCATTGGGTAATCTGGAGCGACAATGGCCTCGGAAAACCCCACGTAAATCAACCGCGGCACGGAAACGCTCCGCAACTGGTGGCAAGCAAGCATCATCATCATCTTCTTCGAGCGGCAATTGACGGAGTCGACTGTGCAGAGCCCCAACGTTCTGGAACACGAGCTATGAAGTTCAGAACATGTACTGGACAGGAACTAGGTCGTGCTTGTGATAGATGTGGAAGTGCAAGTGCCAAGATATGTGTAGACCGTGATTGCGCGAATCCCTGCACGCGTTCGACGTGACGTGCGCGCGGCTGTCGCTTCTCCAGCCTCCCACCACAACTGCTTTCAAGCAAACATTGACTGTGCCAACGCTCAAGCCCAGTATTTGCGGGAAACTTGAGGCACTGAACAACATCAAGATGGGTATCAAGCACTTGTACCAGCTCATTCAAGAGCACTCGCCAGATGCAATCAAGACGGGTGAGATCAAGAACCAGTTTGGTCGCAAGGTCGCAATTGTAAGTTATGATCATTGGTACACTTTAAACACTGGCTAACAGCTGCAGGATGCGTATGTGTACATTTCAATGCTGCAACCAGTCCAATTCTTACCCTGTCTAGTTCCATGAGCATATACTCCTTCCTGATCGCCGTGCGCTCCGATGGCCAGCAGCTCATGTCCGAGACTGGCGAAACCACGTCACATCTCATGGGTCTCTTCTACCGAACACTGCGTATGGTCGACAACGGTATCAAGCCCCTCTACGTCTTCGACGGCGCGCCTCCGAAGCTCAAGTCCGGCGAACTTGCAAAGCGATTCCAGCGCAAGTCAGAAGCCCACGCTGCGGCAGAAGAAGCGAAAGAGACAGGCACAGCAGAAGACGTGGAGAAGTTCTCGAGGCGGACAGTCCGGGTCACGAGGGAGCACAATGAGGAGTGTCGGAGGCTGCTGAAGCTGATGGGCATCCCGTTCATCATTGCACCAACTGAGGCAGAGGCACAGTGCGCTACTCTTGCGAGGGGCGGAAAGGTGTATGCTGCTGCGAGTGAGGACATGGACACGCTTACGTTCAACACACCCATCCTGCTGAGGCATCTCACCTTCAGTGAGCAGCGCAAAGAGCCTATTCTAGAGATCCATCTAGACAAGGTACTCGAAGGTTTGGAGATGGAGCGCGAGCAGGTACGATCATCCCCCTCCACCACCCACGCCAAAGACTAACAGCCTCAGTTCATCGACCTCTGCATCCTCCTCGGCTGCGACTACCTCGACCCCATCAAGGGCATCGGCCCCTCCACCGCCCTCAAACTCATTCGCGACCACAAAACCCTCGAAGGCGTCGTCGCACACATCCAATCCGATCAGAAGAAACTCACCCTCCCCGAAGACTGGCCCTTCGCCGACGCCCGCCAACTCTTCCTCGAGCCCGACGTCTGCCCCGCAGACGCCCCCGAGTGCGACTTCAAGTGGGAAGCGCCCGACATCGAGGGCCTGGTCAAGTTCCTGGTCGAGGAGAAGCACTTCAATGAGGACAGGGTCCGCAATGGTGCGGCCAAGTTGCAGAAGAATATGAAGAGCGCACAGCAGAGTCGGCTGGAGGGCTTCTTTAAGCCGGTGGAGAGGACGCCTGAGGAGAAGGCGAGTTTGAAGCGCAAGGCGGATGAGAAGTTGAGCGAGAAGAAGAAGAAACAGAAGGAGGAGGCGAAGGCGAAGAAGCAGGCCAAGTCAAAGCCGAGGACTGCTGGTTGAGCTTGGGTGACGGGGCAGGGGTTTACACACACAAGGGATGCGTCTGTGTTGGCGTTAATCGGACATGAATTCAGAAGATTCATATGGCGTTGGGAGGATATCCAAATCACGAGTTCAACGCAGGATCTTTCGGCGCGTGCATAGTGAGAATATGGCTGCACTCCGTAGCTATAAGCTGAACAGTTTCGCTATCGTCCATACAGCTACATCAAGCGTTCCACTTAATTGCAGCATGCTTCATCCCCAGAAATGGGTTACCTACTTTCCTTCTATCCATGTCTGTCATACAATGCTCGATACATGCGCCACCAGATGCTCGTTGCAGCCACTTTTCTTCGCTAATCTAAAGTCGTGACTAACATTCCCCACACCTGCCGTGCGCTCAAAACAGATCAAGCAGGTCCTGATTGCTCTTCTTGCTCGGCTCGCCACCCATCTGTTGCGCGGGCGGCGGGGGCTGGTTGTTCTGAATCGACATGCCCGCGAACCCACCCATGATATCGTCATTGCTCATCTGCGCACTAGCCGGCGGCGCAGCACCGCCTCCATCACCGAACAATCCCAGCAGATCATCCATGTTGGACTGCGGCTGTGCCGGGGCATTTCCAGCCGGCGATGCGACTCGCTGCGGCGTACCTGCCAGACCCTCCAGGCCCGACTCCCCAGAACTCGGGGCTTTCTGCATGGACGCGGGTGCCGAGCCGTCGAAGTCGATGTCGAGCAGGTTCTCCATGTTGGTTGTGGGTGGTGCTTTGCCGGTAACGGCGGCGGCAGCAGCGGCAGCGGCGATAGGGTTTTCTCTCGCTTCCTCCTCCTGTTCTTCGATCGCGGCGCGTTGCATGGCCTCTGCGCCAAATCGGCCTTGGCCAAGGAAGGCCTCTGGCGGCTTGTGGTACACGGAAGCTAGGGTAGATAGTTCCGAGAGTAGTGTCTCAAGGAGTTGAGGAGGCAGCGATCGGATCGTTGTTGTAATGGGAGGCTTGTCCGAAAGTACAATGTTCTGACAGAATTAGCTTGGAGCTGGCAAACATATCGCACCTGTTGAACGTACCTTAGCAACCTCAGGGTCGCTAGAAAGTAACCGCCAATACACATAAGCTCGGTCGCGGATATCAGGATTGTCGTTTTCTGCGGTGGCAGCTTGTAGGACCTTTGTCACGAGACCTTGTGCTTGATCTGGCTTCTTGAGGAAGAGCTTCACAACTGCTGTGAGGATTTGGAGTTGTGTCTGGATATGGTCAGCTCAGTTGTCAGTATGATGTCCACTTGAACTAACCTGGGTAAATTCTTCAGCGAAGGTATCGACAAAGTTGCCAAGTATCTCTCCAGCATTATTGATCTTCTCGGCATATTCTCCAACGATCCATATAAGCGAAGCTCGAGCATTGGGCTCATCCAGTTCGTCAATGCATTGGCAGAGCGTGGGTATGATACCCTCGTAGCCGGGGTACTTGCGGAAAATATCCTTGATTACCACAACTGCTTCTTGAACGACGTAGTTGACTTTGGTGTTGATAAGGTCAAGGAGCGTGTTGACGCACTTCTCGCTGGCACTCTCAATCTTGATGGCCACTTGTCCAATAGCCTTGACAGCTCGCCGCACAAAATCCATATCCACCTCCATGGCATATTCCTTCAATTCCGCGAGCAGCTGATCGACGTTCTTGTCGTTCGCTATCCGAACCATAATCTCGAGTTTTTGCATCTTCAGGTATGGGGGATCGTTGTATTTGCAGAAGAAGACACGCATCTCTTTGCTGAGAATGTCTGTTTGTTTCTGGAGTAGTAGATCGATGTTTCGGAGAGCGACGTATTGTACCTCGGGAGCGGATGAGACCAGAGTTACTAAGATGCATCAATTTGGCTACAAGCTTAGAGGGATTATAGAGGGGCGCTTACCCAGGGGTGGAGCCATCTTTTTGGTGTACGATTTGGTCAGTTCTGGAGAGATATACCGCATGTGCAGGAAGACGACTTTGACAGCAGCAAGGACAACACTCGGGTTTACGTGCTGAAATTGGGGCACAACCCTTTCGCAAATGTGCTCTGCCTCTTTCACGTCAGACGCTTTGTAATCTGCTAGAGTGGTGAGCAGAGTGACCCTGCCCCATTCTGTGCATTCGTTCAGTGCCAGAAGCATCTTCTTGAGGGTGGTTGGGGTGATTGCAAGCGCCCTGGTCTCCGGCGACGTTTCCTGGATCTCAACCAATGCCGTAACGGAGTTCGCAACTACCATGGGGTTAGGGTCGCCCACGAGTTCCTGCAGCTGCTCGATAAAGCCATTCTCAATAGCCATTGCAGGTGCTAAATCGAAGAGTTTGGCCACACAAAGAGCTGCTGTCTTTCGCACGTATGGCGACTCGTCCCGTAGTGTCTTGCGTAGCGGTTCCTCCATATAGTCTGTCATCTTATCCACTCGGATACAGCCCATTGTTCGTATAGCCAGCGCTCGTATTAGAGGATTGGGATCTTCTGAGTCCTGTACGAAGGTATTCACGGCGAGAATACATAGGTCCGGATGCGATTTCGCGTAATTCCTGATCGACTCGTCAGATGATCTTCGTGCAAGACATGGTTGTGACATACATTAGGTAGAGATACACCAGCTTCTTTTGATCCAAGTCTGCTGTAGCAATGTTCTTGAGAACGTCTGGAAACAGTGCCGACACATCTTTACCCAGGGTCATGGACATGATGGTCTTTTGGATGGCTTCTTTCCTGACATGATATGAGTATCACTATAGGCCTAATATCACTGTTCGTTCACTCACCGTTCGTATGCATATTGTGAACTGCAAGTATCGTCAGTCTTGGACACATGTCTATGTTCACGGGAGCTCATACACCAAGCCAGCTCTCAATTCGAACGTCTCTCCCTTCCTTGGCGCTGCAAACGCGCCTCTTATTCTGTTGACAGCCATGACTTCGTCTCCGGTGCGAAGGTCACAACCTCCGCCGAGCCCCTCCTACCTCAAGACCCTGGATTTGTGAACCTAATGGGTACTGGGAGTTCTCTGCCTGTGGCGCAATTACTCCGATGACGTATGCGGAAGCGGTATTGGATAGGAGAGCGATTACGGGTATCTGTGAAGGTATGGACGTCGAGGTAGTGGAATTAAAGCTGGAGATTGCGGAGCTTAGGTTCGCTGAAGGGCGACTGCTGCCACATTGACGATATGGTCCGTGCGGAAGAGGGTCTCGACTGTCGACATCGACAGTCGACATCCCGAACTCCCCAAACGCAAAAGAACAAGAAAAACAAGGATGGTGTGTAACTTCATAGACTCATGCATACAAGTAGGTGTAATAATTATGAATGATAGCCCTCCAACCTACCCAATTTGCGGCGTCTGTTCGTCGACGCTCGCAGCGACGCCGAAGAAAGCGCATACTCCAGAAAAGCCGTGAGTTGAGGCATTGCTCCATATGCAGAACACTGACTCGTGGAATTTGTAAGTTCTACAACCTCGCTATATTCATGTCCTCGATTGCAGTGTTCAGCCTGGTAGCTCAACGCATGGCCACCGGGAAATGATCAACAGCGAACGATCCAACCTCAATTGAAAAGATTTCCCCAAACTCGCAATCTATAGGAGATCACCATACTCACGACATTGCCGTCTTGAAATTTGCTGATGTCCAGCGTCTTGGAAGCCGGACGAATGCTTGCCGATCTAGACACCTCCTGGTCGGCGCTTACGCGCAGAGCTTTGTTAAGCGCTTGGGAAGAGCAGGCAACGTTCATAACAAATCATAGCCAGCCGCTTCGCGCTGCTTCGCGCTACTTTCTTCTCTCATCAGAGCTCATAGCAACTGTCAATCGTGTACCCACCCAAAAGCTCTATCCGAGACGCGAAGAATGTATGGTGGATGTGGCGCAGTTCTCTTCGGTATCGCTAATAAGGTCATCGGACTGGCCTAAAGTCAATCCTCAAATATTCCCAAAGTCTTAAAGTGAATCTGGGCTACACATTTGACCTAAGTCAGCCACCGATGCCAAGATGAACCCCCAGATGCGAAGCCTGCGCACAATGCATCAACCCCGGACAGGAAGCTTGAGGAATTCCAATCCAGGTACCCAGAGTACTATACAAGCAAATCAGAATCTCCAACCACCTTCACCGAAACTTCTCGCTCGGGCATCAACGACCTTCTATGCGCACATCATTACAGACTGGTGGTGGTGGGAGCTTGTAAGCTGGTTCGTGAGCTTCTCTTGCTTCATGGCCATTGTCGGCATCTTGTGGTTCTATGATGGCAAAAAGCAACCAAGTCATGTAGTCAAAGGGATCACTCTCAACGCCTTCATCGCAGTATTTTCGGCAATCGCGAGGGCTGCTATGATTCTTCCCGTGTCTGAATCCATTGGTCAGCTCAAGTGGATATGGTTCAAGGAAGAACGAAAGCTCGCAGATTTTCTCGCGTTCGACAATGCGAGTCGTGGGCCTTGGGGCTCTCTGATATTGCTAGGCACGACGATGTGCAGGTCTGAAATACCGTCATCCATCTCTAGTAGCATGCTAACCTGCTGTCAGACGATTGGTTTCTGTTGGGGCAGCGATCACCGTGCTGGCACTAGCATTCGAACCATTCTTCCAGCAGAGTGTCTCTTTTCCAAGCCGGAACGTGGTCACGGGAAATGCCACATTGTCCGTCGCAACTTCATATCGACGAATAGATGATATAGTATACCCAGTGCATGTTGAATTCCAGTGGCTGGGTATCAACACCGGGGCTGCTTCTCGCAGCGCTGCCCTGGACATCATGAACGCGCTGTCAGCTAGAAACGACCCTGTCCGACCTGCACCTTCATTTTGCCCTACCGGCCAGTGCACATGGACGAAGTATTCTTCGTTGGGTGTGTGTCACAGATGTCAAGACGTGTCTCGCTTACTCGTGCCCGTCTGTTCAAAGGACCAACTAGCATCCCCGGCTGGAGGTATTACAAAAATCAATCACTGTGGTCATCACATGAATGGAACTTTCGTTACTGGCACAAAAGGTGGTGAATTCAGTAATTACAAGCAGGTCATTGGCCTGTCAACTCTGCTAGTTGGTGACCGACCTTCGACAATGTCCGGCGTCTCGTACTACAATTCTACAGTCTTTCAAAGAACTGCTAACGCTCTTCTCAACTTCTACGTAGCCTATACGCCTGATGGAGATTCGGGGATCTTCCGTAACGCAACCCCTGTTATGTCGGAATGCATCTTTCACTGGTGTGTGAAAACGTTCCAAGGGGTGTACCGGGAGGGTCGCCTTGAAGAGGATGTTCTTTCGACTTATTCGCCCCCCGACCTTCCGACAGCACCGACAGAGCCTAGAACTGCGATACTTGGTACAGACTCAAACGATGCGTTTGTCATGCTTGCCAATGGGGAAACGTTCAACATCGCCGCAAATACTACAAGATCCTTGAGCAACTCCCTCAGGGCGAATTTGCCCACGTACCTGTCCAACAGTAGCCTTGATACCGGCGGGCAGTACCCTGGAAGATGGAATTTTGTACAAAACGCTCCGTACGATGTCAATGCAGCATTGGGATCCATGGCCGAGGCATTGACGAACAACATGCGCACGAGTGCCACGAACAACGGCACCGAACTTACTTTCGGCGAAGCATGGGGTGCAGAGAACTTCGTCGAGACACAGTGGCCATGGCTATTATTACCGGGTGCTTTGCTCTTCTGTTCGCTAATCCTGATCACCTCGACAATTATCAAGAGTCGACAAGAAGCAGTACCAACATGGAAATCATCCGCTCTCGCGACGTTGCTGCATGGTTTAACAGAGGAGTCACGCGCGTGTGTTGCAGCGGGTGCTTCGCAAAGTGAAGTGGAGGCCGTATCCCAGAACTTGAAAGTCAAACTGTTGCTCGGAATGGCAGGCCAGAGATTGAGGCCAGTGAGTGTAGCAGCCGGGGTTCCTTGATATTCTGTCATTCAACCGCTCCATGGCGCAAGGCGAAATCACAATTTGGGCATGTTCTTCAGGCCACCCAGCCGTCGATGACTCAACGATCCGGTCATTTTAGCACGTATAAGAGAGGCACCTGATCTCCAACACCCACAATAAAACTACGGCCATGCAAGTAATGGCAACAAGTAAGACTTGCAAATCATACGCGCCGCATCTGCCAACGGAATTATGGCTTCAGATTCTGGAGAACACATCCACCCACGAAGCCGAACATCTCTGGATGGCGGTGCGCCAGGTGTCACGCCAGTTCCGGGGCTATGTTGAGAGACTTTTCGTGTCTAGCCATCTTCCCCATTTCGCCATATCGCTTTCGCTTCCCCGCCGGAGCTCGAATGACGGATCCCACAGGTGTTGGCCTGGCGCAATTCCGAATGCGCAGGTCATCATGTCCCTTCACCATACGACCTTGGAAGAGCGCTTCGCCACGTTTGTCTCGCCAGTCGAACTCGGGTGCGGCGATGAAAGAGCGAGTGTCGAAAACCTCAGAGCCTCAGGCGTGCTCACAGAGGCGCGACTGTTGGAGGCTCCTGCGTGGGTATATCTTGGCAAAAATTACATGGCTGGCCGCTCGATACCATTGCCAATGGACATTGAGTGGAATCAGGCAAAACATCGATGGGTTTGGCCGGTGGAGTGGAGGGTGCTTGTCGGTCGGTTCTACAAAGCGAAGCTGGAGGCTAGAACGCGGGCACAACGTCAGACTTGTCATGCATAACGGCAAGTTGCTGAGTAAGGACCTGTCTAGGGGAATGTCACAGCGAACACCCCAGTCCTTGTGTCAAACCGTTGACTGCCAATTCCCGAAGTTGACACACCTTGGCGCCGTGGCGTCCACCAAACGGGTCGATCTTCAGTCTCAAGGCTCGGCGCTTCCGCCCCACTTCGAATTCGATACAAGGCCGCTACACACCCTTACAGCCTCAGTAGATTCCTGAGACACCTGCGTAACGTCACTGTTTATGCTTATGTTCTGCCAGCATGTCACTACGGCCTGACCCAGGCGAATTGACAAATTTACGGCAGACGTGATACGGAATAGATTTTTAGAAATAATTTTACATTTCATTGACCCATAATGTATCGAAGCGCCAAAGAAAAGGGAAATCACACATCCTCAGAGCCTGTTCTAATGAAGCGCTGCGCTTCTTCCTCCGTAGAGTGATATACCTGCACCACTGACCCGGCTCGCGGGAGCAATGCAGTCATATCATTGAGTTCCAAATCATGCCAAAGAGAAAAGTACCATTACCACCGAATGCCATGCTTCATGCCTCTCCACAACCCGCCTTAATTCCGTGCTCTTCAAGAAAATTGCTGGTAGACTTAAGCGATGAAGTCACGAGCAGCGAACTTGGGGCGGTTGAATCGTCCACGACCGCGTCCACGTCCACGAGCAGCGCCCTGACCGCCCTGACCGCCTTGACCTTGACCTTGACCACCCTGGCCCTGACCGCCTTGACCGCCCTGGCCTTGTCCTTGCTGACCGTTGTTCTGACCCTGACCGTTGTTCTGTCCTTGCTGACCGTTGTTCTGTCCCTGACCATTGTTCTGTCCTTGTTGACCGTTGTTCTGTCCCTGGCCGTTGTTGTTGTTTTGACCATTGTTGTTGTTGTTGCCGCCATTGCCGGCACCAACAGTGAACCGAACGCAATCGTCCTGTGCGCCACGCTGAGCAACAGGCATGAGAACAGGCTGATGGTTGCTTGAAGAGGTCATTGAGCATACACGGTAGGTACCATCGGGAAGACCGGCAGCAAGATCGGCACTGAGCAGACCATTGCCATCTCCATTGTCATTGATACCCTTGAAGAAGGCAAATGTCTCGGCATCCAGGGGTTCCGTGGGGTTCTTGTTGTTGTTCATGTCCTGGACAGTGATGTGGGTGTGGCCAACAACATTGCCTCCTTGTAGAGCCTGGGGAGCCGCGTAGTAGGTAATATCAGGGTTAGTGAAAGACCCGGCTTGCAAGTTGGCGATCTTGACTGAGAACGTGATGGCTTCTCCTGAGGCGATGTCATCACCGTCCTTGGGGTTCTGGAAAATAGCAGAAACCATGTTGCCGGCGGCAGGAATTTCTCCCATGACTGCTTGATGTTAGACCGTTAAGAGAGTCTGGCTGTCGTTATGCTTACCAATACCGTTGCAAGAACCCTCCCTGACCTGAAGACCGTTGGTCAGGGTCTTTCCTTGACAGAAGTTGATGAAGTTGGCTTGGTCGCTTCGGCACGTTAGCTTTAGAATGGGACAGAATAATACTTCACAAACTTACGTAGCGGATGCAGCCTGACCAGCTTCAGCTTCGGCCAAACCGTCAACTTGACTGTTGGTCTGCACAACATCAGGGTTCAGGGCGAGAGCGTTGTTGTTGCCACCACCACCATTGTTGTTGTTGTTGTTGTTGTTGTTCTGTCCCTGGCCATTGTTCTGACCATTCTGGCCGTTGTTCTGACCTTGGCCATTGTTCTGACCCTGGCCGTTGTTCTGTCCCTGGCCGTTGTTCTGACCCTGGCCGTTGTTCTGACCCTGGCCGTTGTTCTGACCCTGGCCGTTGTTCTGGCCACCCTGACCGTTGTTACCACCGTTCTGGCCGCCGAATTGAGCTTGGGCAACGCCAGCTGCAAGCAGCATGGGCAACAAAGTAGTGAAGCGCATGATGAAGAGGGGATAGCAGAAAATGCGAAGTGTATGGACTAGAAAGTAAGGGTTAAAAGAATGACTCCGACTAGCGGTGATAATTAAAACAGATACGTTCAACGTAATCTGAGTAAAGTATTAGAGGAAGGGAGGAAAAGGAATGTAACCCTCGACTGGCAGACTTGGAAAGTACAGAAGAACAAGCGACAGAGGATGGTAGAAGACAAATAACTTGAGCGGGCGCATTGCCTTTAAGACCTTGGCGAGATACACACTGAAAGCACTCAGGCCAAGACTCTCGTCGTTCCTTGGGCATGAAACCTACGATGAAGGCCGACACGTCGCAGGCCGACAATACAGGCATCCATGGACGGTTAGGAGTGAAGCACAGGTCACATTGGTTTACAGGCGCCGTGGCCTTGACTGAGGCAGCGATGGGAGCCTCTGCGAAGCGAGGATGCGTCAGGCATTGAAAAGTGGCTGGACGGAAACTCGTGATGTCTGAAGTCTGAATGATCTCCGACACGAAAAGTGGGAGATCCATCTAGAATAGGCTAGCGCACACCACGCTAAACCGCTTGCCGCCAACCCAACCCTTGTCGCTCCGCCGCTTCTCCACCAAAATTATATCGAGGACTACGGACTCAAACCGCTCTGATGCCTTACCATGCGCAATGTGGCAGCCGAACGCACGGCAGGAACGTCTGGGTAGTCCCGGTATTCGTTCTTGGTACCCCAACCCTTCAGATCACACTGGCTCGTCTACTGCCCTGTGCCCTGTCACTGCAGCCCTCATTGGCTTGTCAGGGGAAGCCTTCTCGTATGTAGCCAAGTGCGAAAAGATAACTGCGAGTGACAGATGTGACGGGTATCTGTATAGACTATTCCCGTAGCAACACAGGAAACGAGAGCCTTGCATCGTTTCGAGAACCCTCCTCCTCCAGTTTGATCTCGAATCTGATCCTGCACACCTCTGCTTATTCTCAACGGACTGTGCCACCGGACAGTCCCTTCCGAGGTGATTTCTGCAATCTGGCGCATGGTTCCAGCAGCGAGGCATGAGGGTCCTCTTCTCCAGCACTCATATACCGCATTTGTGTTCAACCGTTGCAATTACCATCTCACATACCACATCAACCCTTGCAAGGAAGCTGAGATACCGAGGGAGATGTGCTTCACTCTTCCATGATTTTCCAAGGCAACAAAAGATCCGAGGCCGGCGTAAGCCCGAGAGACGATCCCCGTTTGACACCTTAAGTTCTTGCCACGGCTCTCAGGCACCCAGGCCGTAAATGTCGCAGCGCACACTGGTAACCCAGCAACTACGCTCCACAGCATCCACCACGGAAACAAGGTCTTAGTCTTGCCGGCCTGCCGAAGATCCACCGTCGCATGGCTCACTGGGGAACTTTTCGAGATGATCTCTGCTTGTATCTCGAAAGCCATCGAAAATCGAACGGTTCCAAGAGCCCACGAAACGGCTTGACATTATGCTGACGTTACTTGCGTGCTCACTAGTGTCTGTAGACCCCAATACCGCCGCTCAGATTCTCGATCGTTCAGATTGCTAATCGTCCTTCCATTACCCGCACTGCGCTGCCCTCGAGCACAATCTTCGCAATGGACTTGTTGCTGTCCATCTCAACGTCGATGAAGATCTCGCTTCGCCGACCCATTTCAACCCCCTGAATAATCTCGAACTTCAACGTCTCGCTTGGCCCTCCTTCGTTCAACGACAGATACGCCACCAGGTCCGAAGCTGCACTCCCAGTTGCAGGGTCTTCCAATGATCCCTCTATCATTCTTGTTCTCAACATCGTCGCACCGCCTGCGTTTTTGCCCATTCGGACAAAGAAATATGTTCCGATGAACGTCTTGTCCCAGCCTTCATCAAGTCCGGATATGCTGATCCCTTGCCCGGCCACAGATACCATCTCAAGCGCTTCCAGATTGTCAAGTTCTACGAGCACGAAAGTCATGCCCTTAACGATGGAGACTATCGCAAAATCATCTTTGATGCCGAACTTGCGTTGCTCATGACCTCGAGCAAGTCGAGGCTGCAACTTAAAGAGATCTTGTCTACCCCATCTCTTCCCGTGTATATGGCTAAATGAATGTTAGTTAAAGCTATTAATCTTGCCTCGGGAGGAACGGACACATCATGAGGAATCGCGGCTCTTGCGGTCTTCTTAGCGACATCGTAAACCAAGCTGACTGGCCCCGCCTTCAACTGGAAGCCCGCTTCTATCACGCCATCTTCTAAACCTCGTTCTTGGGCCGCTCTTGAGAGCACATAGCAGGCTGTACCGATAGTAGGATGACCTGCGAAAGGAATCTCTGCAGTCGTCAAAAATATGTCAACAACCCAAGTATTCCCTGGTGCGCTTGGGCTTTTCTCATGCAGAAACGTTGACTCCGAGAGGTTGAACTCGCGCGCGATCATCTGCTTTTGCTCTTGGGTCATGGTGACGCCATGGGGGATTCGTATGATTGCGAGCGGATTGCCCGAGTATCTTTCGGTGGTGAACACATCGACGGTAACAAATTCCAGTTGCGATGGGGATGACATGGCGGTGTTTGTGTTGAAGATTGGATCAGGTTCAACTTCTGCGTTTGAAGCTCTGAGCTATCCTTTGAGGGATGACTCATCGTGTTAGGGCGCGAACTGTCACAACGCCCTTCCGCGATTCGGAATCCAAATCATCGCTGAGTAAACCTCGCATTTCATACTGCGTTATAAGGCAGGTAGGCTTATGGAACAGAGTGACAAATGAGTATAACAATCACCATGAAGTCTCACAGCCACTCTCAGCGGCACTCGGGATGTGATGCTGAGTGCAAGAAATGAACCCTCCCATCACGCAGATACTGTCCAGAATATCGACCAGTTGATTGGGCAACAAGGCAGAATATAAATTGCAAGGCGCACTCAGGAGCACGACACCCGAACCTTATAAAAGCCATGCTTTGCGCATGCAAACCTTCAGCATCGATATTGCGTCATCGAGAGGCTTACTTCTGGTGCTTCTTAAGATTGGGCTGAGGCCAACGTTCTAGGTGCAAACCGCATGCTAACCTACAACTTTCAGCTTCATGCTACCACGCCGTCATTGCCATGACCGGTAGCACAATCAAGCACCTGTACCACAAATAACACATTTGCGACACGTCGTATTCATAGAATCATACATAGGCTTCGATAGAGATTCGTGTTCGTGCAACCATCGCCAACAGCCCCACGGCTCAGCTTGCCGTGATGCCCCCTTTTCAGGTTTGTAGCTGATTGCGCAAGATTCTACACAGCAGCGAAGACCCTGCTTGTCTCTCGCAACGATAACGTCTGCGCCACCAACGTCTAGTCGCCAGGGCAGATGATTGCAATGTACGACGGGCACCCAATGCGCTACATTTCCGTCCATGGTCGCAATGAGGCTTCCCGATCGGGCAGCGAATTTTAGTAAGCGGCAAATCAGGAGTGCCTCGTGGCTCGGGTGTGGCGGGTGTGGGTACGGGCAGTCGGGGCGAGTGAGGCGTCGCGCGGGCTGATCGGATCTGTGCGATGCCTACCCAGCCCACGAGACGAGCGAGGATCGCCTCGGGGATAACGCATCCAGAAGTATTGTTATTATTATGATTGTTGATGTATACTATTGACCAGCTTGTTGCGCGTCTGCGCGGCCGTTGCGCTCTGTTATTTTCTACGCGACTTGGCTTTTATTGAATGGAAGAAGCCGCTGCTAACTGCTGTTCGAGACGCAGGTGCGGCGCCATGGAAAATATCCCGAGCCAGCGATGTTGACACGGAGAATTGAGGATAACGGCTTCAACTAACGGCGGTGCAATTTTATGTCTCAGAGCCATTCAGCTTCTCGATCTGAGATGACATTCATGTTGTGTCTCAGGGATTCCTAGATTGCTCGATGATGTTCCAAGGTTGAAGCCAGTGGCATCTCCACATGATGCGTGTTCAATCACACCTTTTCTGCAAGTAAGCTCGCTCCATGGTTCGGGCCCGACGATGGTCATGATGTAACAGAGCGATTTTAGTCTGGCTACCATCTCAGGGTCAAACAATGTTTGGTAGCATCGACGCGATCTGGCTCTCTACGGAGCTCTTCCGCATGGCAGCTGTCAGTGTCCGGGCCAAGTTGCGACTCTAGTGAACGCCGCCGCTTCGACTACTGCGGATCTCAAACAAGCCGGTTTTCTACGCCATTATGATGATTTTATCTCAAGGATGGGTGCTCTGTAGAAAGACTCTAAGTATCCCACGCTTGATACTGCAACATGGGGATGGGGTGCGGTTCTTGGTCGCATTGATCACATCCCGCCATAGCAAGGTTCGCCTGTGATAGTGCTCGAGCCTTCAGCGTCCGACTACCATATGCGGATCATTACATCCGGTCCACAGACGCAGCTGAAGATCTTCTGCTCCGGCGCCGCAGGTCTCTCGTCGGAGACTTGGCCAGTTTCCAGACACACAACAGAAAGGGGCTGCAGCTCGCACGAAAAGTAGCCGCAGAGCCCAATCCAGTGAATCTATAATGGATGCATATCGTTGTGGCACTTGACGCGATCTGGAGCACAGCTAAAGTTCTCGCACAGACACTCGAGGGTAGTCCTCAGACCCCTGGACTGTGGCCGGAGCACAGCGGGCGCTCGTCATGCATTTGATTTTGTAATTGGCCGCACGGGAGAATTCGCTTGCTCTGAGTGGACGGCTAGAGGGCGTTTTGCATACGCCTATGTAGTGTGCATGTTTGGGCGAGAAGTCAGGAGCAGATGCAGCAGGTCTGCAGTCATGGTGCATGAGTAGCTCCGGTTATCCAGTTCGTCCAGAAGCAGAAGGTAAACAGTATAGCGCTTGAAGATTCAAACTCGCGTACAATTGCGAACGCAGGCCTGACTCGGCGCCGTTGGCGATGCGATTGCTATCATGGATGACGCCGGATGACAGACGCTTCGGGTGGCGCTAAAGGAAGAGTCGCCTGGTGCGCCAGAAGAAGAAGTCAACCGTGGTACAGCTGGCGATAGCTCGAGGCAACTGTCTCGGACACATGCAGGGAACCGCCACGAGAACCGGACGGGCCTGGCAAACACAGCGGCGTTGCGCCCGGTTGCTGCAGCGCGTTTCGCGATGTGTGGCCTGGCGACTGAGGAGCCCATCACAGCGACAGCGTGCCTGAGCTGCTGCAGGGCGGGGTCGACGTGAAGGCGCTGTGTGTGCTGCTTGAGAGTCGTGGGCCTGCGAGGCGAGACCCGGCCATTCCTTTTGGGCTCATTTTGACTTCCCCGCCCACCAACGCTAGCCCCCTGCAACGCTTCTCTTTTCACTTCCCCGTAATCCCTGCTCGGTGGATCCTCACGCGCGGGTGTGATGGTCGCGTTTGCGGTTGGGCTCGCATATGGTGGCGCTTTTCGTGCCGGGATTAGGAGCTGGACCAGCTTTGTTAGAAAACCCTTCGAGCCCACAGCTAATGCATCGTCCGCTTGCCCTCCATTACCTCGTCGACGACACTGCTGCGCCTGTGGACTGTCCGCTCACCCTATTCGCACCGGCAATTGACATTGCCACGGTTGCGTTTGCCCTTCCTTTGATCCGCTTGCCTGCACCGGACCCGCTGCACTTTTGTCCCGAACCAAACAACAACACGACAGGGTAGTCGTCCAAAGACTCGAACGGCCGCGCAACTCGCCCAGACTACGGACTCGACCTTAATGCGAAGCAACTGACTGCTCTTTCCGCTGCAGCTTCACTCTCGCCTTTCATTTCGTCTGCCGCAATTCTCCGACACCCGGTCGCGCCTGCCTCTCGCTCTGTTCTCACTAACCCACGCTGCGACCACACCCCCACCAACCCCACGCGTCTTCACCCACGGACCCCCCCTGCTCTTCCATCTCATTAAACACTATCCGAAACTCTAAAAGCCTCTTACTCGACTCATCTCTTCTGCAAAGCGTTGCTGTGCAGCCGCCGCCAGCACTGTCGCATCAACACCAACCAAATATAACGGCTGGATCCCCAAACAGCGCCCCGTCCTCACCACCGCGCAACCGCGCAAAATCATAACCATGACTTCAAATCACAGCCGCAACGCCTCGGAGGAGAGCAATGTCACCTCCATGTCCTACATTCTGGAGCATGTTTTGCAGTACCCGGGCTCCTATGAAATTCCCCTGCGTACCATGTACACACTCAACTGTGTGCCACGTTCGCAGCCCCTCCCCAAGGATCTCTCCAGCACTCAGTCGCAAAACACCTCGCCAATAACGGGACAGATGTGGACTGGTACCGAGACCGCCGCCTTGAGCTTCACGGCACAGCTTATGAACCACCTCCACTCAATGCCCACACAGGCCAGCTCGCTACCGCCAACTTTTATCGTCAACTTTGTCAACCGCTGCTTCCATCCTTCGCTTCATCTCGTGGATTTCCCTCAGGCTCTTACCGCGCTCGACTACTTGCGGGATCTGGAAACCCGGAGGCGCAAGGAGATGAAGGCTGCGTTTGAGCGAGTCCATGTCCATGCTGAGTCGTATGAAGCTGACATGGCTTGCATGGCGGAGAAGTTTCCGGGAATCGCCCTTTGGGTCAGGAACGTCGAGGGCAAGAACAGGAAGGCAGAGAGCTATTACGCGCAGCTATGGCTAGGTTTGCGCCGATGGGTAAGCACCGTTGATGGCATGCTTAGTAACACACTAACACTCCGTCTAGATCATGATCAATGAGCTATCAATGCAGCCGTTCAACAAACTCAACTGCATGGGCATGCTTAACACACTGTTGCCACCCATGCAAGACGAGAACAAGCTACCCTCAACGCATCTGGACTTGAAGACTCTCAAGGACGAGCGTGAAGGTTTCTTTGACTACATTCGCCTCGTCCAGAAGAATGGACCTTCAGTACTAAAGCCTATCCTGGACATGAACAAGGGCACCAATGAAGAGACTGGTTGGCCTTCTGTTCAGAGAGTGGTCGACAAGTACACCAAGGTGGCAAAGCAGATGATTGACGATTGCTTAGCCACAGCCGGACCCGAGTCCTTTGAGCGCAGCTTCCATGAGAAAACTGGCAAGAAGACAGACTCCGGAGTGAGCTTCGGTTCTCAGAGGACGTTGAGTGTTGCATCCGGCCTGCCCGAGGCACAGCTACCCGAGGCTCCAACGCCCACCTTCACCGGCACCAGCAAGGGTCCCACCACGCTCGAGAGGATCACCCGAGAGTTCCGGCGCATGCGTGTCAAGCCACGACATGAGATCGAAGAGATCGTACAGATTAAGCAAAGTCCTGCCGCCGACTATGTGCCTCAAATAGGCGACAGCACAGGCAAGAGGTCGCTCAAAAAGGCCAAGTCGCTCGCCAGCCTCAAATTCGGCAACGGTTCTTCTCTCTCCTTGGCGGTCAGTAGAAAGGGAAGCGACGCGATGCCGTCCTTCGACCCAGCGACGATGAAAAAGCACCGTGCACTATACGAGGCATCGGTGGCAAGGCCCAGTAACAGCCATTCCTAAGCCAGACCTCGGGGCCAACACATGACGTTGACGAGGACACCACGTTACGATTTCACGAGGACATTCCTTCCTGTCACGACTCGATGTAGTATATTATGTTCTTCTTTTCTATTTTTGATTATTCTCTGTCAGACTGCCGAGGCTTTCCCGCCTAGGATTTCGATTTCAGCAAACGTCAGCAAAGCGCGGCATTCCTTCTTAGCGGGCGTTCGAGATGAGCACTCTCACGAGACCAAAAATTTCCAGGTCCGCGTTTATGCAGGTTCATACCATAGAGACAGTATATGCACGATGCTTCGAATACGGTGTTATAGGATAATGGTGCATGGGTACGGCGCACCTAGGTGGTGGACTAGGAATTTGTTTTATGCACGCACGAAACATGATAGATAGATATCACGCGCATACGGCGCCCCACTACGATTAATGGAACAAGCAACAATTTTTCAATCAAATGTACCAACCAGAAGTTGAACATCGGAGTGATTCCACCGACTTGAGCATGAGCTTGGTGCATATCAACAACAACGTACATATGTTTGGTATCACTATTCCTCGACAACGTTGACGTCCCGCGACACATCAGGGACAAGCAACCAACGTCACGGCTTGAAACAATCATTTTCCGTATTGGGTTCAATTCACATGTGATGAATTAAGCGGGGGACAAAACAAAACAGAAGGCGCGACCCATTGTTTGGCCAACATGACTCTCTCCCCAACGGGCTCCTCTCACAACTAGCACATATCCGTTCATCCATCTTCAACCCGAGTCCGAGAATATACTGTGTACAGCAATTGCAAGCGAACACATGTCGTGTGCCTAGACTTAGGCGACGTTTGCTTTTTTTCTTACTTGGGAAACATATTCGCCCGAAGCACACATTTGCCACCTGTGCCTGCATCTAAACAACCACGGGGTATGTAGCAGCCCCACTACGCGATGCCGTTCTTAGCACAATAGCTGCACCCTGGCACGCGGTCAATAGAGACTTGGATCCTTTCTTGCATTTGCAGGCTCGGGCAAATGCATCGCCTTTGCACATCATCACATTTGCGCATGGAGTGCCCCCGGCTAACACGCTCGCGACGCAGGAGAGCGCAGCAGGATCGCCCACCATGAACAACGGCCAATCCGGCACGCCTTGCCCGTCACACGAAACACAAAATGCCCGCAGTAGATCACTGCATCCACCCTCGTCACAAGCACCCTCGACAACAACCAGTGCAGCCGCATCTCAACAGGTTTCGCCGACAAAAGCTGCACCGGCAGCCCGTACATTTTTCGATCCCTGGAACAGCAGCTCTACAGGCCACCAGCGCGCGGAGAATCGCCTCTCGGGCTCCACGTCATGGCGGGCATCGCGCAATCTTAAGCTTAGCGAGCAGTACAAGGGGGGGCTCCGAGGCGGAGGAAAGCGCGTTGCGGACACCGTCGGTGCTGGCAGCAAACTCTTTGGCAAAGATGGAAGGAAGGAGAATGGCGGCTGGGAGAAGGGCGCAAGAGGGCTGCGAACCGGCGGCCAGCAAAGTCTCGCTGAGGTCTGGGGTGTCAGCAAGACAGGCATGAAGGCGTCACTCGCAAAAGATCGTGATCTTGATATCGATAGGGCCGACGTTGTTGCCATGTCAGATTCAGATCAACCATCAGCAAATGCCGAAGACGAACGAGGTATGTTCAATTCACGCTCACCACACTGCCTGGATATCGCTGTCCGTGAATGCTCCATGTCTACATTCTAACGATACTCAGATTCTGATATTGCTCTTCAGAGCGACTCCGCAACGCCTGCTGCGAAGCAGATATTCGCCGGACTATGCTTCTACATCAATGGGTCTACAGCGCCATTGGTCTCCGACCACAAGCTGAAGCATATACTGGCTGCACACGGTGCGAGGCACTCTATCGCCCTGGGTCGTCGGTCTGTCACGCATGTTATCCTAGGAACCGCAAACCTTCGAGGCGGCGCAGGAGGTGGCCTTGCTGCAACCAAGATACAGAAGGAAATTGCCCAATCCCGCGGCAAAGCTGTAAAGTTCATAACTGCTGAATGGTAAATCGCGCACTCGATAGTTTGCGACGCTTTGCAAACGTACGACTAACAGACCCAGGGTCCTCGAATCTATCAAAGCGAACCGTCGCTTGCCGGAATCACGCTTCTCTCCACTGAAGCTCGCGCCTCAGAACCAGAATAGCGTGTCCGGCATGTTGCGTGCCGGCACTCAAGGTCCAGGTTGAAGATATTGGCCGAGCAAATCGCCGCCTCATTCAGCAGGTCAAGCGACTGTGCCAAAGTCGGAACCATGCCGTGCACCAGATACCTGTCATCGATCGTTTGACCTCGGTCGCACGTCTCGCTGGGCATGGCGCCATTCCCCATCACAAAGCTCAATGATCGTCGGCCGATCACCGGGGATATTTCTCGCTAGCGAAATTTCACCGCGTTGCGGGAGTCCTCGTCCGTCCAGTCTAAGTAGTGCAGATCGGCAGCGTTGCATTCAAGGCCAGCCTGGATCGCGCTACCGAAGTCAATGACTGCGACAGCAGCACCCTGCATCAGGGTCCGACGGAGCAATTGGATTCCACCGTGCTTGCGGGGGGCGATGTTTGTACTAGATAAACCTTGGGGCGTTTGCGGTCCGGTGAACGCTGTGGGGGTTCGTTCGTTGGAAACTAGTGGCATGTCGATGCGGGACATTGTGTCCGGTGAGCTAGCCACAATACAGGACATAGGTAGTCTTTGCATGGATGTGCTTGGTGATCTCTACATGGAACTATCATGGAACATGGCCTCGCCTCGTGGCGAGACTCTTGCAGCAAGCGCCGGACTTCATGTTGTTCGGTGCTTCTAGGGAAATTGTACTGCGCTCCAAACGCGCAATGCACAGCTTTGCAGCACCTTGGTATATGTGAGCACTGTTATCTGATCCCATCCATCTATCCTATACACAATGGCGCTTGGCTGTTTATGCACATCCAACCTCATCGAACCCCACTTCTGCACTTGTAATTGACCTCAAAGCTTGTACTCGTTCCAATGCGCGGCTGCATGCATCACCCCACCCCGCCCCCGCGCAGCAGACGCGTGAGCAGACGCGTCCGCCAGAAAGTCAATTCATCCCGCGACGTTGATATTCAAAGTCTAGAACCACATATGAGCTTCGGAAGGATCGCAAAAGGCATGTCCTTGTCTGGGGATACGTGCGGAATACTCGCGCTCGTGTATTGTTGCCCCTGGAGGGGGGTGAGATTACAGGATATCCTTGAGTAGTTGCGCGTGAACGTAACTGGGTTCTGGGTGTTGAGAAGGGAAGGGGGAGGATCCATTCACGTGAGGTACGTGTTGTTTGGGAGGGGTGGGGGAATATGCCTTGGGCGAGAGTCAGGAGCGAGTTGATGACATGAAGTTGGTCGTGTAAGTGCGCCATGTTACATCGCAGGTGTCTGGAGTTATATCAACAGTTTTGTCTAGTAGGGTTTGAAGACCTTCAGGCCAGACTTCTGCCGCTCAGTAGTTCGGCTTGGACTTAATCCTGGTCCTGAAAATGCAGCAAGCGCAGCCGCATGGTAGTGCTCGCATGCTTGAGAGAAATCGCACATGGTATTCGACAGTATCTTGTGATGCAATCAGCTGTGTGTTTGTGTTCTTAGTGTGTTAATTCTGGCAATTGTATTACATCAGCTGCTTTCCATTGAAGAAGCTTATATAGCGTACATCTTCCAAGGTAAGGGAAACGTAGTCGCGCTTCTTCGTGAAGAGCCCAGAGATATGGGACGAGGATGATGCAACTAATCATTGCAGAAGTGTTTGCAAGACAGAGTAATGTACCTAAGGTCGTCGCTGGTGTCTTTGTCAACAGTCTTCTTCTTACAATTCTTTAGAAAATCAAGCGTGTTCAAATTCTGCCTAGTATATCAGTGCTATTCAGAAGATGCGCACCCTCCCTAATTCAGCTATTCTAAGAATATCTATAACGAATAATGATTTACTAAGGAGGAATAATAATATACCTAATAATATTATAAGCAGGCAGCCTTTTTAGAGGTTAGAATTATATAGTTTAGTCTAAAAGTGACATCTATTAACAGCTATCTAGGCCCTCATTAATGTCTATAAGGAAATCTGCTAATAGGAGCATACGGAGGTATCCTGCTCGTTGTGTAGTTAAGCTGGAGAGGGGGTGCTCACATTCTAAATACGATAATATTTGGACATGGAGAGCTTGTATGGTGCTCAAAATTCAAGCACAATATCTTCTGCCTCGTACCTCATTTTCATTATCCTCTCTACTCGTGGGATCTACCATCGTTTTCGCCTCTCTAGACGTTTCAGCGGTATACGCCGTTGCTTTAGTAGTACTACCGCTTCGAAATCTTTCAAAATCTGCGATGAGTGATGCCTTATCTATTGCCTATCCTGCGTACTTTGCTATGTCTACCAGCTTGATAAGGCCGCAAAATGTATCTGTTCCATGTTCTCGGTTTTGCGTCGTGTAAACTCGTCATTTGTCTTGAGCTCGGGGCAGATCTTGCACTTATGATGTCGAAGTCTATAGCTAGGTGCTCGAAACGAAGTCGAGAGCAAAGGGTTAGTCACCTAAGAGAGTGGTAAGAAATGCAGCTGAGAGTGGAAGCGAATACTCATTTGGCCTATATTGTACTAACTATCGATGATAACGTTCTATTTCGGACGAACATATAACCTAGAGACTGCGCTGTGCATCTTTGCCAGTCTTTAGCTTGTGTTATTCCAAAACATACCGCTTCTTTATAAAGCAAATCTTGTGCCACCTAACACCACACCATTTTCCAAGTTGTCTTCATGCAACTCTTTCTAATTGTCTATCAAGATAGCTGGTTAATATGGTAATTACCGTGAGGCGAAATAAACAGTCACTTGTTCCAGTGACGCCAAAAATGCCAAGACCTCCCCCCAATCGTCCACCACGCACACCACGACGACACCACAAACTAAAGGATAACCAAAAAGACAGGCCAGAGCGCAAAAAATCATGGACTTGCAGGGAATCGAACCCTGGACCACTCCCATGCTAAGGGAGTATTATACCACTAAACCACAAGCCCCGATATTGATTTGATGAAGGGAAATCTCACTAAAAAAATTATATAACACATTTTTTGTACCTTGCAGCATGAGATGAGCTGTTCACAGCCAGCGATCTGACTGGGATAACTACGTTGAAGAATTTTCATGTTTGTGCGCCAGTCGCCGGAAGTGTGAATGGTGGGGCCGCTTCGGTCTGGAACGTCGTTCGCTTCTCCCGCACCACAGCTAAGCTTAATGCATGTTAGAATGCGGGAAGACTTCTCCCTCTCCTCAAATCTTTTCAGGGAATTGATAGTTTTCGTCACGAGACTTGTAGTATGGAAGTTATTTTTGTTGCATGAACCGATCGAGAGAATTGAGTGTTTTTCCAAGTTCAGACGACGCGCTGTAAACCTCTGACAGGGCTTGTGGTTTGTGCTCGCTTTACTGTCATTTAATGATGACGATTATGATAGATTTTGGCAATGAGATGCATCACTGAGGTCTCATGTTTCAATGGTGCTTTTTGGGATGATGAACCTGAATCTCTTTGCAATACATAGGGAACGTGAAATTGTACCAATCTATGCTCTATTCGAGTGGGTCGACTTCCAACCCCATCTGGCACAGCACATCAAAACATACTTTGACGGCTCTGAAGTAAACGAATATGCCCTTTCTAGCCCTGTCTCTTTGTGGAGGATGTTTTCCTGTTAGGCAACTCTTGGACGCCCTCAGAGACTTCACCTCGAAAGCCGAGGAGACGCTGTCGCGAGTTCTGTTACCGTCCATTCTTGTAACATTAGGACTTTCTACCACCGTTCCACCATAGCGGGATAACCATCGCGCATAGATAGACGTCATTCAACCTCTCGGGCAGCACTGATACTACGAAACCATTAATCCTACTTCAACGATAATTGTTAGTAACTTACAGTCGTAGAGCAATACATTATACCATCAATAAGCCTAGGTCCATGTCTTGTGTTGCTGTTTGCTTTTCTGCCCAGGATTGCATACTACAGTGCCGTAGCCTTTGCTACATACGTATGGAGTTTCTCCGCCCTCACCGTTACTATCCGCTACCTTGGCCTGTGCATAGACAGTAGCTAAAGGTCGATTTCCACATAAGGCATGCACTGTCGTAAGTGTAAGTGCTGCTATGATACTTGCGGAGTATCTCATGGTATTGGAATAAGGTTGGAACACTCGACACACATTTCAGCCCCATCATGGACAGCCTGCTCAGTCTAATCTGTCCCACGCCACCGCCCCCATCTGATAGCGCACGTTTCACAAATCCGGTGCAACATCAGAGGCACTTGTGCGGCCCGCGAACCGTCTACGATAGCGTCAAAGATCTCAGTAAACGTGTCGATTTCTACGAAGAAATCACCATATTCGCTTGGCCGTCACGCGGAGGCGTGATCGTACTCGAGAGGCCCTGTCCTGCAGATTTTGACTTTCTCGGCCTCGACCGTCTCGATCCACCGAAGAAGCGTCACGCCACTCGACAAGAGGAAGACGACTTTGCTCAGTGCTTACTATTGCTCGGAGGGACGTGGTGGGACTCTCCCGCTAGACACGCCCTCTTCATTGAACCCGACCATTCGCAAGATGAGGAAGTAATGGCTGCTCAGTCTGAGCCGACGGTGAGGGAAAACGTGTGGGTTGGTGCCGCATGGCCTAGCTCAGGCGGACTTGTCGTAGCTGAGTGGCCGACAATGATGTACCCTGGTGGACGCATGGACGAGGTCGCTCCAAACGATATGTCGAGATTGTTCTTATGTATGACAATGGACGAGAAAGCTGCAGTGCTGATGGACAGACTTGGAGGGAAGAGGTGGAAAGGAGTGGAGGATTACGAGGGCAAAGCTTTCATTGGAAGCTGGGGAAACCATCGAGGCGAAGTCGGCGAACTTCAACAAACGTGGCCAAACGAGGGAGAGAGCCAGAATCTTGGCGGTAAAGCTCTGCCTGATCAATGAGTTCTCTCATCCAGAGAGTCAACCTTGGAAAAGATTGTATATGAGCCGCGAGTCTCTCTTTTGACGCAGAGGCACCTAGATCAGGTTTTCCATTTTCATCATACATCTACGGATATCCCTTGGACACGCTATCTCGCGATGCGATTGCCACTACGAGTTGCGTTACAATTTGCTGTATCGCTTTTCCGGCGCACAAAGAAATTGCATCATCAATCGAGTCGTGGATTCAATGAGGTGGATTGACGCTGGCGGCAAGCTCGTCTGGGCCACGAGCCCATCGTGGCCAGGCCGTGATCTGTGGATTCATGTGAGATGTAGCGGTGGTGACAATACAGGCGATCCGGATAATAAGTGCGGTGACCGCAAAGACGTTCCAGTGGATAATCCGCAATGCCCGCCGCCCCCAGAAGATGGCGCGCCGAAGGAGCAAGTCATCATGCAAGCTCACTCGGATCAGTCTGATGAAAGTTGGAGCGGTGGCTACAGTCGGATCACCTTTTGCAACAGGTTCTTTAACGAGCTTCGGACCTTGGACGAAACAACTCAGTACGCAAAACGATCTGCTGAACGGAAGGAGAATCTGGAGAATTGGGACAATCGAGCGAGTTGCTTCTTTCACGAGATAACGCATCTTGCATACTTTGTTAGTAAGTGGACCTGAGTGCGGACCGCGAAAGACAACGCCCTGATATTCCTTTCTCTCTCACAGACTCGGGAGCATCCGGCAAATCCCCCAATGTCGACGATCTGCGCATAAATTTCGGTACAAAGACCAAGAGACGCACCGAAGATACCTATGGGCCGTATCTTGCGAAGATTTTGCGTAACTTCAGGGCCGACGGCTGGTACCCCGGCCAAAACGCGGACACCTATGCTTGGTACGCCATGGCTATGTGGGCTCAGAAAGAGATTGGACATTATCCCGAGAACCCAAAGTCGAAGGGCATCAAGCCCATCGCACCACCTCGACGAGCCGACGGCTCCTCTCTCAACGACCCCGCGGGTGCCGCCGACTCTTCCGACGATAAAGTCTGAGTAGGCAGCCCTATACATTCTCTTAGATGCTATAATACGGAATCAAATGAACATTCTTACAGTAGCCGGAAGCGTTACTGATTATTGCCCATTGCGAGAGTTTGAGACTAATCCGAATCACTTCTAGGCATAAATCAAAACGATCTGAAGGAAAGAGCCGTACAGGTGTCTCAGATGCGGCAGATATACGGTAATAGCGAACGAGTCATAGTATTCCTCGGCGAAGATACCGTAAGCAGTACTGCAAAGTTTCCAACCTACGGAGACATTGACGAAATCAATGTGTCTCCTTCAAATGGGGACCTCGTACCTTCACAGAGTCCCACTAGTCCTTCGACTGATACTCATTCAATACCAACAAGGTATGACAATTTATCGAGGCTCTTAACACGAAAATATATCAGTCGTGTGTGGATGATTCAAGAGCTCATCGCTTCCAACCGCGCAGTCATACGAGTTGGAAATGTCGACTTTCGTGCTGATGCTGCAACTATATATCGACTCTCGTGACAAGGGACAGGAACTTTCAGCTGAAGTAGAACGAGGGCGCCGTGGTTTCAGTATCTCGGGCGGAAGATGATTAACCCAGCAAGAGCAGGGGATATTGCCCAGCTTAGCAGCTTTGACATCACAATGTCGAGCTTCAGATCCCCGAGACAGGATCTTCGCCATTGCGCAACTCCTTAGCAATGCCCAAACTGCGAGTGAGCTTAGTAGCGGATTATACCTTGTCCTTCAGGCACCTCGCTATTGGCTTCTTCGCGCACACGTTTCTTGTAGCGCAGAAATCGTTCTTCTTTGACCACGCCGGATTACTGTATTCGACTCAGTCACCGTCTTGGGTACCGGTGTGTCGATCTGACAGAGAATGGGAGCGTGCGTTGGTGGGTGCAATACCGCGCAATATAGACATCACCCCGTTTGATGCCATAGCAACAGTCGATTGCATGGTCTATCTAGATGAACGGTCCATGGTCACTCTCAAGGAGATGGTTGTGGCATATGACTACCAGCCTGCGTACAGTTCACCATTCGTTGTTGATTCTGCCACTGGAGCTCTGCTGATGAATCTCACACATCTGTTCATGTTCGAACACGAGCCCAAGGTGCTGCCAACTCAAGGGAGCTTGCACTTCTACGAAGTCGTCACAACGGCGACGCTAGAGCCAATTCCACGGTTGTGTCTTTTTGCGTCGACGCAATTGCAGATCGGAAGTAGGCGAACCATGTCTTCACATTTCCCATGAAAGAGCAGATCGAGGATTATGTCAAATGGGAAGACAACTCATACGTCCGCCATGCCTCCCGACTACCCATGATGACCGATTCGCCCCTCGCGGCCCTGATGTATCTCATCCTACGCCCCATGCCGAATCAACAAGGCTTACCCGGCATTCAAATTAGTCACAAGTCGAATCGGCCGTTGCGCAACCTATCAAAACATGATCCAAGAACATCATTCATCCGTCGGCTTCAGCCAAAGCGATTGGCCCACACTCCGCAACCTGTGTACCCTAAGACTCTCCGAAGCCCAAACCAACGTTCAATCTACCATCAACAATATCCTGAAACTCCTCGTCGATTGATATACCAAAGTACATCAATGGGGTCAAGGTGGATGGGCAAATTGTGAGGGTGGCCATTATCTAGACGACAAAATGATACTAGCTCGTGCTTCTGGCAGAACAGCCCAAACATCTTCGCAAACCGTGATGGATATGCCGTGGAAGGACAGCAGCATGCAACTTCAGGACATGTAATTGTCGTCTTCACATAATACAAAACCACTCTATATGCCCACTGGACAGGCCTCTCACTTGTCAAATTCCAACCATCTAATTATACTATAGTTGACAACTAATTTCAACTTTCGTAGCAAGAACCAGAGTGTGCAACCCTATAACGAAAGTCTGACACCAGAGCCGAGGCCGTCGAAACCGCTTGCCACACGCACACCTCTTGAAAAGCACCGACATCCTCGATGTGATTTAACTTTCCGCACCGGAGAAGATATGCAGCCTCCGTAACGTCTCCCGTCAGACGCGGCCCAACCACGCCGCTCCAACACAAAACATCACATCCAGCCGTGAACCACAAAAGTACCCCTCCAAACAAACACAAAACCCCAATCCTTACACAACGACCCGTTGCATAACCCCCCCTCACTCTCACCCACCCAAACATTTTAACACACTATGCCTACCATGTTCTCAAACTTCACACCCCGCCACATCGCCCCCCTCCTCCTCGCGACCCAACTCTGCATCGGCGGCCTCTACCCCTTCCTGTACACGCCCTCCGCCGCGCTCCTGAAATTCGGCTTCACGCCACAAATCGCTGCGTCAAAAGCCGCATGGCCCGTCATCAAGACCGGGTCCGCGCGCGTGACGGCCATGGGCATTGCGCTGTGGGGCATGTATCTTGGGGGCCATTTTGTGAGGCCATGGATATTATGATCGCGTCGTTGGGGTGGGTGGCGGTTG